CAAATTCTGGTTTTATAAGAAGTTTCTCCTCATGTTCCTGGAAACTAAATCCTCCACGTTCTTTCTCTGCCTAGATGTAAAGTATTTCAGTAGTGCCCCACTTGTCCAGAGGTCGGATTTCCGGCACCCCCAGCCCTCCAGAACATGGCTGCTAACCCCAAAGTAAGCAGAGGAGGCTTCTGAGCCCAGGGGCGGGGCTGCACTCAGGTTGCAGCCCAGGCCCCGTGGTGTGCACTGAGGGCACAGCAAGGGGAGGTGAGGGAGGTGCCCTGGGAGCGGCAAGGCCCCGCTTTTCCCGCTAGGTCCCGGAGGAGGTCGCAGACTCTGACCTGGGCGGCAGTGTCGTGGCATCGCCCAGTCAGTTCAAGAAATAAAAAGGTATATTCCACTTAAAATGTCCATTAGACTGCAGTGGAAAAGGTGACTTCAATAACAGTGATTTCCGCTGGGGATGATGAAAAGCTTTGTTACCTATTATCATAGGCTTCGGTCACAAGGCAGGTTAATTTCCATGGGACACCCCATTCATTTCCCAGCACTGGGGGAGGAATGACCAGTTACTCTCCTAAATCAGGGTCGGCAGACTTGATAAGTATTTCAGACGTCTTGGGCTGTATGTAGACATGTATGTTACAGCTACTCAACTATCATTTCGGAGGGAAAGCAGATAACATGAACATGTGGATATGACAATGTTCCAGTGAAACTTTGTTTAGAAAAAGAGGGCCAGATGTGTCCCCAGGGTCATAGTTTGCTGACCCCTCCACTTGGGAACAAAGGCCTATATTGATTTCACTTGCATTTTTTAAAAAGTGAACCAATAACCAAGTGACTGCTATTTATAAAACAGCAGTTTGATAAATATTTTTGGTATTTAAAAAACAAGCTGTCTGGAAAATTCTGTCATGTGGAATGCCTCCCCCCTCCATGCTGCTATCAAATAAGACTGGAATGAAGAGCCTGTTCCATGTTCACTAACTGAGATTCTTGAAGATCCAGCCATTGAAAAATACAAGGCCTCTGGCCGGGCGCGGTGGCTCAAGCCTGTAATCCCAGCACTTTGGGAGGCCGAGGCGGGTGGATCATGAGGTCGAGAGATCGAGACCATCCTGGTCAACATGGTGAAACCCCGTCTCTACTAAAAATACAAAAAATTAGCTGGGCATGGTGGCACGTGCCTGTAATCCCAGCTACTCAGGAGGCTGAGGCAGGAGAATTGCTTGAACCCAGGAGGCGGAGGTTGCGGTGAGCCGAGATCGCGCCATTGCACTCCAGCCTGGGTAACAAGAGTGAAACTCCGTCTAAAAAAAAAAAGAAAATACAAGGCCTCAGCTGTACGTGTTTTAAGAATCTGGTTGTAGGCCAAGCGCCATGGCTCACGCCTGTAATCCCAACACTTTGGAAGGCCAAGGTAGGTGGATCACACCTGAGGTCAGGAGTTCGAGACCAGCCTGGCCAACATGGGGAAACCCCGTCTCTACTAAAAATATAAAAAAATTAGTTGGGTTGTGGTGGTGGGTGCCTGTAATCCCAACTACTCAGGAAGCTGAGGCGGGAGAAATCGCTTGAACCCGGGAGGCAGAGGTTATAGTGAGCCGAGGTTACACCACCACACTCCAGCCCTGGTGAGAGAGTGATACTCCATCTAAAAAAAAAAAGAATGTAGTCGTAGTTGCATCATTTGGATCCATCCTGCCGTTGTGTTACTGTTTTCATGACATGTTTTTACAGGTCTGAGAAAGAACCCCAGTTTAAGTTTATCTACTTCAACCACATGAATCTCGCCGAGAAGAGCACAGTTCACATGAGGAAAACGCCCAGCGTGTCACTCACTTCCGTGCACCCGGACTTAATGAAGATTCTCGGTGACATCAATAGTGACTTTACCAGGTGATTCCAACAACTTCTCCAATCAGGTGTCCCCTTTCTAAGAGAAAAGACATGAAAGTTCCTTCAAAGCCAGATGATCCAGAGCCCTTTCCATGGGGCCCAGCTTGAACCACCTTCATGAGTGCCACTTCCAGACAGACCTGGGAGCCCTGAAGTCACTGGTTCCCTCGCATAGGACGCCCTGAGCTTTTTAAATGCCTCAGGCACCCGTTCCATTCCCTGTTCTTGTTTTGAAATGCTTACTTTCACAGTCTAGTCACGTGAGTAATAAACAATTGCATTTTGAAACTCTCATCTTGCAGAGTGGACGAAGATGAGGAGATCATCGTGAAAGCCATGAGTGATTACTGGGTGGTTGGAAAGAAGTCTGATCGGCGGGAGCTCTATGTTATTTTGAACCAAAAAAATGCAAACCTGATTGAAGTAAACGGTAAGTAGGATTTGGTATTTTGGAAGAATTTTAATGCTGCAATTTAAAAGCTGTCTTTTCACTGTATTAAGAAACATGGCTAGGGCCGGGCGCGGTGGCTCAAGCCTGTAATCCCAGCACTTTGGGAGGCCAAGGTGGGAGGATCACAAGGTCAAGAGATCAAGACCATCCTGGTCAACATGGTGAAACCCCATCTCTACTAAAAATACAAAAAAATTAGCTGGGCATGGTGGTGCGTGCCTGTAATCCCAGCTACTCAGGAGGCTGAGGCAGGAGAATTGCCTGAACCCAGGAGGCGGAGGTTGCGGTGAGCCGAGATCGTGCCATTGCACCCCAGCCTGGGTAACAAGAGAAAAACTCCGTCTCAAAAAAAAAAAAGAAAAAGAAACATGGTTAAAAAAACAAAGAGAACAAATCATGACTGTTGAGATTCTAAGCAAGTGCCTCTACTTCATTCATCCATTTTCTGTTCCTTGGGACACTGTGACAAGATTTTCCTGTAGCACAGGAAACTGGACAGTGGCCAAAAGATTTCCTACAATGCTAAAAGAAAAAAAAAAGGTGACTTTACTGTGTATTAAAAAAATGTCCCTTTTTTTGGAGACAGGGTTTCTGTCACACAGGCCAGCCTTGAACTCCTAGGCTCAAGCAGTCCTCCTATCTCAGCCTCCTGAGTAGCTGAGAACACAGGCGTGTATCACCAAGGCATCCATCACCACACTCAGCTGATTTTTAAATTTTTTTTTGTAGAGATGGGGTCTTACCATATGTTGCCCAGGCTGGGCTCAAACTCCAGGCCTCAAGCAATCCTCCGGCCTCCCAAAGAACTGGGATTTATTATAGTTATGAGCTACCTTGCCCAGCCAAAAATGTCTTTTTTTTTTTTGAGACGGAGTTTCGTTCTCGTTACCCAGGCTGGAGTGCAATGGCACGATCTCGGCTCACCACAACCTCCGCCTCCTGGGTTCAGGCAGTTCTCCTGCCTCAGCCTCCTGAGTAGCTGGATTACAGGCACGCACCACCATGCCCAGCTAATTTTTTTGTATTTTTAGTAGAGACGGGGTTTCACTATGTTGACCAGGATGGTCTCGATCTCTTGACCTCGTGATCCACCCGCCTCGGCCTCCCAAAGTGCTGGGATTACAGGCTTGAGCCACCGCGCCCGGCCTAAAAGTGTCCTTTTTTAATATCCTGTGATAAAAACATATCTTTTGCAGGGAGAAGCTGCCAGGTTCATGTAGCCGTTTACAACTATCCCTCTGTACAGTGGCAGAATAAGGCAGATAATTTTCTCCCGCCTTACTGCTACCAAAGTGGCCAGCCTTGTCCTTAGCATGAGGTGGCCCAGCAGCTGCTCTGACAGCTCTGCTGCCCTGGAGAGAGGGGGCCTCACCCCAGCAGAGCTGCCCCACCCTGGAGGTGGGTGTGGTGCAGGTCAGGGAAGATACCCACATGTACACTATATGGAAATTCAATGTAAGTGTCTTCCCCCTGCCCTGTATCTTCTCAGGCATACTGAATTTTTCTCTTTACATTAATATTGTTATTAGTGAGATCAAAGTCATGACCACTCTGCGGAGCCCACGGCCTGCAGTTCAAGGTTGCTGTCAGTTTCTGTGTTCTTGCATCAGCTGTCCCAAGATGACGTCATCATTAGCCTTGTGCTTCTAACCCCCTCACCTGAGTATACTGGGCACTTTTTCCCCCCTCTTTTCTCCAGTTCTTGTCACAGTGGCTCACACCTATAATCCTAGCACTTTGGAGGCCGAGGCGGGCAGATCACCTGAGGTTAGTAAGAGTTTGAGACCAGCCTAGCCAACATGGTGAAACCTTGTCTCTTAAAAAAAAAAAAAAAAAAGATACAAAACTGAGCCAGGCATGATGGCATGCACCTGTAGCTACTTGGGAGACTGAGGCAGGAGAATCTCTTAAACCCAGGCAGCTGGAGGTTTCAGTGAGCTGAGATCATGCCATTGCATTCCAGCCTGGGTGACAGAGCTAGACTCTGTCTCAAAGAAAAAAAAATCTTCCCTGGTGTTCTGGTATTTAAAGTCAAAATCAATGCAAATATCCCATTTTACTTGAAAACAATTTAATTATATATCATGTAACCTTTTCAGTAGAAGCCTCTCTTCCTTCCTCACTGCTCTCTGTCCTTTCTGCAGAAGAGGTCAAGAAACTGTGTGCAACACAGTTCAACAACATCTTCTTCTTGGATTGACTGATAACGGCTCACCGAAAGCATATTTTAAACTCAGCAAACATTTTGTTTACCATTGCTAGTTACTTGTCATATGACTGACTGCGTTGATCACAAGAGTAAAGCAATACTTGCTTTGAAGAATCCAATTTCTACTCGGTCTGCTAATCTCCTGAGGTTTTTAGATTTTAAATATTTATGTGGAATTCATTAAAGGTAGTTGACTATATCTCTATCATTCCATTCTTTTGACATTATGTGAATATTTTACTGGAAAATAAGACTAATAAATTGTTAAAGTTTTTAAAATTCTGGTTTCCTGTTAAGTCTCTCTCCTGTTGCCTATTTGGAGATTACACTGGCCAGCAGGTCCTTGACCCAGACTGGAACGCAGTGGCTCACTGCAGCCTCAACCTCCTGGGCTCAAGCAATCCTCCCACCTCAGTCTCCCAAGAAGCTAGGACCACAGGTAGACACCACCACTCTCAGCTAATTTTTTAATTTTGTAGAGGCAGGGTCTCACTACATTGCCCAGGCTGGTCTCGAACTCCCATGAATTCAGCCATGTAGGAAAGCTGAGATGCAGTGGGCCAAGGCGGTATTTTAAAACACTACAACGAGTACGATGCTAAGAAGTGTAATGCTCAGGAAATCTTACAGCACCTGCCGTCCTAAGCCTCTGTGCATGTCCTTGTGGCTCACTACTTTTTCTTCTTTTTGCTGGCGGTGGTCTTGGCGGATGGAGACACAGTCACATCCTCCTTGGGAGGGCCCAGGATGAGGTGAGAGGAGGGCACGTCTGCCGGCTCCTTGATCACCGTGATGTCAACCTCATAGTCTTGTCTCTTGGCCTCTTCCTCTCTCAAGATAAAGCTATTCAGCCTAAAAGCAAACATGAGAAGGTAGTTCCTCCCCCGCCCCACCCACCCACCCCCGGTCGAAATTGCAAAACCAGTTTTATGCTATTTACAGTATACAGCTCTTCATACCTGCATTTCACAATGTATATAAACAAAACTACAAAACATTTTCTGAGATGAGTTTCGTTCTTGTCGCCCAGGCTGCAGTGCAGTGCTGTCATCTCGGCTCACTGCAACCTCTGCCTCCTCGCTTTAAGGGAGTCTCCTCCCTCAGCCTCCCGAATATCTGGGATTATAGGCTTCTGCCACCACGCCTAGCTAATTTTTCCATCCCGTCCCCTGGTTGCCAGTCATTTCTTCATATAAAAAGTCAGGCCAGGCGTGGTGGCTCAAGCCTGTAATCCCAGCACTTTGGGAGGCCTGGGCGGGGCAGGGGGGGCGGGTAGATCACTGAGTCAGGAGTTCGAGACCAGCCTAGCACAGTGCAAGCACCTGTGAGGTGTTGGGAGGCTGAGGCCAGGGAATCACTTGAACCCGGGAGGCGGAGCCTGCAGTGAGCCGAGATAACACTACTGCACTCCAGCCTGGGCCACAGAGCAAGATTAAGTCTCAAAAAAAAAAAAAAAAAGAAAAGACAGTTATTACCTCAGAGAGTCCACAGGTCTTAGAAGCTCTTGGGTCAAGAACTAGAAAATGGTTGGGTGTGGTGCTTCACCCCTGTGATCCCAGCACGTTGGGAGGCCAAGGCAGGCAGACCACTTGAGTCAGGAGTTCAAGAGCAGCCTGGCCAACATGGTGAAACCCTCTCTCTACTAAAAATACAAAAATTAGCCAGGCATGGTGGCGCATGCCTGTAATCCCAGCTACTCTGGAGGCTGAGGCAGGAGAATCGCTTCAACCCAGGAGGCAGAGGTTGCAGTGAGCCGAGATCATGCCACTGCACTCCAGCCTGGGCGACAGTGAGACCCTGTCTTAAAAAAAAAAAAAAAAATACTAGAAACCAAGACCAAATATTAGAACAAAAAATGCCCCCATTACCACATTACTTAGGAAGTTACAAAGGCTTCAGAAGCTCTGCCAGAAACCAGGAACAAAGATGAAATACTCATTCCTTTTTATGGCAAAGATGCCCTTAGGAAGTTATAGGCTTGTCCTGAAAGCACTTGGTCCTGATGCATTCTGGCAGCTGTGGAAGACGGGAAAGAGACAGCAGCTCATGAAGGAGAGGAGGGACCTCATCAAGTTACCTTGCTTCCAGTTCGTCGTCGTCCTCCTTCCGTTGCTGGGCCTGTGCTGCGCTCTGTAACCTGCTCTCCCTTACTTTCTCCTTGATAACTTCTTCACGTTTATACGCATGAAAGAGTGTGTTCACGAAAAAGACGTACATATTATTGACCCACATGTTGAACTCTTCCTTTTGATCATCCTTGGGTCTTTCATATTTCTCTGGAATAGAGTTTCATGAAGCTGAACATGAATACAATCCTGCTGTAAACTGGGACTCTGCATGCTTTTTTGCATTCTGCCCCTCCCTCTGGTGGGCCCCCTTCTCCTCTGCAAGGCGAGGGGAGAGGAATGAGAATTCTGTTTCCATGACTACCTGAAACAAGCAGGGGCTCAGTAGACCCTGGCTGGGATTGTCAACCTTCCCTTTGAGTTTCCTGCTACCTTTTTTTTTTTTTTTTTGAGACAGTCACTCTCTGTCACCTAGGCTGGAATGCAGTGGCATGATCTCAGCTTACCGCAACCTCCACCTTCTGGGTTCAAGTGATTCTCATGCCTCAGCCTCCCAAGTAGCTGGCACTGAAGGCGCACCACCACACTATACTAATTTTCGTATTTTTAGTAGAGACAGGGTTTCACCATGTTGGCCAGGCTGGTCTCAAACTCCTAACCTCAGGTAATCAACCCACCTTGGCCTCCCAAAGTGCTGGGATTACAGACATGAGCCACTGCATGTGGCAACCTTTTTTTTTTTCCTAAATGTCTTAAGAATTTGGGCTTTCTGAAATGTTAATTTACCATGTTCCAAGGGAAAAACAAAAACAAAAACAAAAAAAACCTGGTTCTTGCTTACCTTTTTTTTTTTTTTTTTTTTTTTTTTTTTTGACAGGGTGTTGCTCTATCACCCAGGCCGGAGTGCAGTGACATGATCATGGCTCACTGAAGCCTCGAGGAACTCCTGGGCTCAAGTGATCCTCCCGTCAGGATCGCTGGAGCCCCAGAGTTCAAGACCAGCCTGGACAATATAGCAAGACTCCCCCTCTAAGAAAATCAAAATGAAAAAAAGAAGGTTGTAAAATTGTATAGACATTATACAATTCATAAGCAACAGTTTGTAAATATTAAAGTTCTGTAATTAAAATACTCACCGCTCTGAGATGAAAAAAAGATGATCCCTTTTCCAGGAGATTTAAAATTCATTTTGGAAATTCTTTCATCACTTAGAGACTTCTTCATCTTGGGCTTTCACCGTTTTAAAAAAATCATAAAGCAAAATATTACTTTTACATCATTATGGGCTAAAACTACAATAAATTAGAAAATGATTTTCTAATTTAGAAAAGCTGTTCTTGAGCTAATTTGGCTTCTTTTTTGCCTTTTTTTTTGAAACGGAGTCTTGCTCTGTCACCCAGGCTAGAGTACTGTGGTGTAATCTCAGCTCACTGCAACCTCTGCCTCCCAGGTCCAAGCAGCTCTGTGCCTCAGCCTTCCAAGCAGCTGAGATTACAGGCTATACTACTTTGTGTATTTTTAATAGAGATGGGTTTCATCATCTTGACCAGGCTGGTCTTGAACTCCTGACCTCATGATGCACCCACCTCAGCCTTCCAAAATGCTGGGAATACAGGCGTGAGCCACCTCTTTTTCTTTTTTTTTCTTTCTTTTTTTTTTTTTTTTTTTTTTTTTTTTGAGATGGAGAATCGCTCTGTGGCCAGGCTGGAGTGCAGTAACATAATCTCTGTTCACTGCAGCCTCTGCCTCCCAGGTTCCAGCAATTCTCCTGCCTCAGCCTCCCAGGTAGCTGGGATTACAGACAATATATTTTTAGTAGAGACAGTGTTTCACCGTGTTGGACAGGCTGGTCTCGAACTCCTGACCTCAGGTGATCCACCCACCTTGGCCTCCCAAAGTGCTGGGATTACAGGTGTGAGCCAATGCCTGGCCAATTTGATTCTGAGTAAAATATTGATATTTATACTATTAAGGAAATGAAAAACAGAATTACTGTATTTACTGAAAGGCTCTCAAAAAAAATTTAAAGACTTGAAAATATCCCCCCGGTCTGTTGGGAAAGTATTTATAATATACAGTTAGCCATACTTAGATTCATATATTAATAGCTTTAATTATTATTATTATTTGAGACAGAGTCTCACTCTGTTGCCCAGGCTGGAGTACACTGACACGATCTTGGATCTCAGCTCACTGCAACCTCTGCCCTCCATGTTCAAGCGATTCTCCTGCCTCAGCCTCCCAGGTAGCTGAGATTATAGGCACCTGCCAACACATGTGGCTAATTTTTGTATTTTCTAGTAGAGACTGGGTTTTGCCAATTGGCCAGGCTGCTCTCGAACTCCTGACCTCAAGTGATCTGCCTGCCTCAGGCTCCCAAGGTGCTGGGATTATAGGCATGAGCTCCTGGCCTAATGGGTTTAATTACCATGTGTATGCCCAACTCCCACATTTCCACCTCCAACTGGAGTTTGCCCTTGAACTCCAGTCTTATCTCCAGCCGAACCACTTGGGTCTCAATTCAGGGACCTTAAGCTTAACATGCCCAAAACCAAGCACTTAATTTTCCTCCCAAAACTCACCCCTCTGCCTCCGTCCTCCACCTCATAATAAATGGCAACTGTGTTCTGCCAATGTTCAGCCCAAAAATCTTAGACTCATCTTTGCCTTCTCTCGCCCTCTCAAACCCTGCACCCTTCAAAACACCTCAGACCTCAGGTCCCGGTCACCCGCCTTGGTCCCAGTCACCACCACCTCCCACCAGGACGGTTCCAAGAGTCTCTCACTGATTTGTCCAGTGAAGCCACAGAGCTTCCTGACGCCTCTGCTCAGACGGTATCCCGTGCCATCCCATCTCACCCAGAATAAACTCCAGGGCCTCTCCCTGGCCAGATGTGCTTCCTGTCACTCAGACCTTGTAAGTGGGAATAAGTGTAGCTTGTGGTAACAGGTGCAAATTCTGCCTGGGTACAAACCCCCAGCTCCACTACTTACTGGTTATGCGACTGTGGGCAAGTTACTGAACCCTTATGGGCCTGGGTTCCCTCCTAGAGAGAAATGCAGTACCTGGTCATCGGGGCACTAAGGTCATCGGGGCACTAAGCTAGTCCCTGGGGACTGCCTGGTGCTTGGGAAACGCCCATAAATGCTACGGCTGCTGCTCACTTGCTGCTGTCTCCCCTCCTCCCTGGAACGTAAAGTCCACGAGAGCATGGGCTTTTTATTCACCGCTAGGTCCCCAGCACATGGAATAGAGCTCTTTACATAGTAGGCACTCGGCAGCGGATGTCTCCAGTTAGTTGTCAAGACAAACCTCTGATTTCCTTATCTTGTTAATATCAGGCCAGGGTCCTAACTTGCTGGAAGATGACTTGGCACTGTCAGAGTGAGCAGCATCCGATTCGTGGCTCATGACCTCATTGGGACTCTTGTTCTGGGCGTCCTAAGAATGCACACATGCATCAGAGGGCTTCTGGTTTCCATAGAGATCCATACATGCATACACACATGCACACGCACACTATTTTAATGGAGTGTAACTGATTTACAATGAACTACACATTAAGTGTACTCTTTGATGTGTTTTCACATATCTGCACCTGTGAAACCATCGCCTCAGTCAAGACAGTGAACAGAGGCAGGCACAGTGGCTCAAGCCTATAATCCCAGCACTTTGGAAGGCCGAGGTGGCCAGATCACTTGAGCCCAGGAGTTCGAGACCAGCTGGCAACAGAGCGAGACCCCCCAGTTCTAAAAAAAATAATGAGCCAGGCGCCTTGGCTCATGCCTTTAATCCCAGCACTTTCAGAGAACAAGGTAGGCAGACCACCTGAGGTCAGGAGTTCAAGACCACCCTGGCCAACATAGTGAAACCCTGTCTCTACTAAAAATACAAAAAATTAGCTGGGTGTGGTGATACACGCCTGTAATCCCAGCTACTCCGGAGACTGAGGCAGGAGAATCACTTGAACCCGGAAGGCAGAGGCTGTAGTGAGCCAAGATTGTGCCACTGCACCTGAACCTGGGCAACAGATCAAGATTTTGTCTCAAACACAGACACGTGCTCACGCACACGCCCACAGTGAACTTTTAAGTACGCAGCCCAATGCCCCTTGTTCATGTGAAGGCTTCTCCACCCTGGTGATTGGAAATGCAAACTACCCCCATCCCTGTGTGAGTCCTTGAGGTCCCTCCCCTTCTTCCTGGCAGCTCCTGCCCTGGCCTCCAGCTGCTCCCCTCACAGGTGTGCACACCCAGCTGGCAGCTCACAGGGGGCCTTCTGTACATCTCTGGCACCGGCTGTCCCTATCCATAGAACCCTTTCCTCTGTGGAAGAAAATTCTACCTTTACCTCCCAAAATCACTAGAGTGTGTGAAACTCCAGTGAGCAGAGCAAGAAGGATGGGCGTTAATAGATTTAAAGCTGAGCCTCGCTATGAACTCTAAATCACAGTCCCAAATTGTTGGTCAAAAGGGAGCAGTGATTCACTAGGAGTGTGACATGAACGTTCAGTTTCCTTTTTTTTTTTTTTTTAGACAAAGTCTTGCTCTGTCACCAGGCTGGAGTGCAGTGGCATGATCTCGGCTCACTGCAACCTATGCCTCCCCGGTTCAAGTGATTCTGTCTCAGCTTCCCAAATAGCTGGGACTACAGGTGCACACCACCATGCCCAGCTAATTTTTATATTTTTAGTAGAGACAGGGTTTTACCATGTTGGCCAGGATGGTCTGGAACTCCTAACCTTGTGATTCCCCCCGTTCACCTTGGCCTCCCAGAGTGCTAGGATTACAGGCGTGAGCCACCATTCCTGGGCTTTTTTTTTTTTTTTGAGGCAGAGTCTCACTCTGTCACCCAGGCTGGGGTGTAGTGGCACAATCTTGGCTCACTGCAACCTCCGCCTCCCAGGTTCAAGCAATTCCTTCTCTACCTCAGCCTCCTGAGTAGCGGGGATTACAGGTAGGCACCTCTCACCACATCTGGCTAATTTTTGTATTTTTATTAGAGACAGGGTTTCACCATATTAGCCAGGCTGGTCTTGAACTCCTGACATTGTGATCCACTCGCCTTGGCCCCCCAAAGTGCTGAGATTATAGGCATGAGTCACCATACCCGGCCTCCAGTGTATTTTTAGTAGAGATGGGGTTTCACCATGTTGGCCATGCTGGTCTCGAATTCCTGACCTCAAGTGATCTGCCCACCTTGGCCCTCCCAAAGTGCTGAGATTACAGGTGTGAGCCACTGTGCCCAGCCTGAGTGTCCATCTTTGTGAGCAAGCCCTGGGGACCTGTTTAACATTCTGAGCACACTCAGGAACTGTGCCTCGAGAGATCTGCTCTTGGGCAGGCTTTCTACTTGCAGAAACACTAGATCCATATAACAAAACATCTCCTAGTAAAATACCTCTGATTTGTTAATGTGTCTTCTAGTGTCCACCCAACACGTCGGTATGTACTGACCATTATGAAATCTCTGCTATGGCTAGGAGTCCACTTCCTGGATCACGGCCAGGAAACACATTTTCCCTACCTTAAATATATATATATATTTAAATATAAATATATTTATATTTACTTGAATATAAATATATATTTACTTTAAATATATAAATCTATATATATATATTTATTTATATATATACACTTTCAAAATGTGAAAAAGACATGGAGCCCAGCATGGTGGCTCATACCTGTAATCCCAGCACTTTGGGAGGCCGAGGCAGGAGGATCACTTGATCTCAGGAGTTTGAGACCAGCCTGGGCAACGTGGCAAAACCCCATCTCTACAAAACAAACAAACAAAAAGGCCAGTCATAGTGACTGAGGCCTGTAATCCTAGCACTTTGGGAGGCCAAGGCAGGTGGATCATCTGAGGTAAGGAATTCAAGACTAGCCTGGTCAACATGGTGAAACCCAATCTCTACTAAAAATACAAAAAATGACCTGGACATGGTGGCACATGCCCGTAATCCCAGCTACTCAGGAAGCTGAGGCAGGAGAATTGCTTGAACCTGGAAGGTGGAGGTTGCAGTGAGCCAAGATTGTGCCACTGCACTCCAACCTGGGCAACAGAGCGAGACTCTGTCTCAGATAGATAGATAGATAGATAGATAGATAGATAGATAGATAGATAGATAGATAGATAGATAAATAAATAAATAAATAAGCTGGGTGTGGTAGCACGTGCCTGTAGTCCCAGCTACTCAGGAGGCTGAGGTGGGAAGAGCGCTTGAGCTAAGGAGGTCAAGGCTGCAGTGAGCCGTGATGGCACCACTGCACTCAAGCCTGGGTGACAGAGTAAATCCCTGTCTCAAAATACAGGAAATACAATTTTAAAAAGTAAAAAGGAAAGACTTCTTAAATTACTTTCTGGAAGGATTACTAAAACCCAAGATGGTTTTGATGATGGTTTAACCATTCCAGAATAAAGCTGTTCCTTACTCTGAAATTCTAAGATTACCTAATTCTAAGATATTATATGTTACCTGATTTAATACTGTATAAATATTTTCATGTTTATTTCCAGACACATCATCACCTGGAACATTTGCATAGGATTTCATCATTTGATCAGTAACACAGATAAATGCAAAGCTTAAGAGTGCTTCAAAGAATTCCAGGAAAACCAGCTGAAATAAAAGAAAACAGAGGGATTCCATCATTCTGACACATGTGGAGGTAGAGCACCGATAGGTGTTCAGCTCGTGACATCTGAATATGCACACATGCACACACAGAGACATGCACAGACACACACAGACATGCACACAGACACACATGCATACATTGTTTTACGTACTTGTGTTCAGATTGCTTTCAGTCAAATCTTGGTTCTTAGGCTGGTCACAGTGGCTCACATCTGGTAATCTCAGCACTTCAGGAGGCTGAGGCAGGAGGATGATTTGAGACCAGCCTGGGCAACCTAGACCCCTTCTCTACAAAAATTTGCTTTTAAAAAATCAGCTGGGCCGGGCGTGGTGGCTCACGCCTATAATCCCAAACACTTTGGAGGCCAAGGTGGGCAGATCACCTGAGGTCAGGAGTTCAAGACCAGCCTGACCAACATGGTGAAACCCTGTCTTTAATTGAAAAAAATAAAAAAATAAAAAATTAGCTGAAGGCCAGGCATGGTGGCTCATGCTTGAAATCCCAGTACTTTGGGAGGCCGAAGTGGATGAATCACTTGAGGTAGAGTTTGAGACCAGCCTGGGTAACATGGTGAAACCCCATCTCTACGAAAAATAAAAAAAATAAAAATAATCAGCACCGTGTGGTGGTGGGTGCCTATAATCCCAGCTACTCAGGAGGCTGAGGCAGGAGAATTGCTTAAACCCATGAGGCAGAGGATGCAGTGAGCCAAGATCACGCCACCGCATTCTATCCTGGGCAGCAGAGTAAGACTTTGTCTCCAAAAAAAAAAAAGTTAGCTAAGCATGGTGGCACGCACTTCTGGTCCTAGTTATTCGAGAGGGCAAGAGGCAGAAGGATCACTTGAGCCCAGGAGTTGGAGGCTGCAGTGAGCTATGACTGAGCCACTATAATCTAGCCTGGTCAACAGAGCAAGACCCTGTCTGTAAATTTTAAAAAGGCTAATGAAAAAAAAAGAAAAAAAATCTTGGTTCTTTGTTCTTGGTATCCACAGCAAAACCCACAGCCTGAATTGGAACTGTACATTTGTGACAGCTCTTTACAAACCTCAGGTTCCAAGTTGCTGTCAAGTCCATCATAGATGAAAGGATTATCCTCTGCTATGACCTCCAAAAATTTAGTTGCTGTTAATTCCTTATTTATTATTTTAAAGTCCTATTAAAAAAAAATGAAACCATAACTACCTATAATTGCAAACAGCTATATATTTTAATGTCAATTTACATCAATACAATAATTTAAGACAATGTACCAGAAATTAATAACTTTTTTCTTTTTGAGAGACAGAATCGCACTCTGTCACCCAGGCTGAAGTGTAGTGGTGTGATCTTGGCCCATTACAACCTCCACCTCCTGGGTTCAAGCAATCTCCTACCTCAGCTTCCCAAGTGGCTGGGACTACAGGTGTGTGCTAACCACATCCAGCTAACTTTTGTATTTTTTAGTAGAGACAGAGTTTCACAATGTTGGGCAGGCTGGTCTCGAACTCCTGATCTCAAGTGATCTGCCTGCCTCGGCCTTCCAAAGTGCTAAGATTACAGTCATGAGCCACTGTGCACAGCCAGAAAATAATATATTAAAGACTGATAATTTTGAAAAGCATTCTGGATTAAGGGTATTTATGGCCAGGCACGGTGGCTCACACCTGTAATCTCAGAATCTTGTGAGGCTAAGGTGGGAGGATCACTTGAACCCAAGAGCTGGGGACCCGCCTGGGTAACATAACAAGACCCTGTCTCTACAAAAAGATTAAGACGTGGGCCGAGCATGGAGGTGTATGCCTGCAGTCCTAGCTAATCAGGAGGCTGAAGTGGGAGGATCACTTAAATCCAGGAGTTTGAGGCTACAGTGAACTGTGATCACAACGCTGCACTCTAGCCAAGTGACAGAGCAAGACCTTGTCTCACAAAACAAAACAAACCCCGCACCCCTCCCCCCCCCCACACACATCAATATTTACTTCTCTATCCCTTCCCTAGTACCTCCAAAGTAACAATAAAGTATTGTTTGGCATCAGAACAGAACACAGAATATGGTCCAGGTGTGAATTTTTTTTTTTTTTTTTTTTTTTTTTTTGAGACGGAGTCTCACCCTGTCACCCAGGCTGAAGTGCAATGGCCTGATCTCAGCTCACTACAACCTCTGCCTCCTGGGTTCAAATGATTGTCCTGCCTCAGCTTCCTGAGTAGCTCAGATTACAGGGGCTCGCCACCATGCCCGTTAGTTTTTGTATTTTTAGCAGAGGCAGGGTTTCACCATGTTGGCCAGGCTGGTCTCAAACTCCTGACCTCGTGATCCGCCTGCCTCAACCTCCCAAAGTGCTGGGATTACAGGAGTGAACCACCACGCTGGCCTCAGGTATGAAATATTAACACAATGCTGTAGGCTGAAAAGCACGTACAGAAACAGTGCACTGCATAACAAAACCAACTTTACCACAGAATAACTGACATAAAGAAGAGCTAAGCTCCTATATAGCACTGGATACAGTCACAGTTTCCAAGACCCTATCAATAATATTAAGCAAGGACTTACTGTACTCAAATGTTCAGGTTTCACTATTTTTTTAAAAATCACTCTACTGACCAGCCTGGGCAACATGATGAAACCCCGTCTCCCTAAGACTACAAAAATTAGACCGGCGTGGTGGCACATGCCTATAATCCCAGCTACTTGAGAGGTTGAGGCAGGAGAATTGCTTGAACCAGGGGGCAGAGGTTGTAGTGAGCCGAGATCATGCCATTGCACTTGTCTGAGAGACAGAACAAGACTCCATCACAAAAAATAAATAAATAAAATCACTCACACCAAGAACCAGGAAGGTCTCAAACTGAATGAAAAAAAGAGAATACACAGATGCCATCACAAGATGACGGCAGTGTTACAATTGACTAACAAAGACTGTAAGACAGTCATCACAAAAATGCATCAGTGAGGATGGGTGTGGTGGCTCATGCCTCTAATCCTAGCGCTTTGGGAGGCTGAGCTGTGTGGATCACCTGAGCTCAGGAGTTCGAGACCAGCCTGGGCAACATGATGAAACCCCATCACTACTAAAATACAAAGAAATAGCTGGGCATGATGACATGCGCCTGTAATCCCAGCTACTCGGGAGGCTGAGGAAGGAGACTCGCTTGACCCAGGAGGCGGAGGTTGCAGTGAGCTGAAATCATACCACTGCACTCCAGCCTGGGTGACAGAGCAAGACTCCACCTCAAAAAAAAAAAAAAAAAAAAAAAAAAAGCTTCAATGGACAATTGCAAACATGCTTGAAACAAATGAAAAAATAGAAAGGACCAGGTACACTCACACCTGTAATTCCACCACTACAGGAAGCTGAGGCAAAAGGATTGCTTGAGCCCAGGAGTTTAAGATCAGCCTGAGCAACATGGCAAGAACCTGTCTCTACAAAAACTAGAAAAATTAGCTGGGCATGGTGGTGCACACATGTAGTCCCAGCTACTAAGGAGGCTGAGGTGGGAGGATCGCTGGAACCCAGTATTTGAGGCTGCAGGGAGCCGAGACTGCACCACTGCACTGCAGTCTGGGTGACAAAGGGAGACCCTTGTTCATAAAAACAAAACTATTTCCCTACAGTTAGACACGAGGTTATTACCCGTTTTCCATATGTATACAACATAATGAAATTTGTAAAAATATTATTCATATTTAATTCTGTTTCATTTGTATTCTCACAACTACAAATTAAAAATATCATGGAACAGGCAGGACACGGTGGCTTACACCTGTAATCCGAACACTTTGGGAGACCGAGGAAGACAGATCACGAGGTCAAGAGATTGAGACCATGGCCAACATGGTGAAACCCCATCTCTACCATAAATATAAAAATTAGCTGGGCATGGTGGCACGCACCTGTAGTCCCAGCTGCTCGGGAGACTGAGGCAGGAGAACTGCTTGAACCCGGGAGGCAGAGATTGCAGTGAGTTCAGATCGCGCCACTGCACTCCAGCCTGGTTAAAGAGCGAGACTCCATCTCAAAAAAAAAAAAAAAAAAAAGTATCATAGTATCATGGAACAAAAACAAACTATAGTATGAGAACATTGTATCAATAAGATGTTGTCACTATTTACCCAAGTAATAACCATTAAAAAATGCCTATATTGGGCCAGGTGCGGTGGCTCAAGCCTGTAATCCCAGCACTTTGGGAGGCCGAGGCGGGTGGATCACGAGGTCAAGAGATCGAGACCATCCTGGTCAACATGGTGAAACCCCGTCTCTACTAAAAATACAAAAAATTAGCTGGGCATGGTGGTGCGTGCCTGTAATCCCAGCTACTCGGGAGGCTGAGGCAGGAGAATTGCCTGAACCCAGGAGGCGGAGGTTGCGGTGAGCCGAGATCGCGCCATTGCACTCCAGCCTGGGTAACGAGAGCGAAACTCCGTCTCAAAAAGAAAAAAAGAAATGCCTATATTGGGCCCGGCGAGGTGGGTCACGCCTGTAATCCAATCACTTTGGAAGGCTGAGGCGGGCGGATCACGAGGTTAACAGATGGAGAACACCCTAGCCAACATGGTGAAACCCAGTCGTTACAAAAAAAAAAAAAAAAAAGTCTTTTTTGATAAACTGTATTTTTAAAGATCATTCATCCTCCTCGCTTCCTTCCTTTTAGATAGTTTTGCTTTTGTTGCCCAGGCTGGAGTGCAGCTGTGCGACCTCAGCTCATTGCAACCTCTGCCTCCCGGTTCAAGCAATTCTCCTGCCTCAGTCTCCCAAGTAGCTGGGATTACAGGCTCCTGCCACCAGGCCTGGCTAATTTTTTTGTATTTTTAGTAGAGACAGGTTTCACAGTGTTCACCAGGCTGGTCTTGAACTCCTGACCTCAGGTGATCCACCTGCCTTGGCCTTCCGAAGTCATTCCTTCCTTTTTTTAAAGATTTCAGTTAGCTTTATTGCTATCCTAGGATCAGACAACACTTCAGTTCATCACACAGAGTAAAGGGATCCTTCGTTTTCCTTTTTTGTTTTTCTTACTTTTTTTTCTTCTTATTATTATTTTTTAAATTCACCAGGCACAACCGTGTTACCACCTTTTTTGTTTTTCTAGGGACTTTTTAGAGACAGGGCCTCACTCTGTCAGCCAGTCTGGAATGCAGTGGCACATCACAGGCTTACTGCAGCCTCCGAAGTAGCTGGGACTATAGGTGTGCACCACCATGCCCAGCTAAGTTTTTTTTATTTTCTGTAGTTGAAGGAGTCTCAGTATGTTGCCCAGGCTGGTCTTAAACTCCTAAACTCAAGTGATCCTCCTGCCTTGGCCTCCCAAAGTGCTGAAATTAGAGGTGTGCACCATGGCACTCAGCCCCAACTTCCTTTAAATGGCTGGATCTGCATGAGTAAAGATATTTTAGGCCAGGTGGGTGAGGTGGCTCACGCCTGTAATCCCAGCACTTTGGGAGGCTGAGGCGGGCAGATCACCTGAGGTCAGGAGTTCGAGACCAGCCTGGCCAACATGATGAAAACCCATGTCTACTAAAAACACAAAAATTAGCTGGGCATGGTGGTGGGCACCTATAATCCCAGCTACTCGGGAGGCTGAGGTAGAAGAATCACTTGAACCTGGGAGGCAGAGGTTGCAGTGAGCTGACATCATGCCACTGCACTCCAGCCTGGATGACAAGAGCAAAACTCCATCTCAAAAAAAGATATTGTAGGCCACGGGCCATTGTCTTGCCCTAATCTTCAAGTACATCCGGCAGATGATGGCTGTTTCTGTTCCTTCCACAACCATAGACCACTCTTCTGCCAAGAGAATCAGTAAACATTCAATGGTCATGAAAATGTACCCAGATCTTCAACTGATTGTTTGCATATCATAGCTAGAATATCGTGCCTTTCTTTCATTAAAATCAAAGTGCCTATAAGTAGAAAGTCAATATCAAATTTAGTTGGTTACTTTCAGCATCCAGAGGAAGTGTCTCGTCTTCATGGTAAGCTCGTGGGGAGGTGCTGCATGAGGCCTGCAGTAAGCTAGATAAATCTCCCAGCACTTACTGATGTAACTCATAGAGTAGGGTGTCCGCTGCTGCTCACGGAATAAATCGCCTAAAAATACGACGTTCAAAAAAATGGTTACAGATTTATCTTTAGAGAAAAGAAAAAGTGGTAAATATAATTCTATTAGCTTTGATTTTTTCCAAGACAGAGTTTCGCTGTTGCCCAGGCTACAGTGCAGTGGCACAATCTCGGCTCACTACAACCTCCACCCGCCGGGTTCAAGCGATTCTCCTGCCTCAGCCTCGCCAAGTACCTGGGATTACAGGTATGCGTCACCACACTTGGCTAATATTTTGTATTTTTAGTAGAGGTGGGGTTTCGCCATGCTGGCCAGGCTGGTCTTGAACTCCTGACCTCAGGTGATCCACCCGCCTGAGCCTCCCACAATGCTGGGATTGCAGGAGTAAGCCACAGTGCCAGCCCAGATTTATATTTTGAGGGAAAAAAGTGGCAGTAAATATAATCCTATTGGTTTTGTATTCACCTTTTACCTGGCAGGCATTTGGACGAATGTTCTCGGTCATCAGTTTTGTAAAGCACAAGAAGAGCGACGGGCTTCTCTTTCTGTGATAATGATCAAAAGATATCATAATTACTTCTCCTCCAAAAGAGGGAATTCCCTTCTCCTTGAGCATGGGCTAGACTCAATAATTTCCTTCTAAGGTATAGAGTATATAAAGGGAAAGCTGGGTGTTGTGGCTCACACCTGTAACCCCAGCACTTTGGGAGACCAAGGCAGGCAGATCACTTCAGGTTAGGAGTTCAAGACCAGCCTGGGCAGCATGATGAAATTCCATCTCTACTGAAAATACAAAAAATTAGCTGGGTGTGGTGGTGGGTGCCTGTAATCCCAGCTACTCGGGAGGCTGGGGCAGGAGAATCACTGGAACCTGGGAGGGGGAGATTGCAGTGAGCCAAGATCACGCCACTGCACTCCAGCCTAGGCGACACAGTGGAGAAAAAAAAAAAAAAGAAAGCTGCTGAAGAAAAGAGGGCACTATGACAATAGTACAGCTTGGCTGTGTCCTGTCCCCCAACAAGGAGCCATAAATAGTACTTACTGGAATTCTTCATGATAAATGTGGTACGCCAAATGCAGGAGATAATTCAAAAATGTTCTCAAAAGTATTGTTGTAAATGGAGAATGGATTTCTTCAACTGGTATGTCATTATTGGCTAAAATAAGAGAATTGGAGAGGATGGCTGGTATATGCTGGAAGCTTCTATTTTATTTGCTCCTGGTATACAATTCAAAGAACAGAACTGGACAGAGTACTTATTGCAGAATGCTCTGAGCATATATAAGCATCCAGCTAAAAACTTAAAACCCTGTGAAAGCCAGGTGCAGTGGCTCATGCCTGTAATCCAGGACTTTGGGAGGCCGAGGCAGGCAGACTGCCTGACGTCAGGAGTTCGAGACCAACCTGGGCAACATGGCAAATCCTTGTCTCTATTAAAAATACAAAAACTTAGCCAAGCATGGTGGCGTGTGCCTGTAATCCCAGCTTCTGGGGAGGCTGAGGCTTGAGAATCACTGGAACCCCCGAGGTAGAGGTTGCAGTGAGCCGAGATCAAGCCACTGCACTCCAGCCTGGGTGACAGAGTGAGACGCCATCTCGCACACAACAAAAGTCACTCTGGCTCCTTTACAAGACATCTTGTCCCAGTGTTTTCCAGAGTAGTCTGAGAAACAATATGAGTGCTGCTAATTCTAAATGAATTTTAAGTATGGTTCAAACACTAAACTTTGAAGTAAATGGGAATTTTTTTCAGTACTTTATTTTTCAAGTGGGTAATTTGAAGCTTTTAACTCTGCCTCCCAGAATTCAGCTGAAAGAAGTCAAACCTCCAAAGTTGTTAAATTTAATCACATCAACCTCCTAATTTGAAATCAAGACCAATCCTAAGACTACTTAAGGCCTTTTCTAGACTCTTCCAAGACACTGCTGATTCTCCTCACCATTTTTTTTTTTTTTTTTTTTGAGACGGCGTTTCGCTCTGTCACCCAGGCTGGAGTGCAGTGGCACTGTCTCAGCTCACTGCAACCCCTGCCTCCCGAATTCAAGCAATTCTCCTGCCTCAGCCTCCCGAGTAGCTAGGACTACAGGGGTACACCACGATGCCTGGCTAATTGTTGTATTTCTAGTAGAGATGGGGCTTCACCATATTTGCCACACTGGTCTTGAACTCCTGACCTCGTGATCCAACCACCTTGGCCTCTGAAGCTGCTGGAATTACAGGCAGGAGCCACTGCACCCAGCATTTTTTTTTTTTTTAAGACAGTCTCACTCTGTCGCCTAGGCTGGAAATCTTGGCTTACTGCAACCTCCATCTCCCAGGCTCAAGCGATTCTACTGCCTCAGCCTCCCACTGAGTAACTGAGGCTACAGGTGCATGCCACCACACCTGGCTAATTTTTGTATTTTTAGTAGAGATAGGATTTTACCACGTTGGCCAGGCTGGTCTCACACTCCTAACCTCAAGTGATTCGCCACCTTGGGCTCCCAAAGTGCTGGGATTATAGGTGGAAGTCACCATTCCTGGCCGTCTCCCCATTTCTGACCTGACAATTGAGGGCTTTTTTACTATAAATCAGTGGTCAGGGGGAGAGAGGGAGGCAAACTTTCTGTAAAGGGCCAGAGAGTAAATATTTAGGCTTGTTGATCCAGACAATCTCCATCACAACCCCTCAACTGTGGTGCTTTGGGGAAAAATAGTCACAGACACATAAGCAAACAGGCATGCGTGTGTTCCAGTAAAGCATGATTTAGGGGAACAGGGGGTAGGCTGGATTTCACCCTGGGGCCATGCGTTGCTGGCCCTGCTGTAGGTGACCTCCTACCACTGCTGTTTCGTCATAAAACTGTCTCTTCAAGTACATCATCATCGCCAGGGGAACAAGACCACGTGCTGATTTCTGGAACACTTCTCCCAACCTAGGCCCTCCCCACTCCCTCCACATTTCCTAACTGGTTTCCAGGTGACATTGTGATACTGTCCTTTAAACCAGCGGTCCCCACCCGTTTTGGCACCGGGGACCGATTTTGTGGAAGACAATTTTTCCATGAATGGTGGGAAGGGGTGGGGGGTTCTTGGTTTCAGGATGATTCAAGTGCATTGCAATTATTGTGCACTTTTTTCTATTATTATTATTATTAGAAACGAAAGCTCACTCTGTCGCCCAGGCTGGAGTGCAGTGGCACGATCTCTGCTCACTGCAACCTCCGCCTCCCAGGTTCAAGCGATTCTTCTGTCTCAGCCTCCTGAGTAGCTGAGGCTACAGGCACGCGCCATCACACCCAGCTAATTTTACGTTTTGTATTTTTAGTAGAGACAGGATTTCACTACATTGACCAGGGTGGTCTTGAACTTCTGACCTCGTGATCTGCCTGCCTTGGCCTCTCAAAGTACTGGGATTACAGGTGTGGCCACTTTATTTCTATTATTACTACATTATAATACAAAATGAAACAATTATACAAATCACCATCATGCAGAATCAGTGGAAGCCGTGATCTTGTTTGCCTGCAGCTAGATGGCTCCATCTGGTGGTAATGGGAGGCAGTGACAGAACATCAGGCATTGAATTCTCAAACACACAACCTAGATCCCACTCATGTGCAGTTCACAGGATTCGCGCTCTTATGAGAATCCAATGCTGCTGCTGATCTGCAGGAGGCAGAGCTCAGGCGGTAATGCCAGCGATGGGGAGCGGCTGTAAAAACAGATCAAGGGGCCAGACGCAATGGCTCACACCTGTAATCCCAGCACTTTGGGAGGCCAAGGCAGGTGGATCACAAGGTCAGGAGTTCGAGACCAGCCTGGCCAACATGGTGAAACCCCATCTCTACTAAAAATACAAAAGTTAGCTGGGCGTAGTGCTGAACGCCTGTAATCCCAGCTACCTGGGAGGCTGAGGCGGGAGGCTGAGGCAGGAGACTCGCTTGAATCTGGGAGGTGGAGGTGGCAGTGAGCCAAGATAGTGCCAGTGCACTCCAGCCTGGGTGACAGAGCAAGACTCCATCTCAAAAAAAAAAAAAAAAACAGAGGAAGGTTCACTTGCTTGCCCACTGCTCACCTCAGACTGTGCAGCCTGGTTCCTAACGGGCCACGGACCAGTAGTGGTCCGTGGTCCAGGGGTTGTAGACCCCTGCTTTAAACCAAAATATGTGAAGGACCTAGAATACTCACCACTTAATATCCTGTCCATATCAGCAAGAGTTAGTTTGTGATGATGAAATTTGCAATCCTTTAGAAATCTCCAGAAGTGAAGCTTTGTCATCAGAAAGGTATTATCCAGAGAGCGGTCGCATCCCAGGCTGCTATAAAAGCTATAGATTCTTCTTAATTCTGTAATGTTTCTTAAGACAGCGTATTCCGCCTGAAAGGAAGAAAGCCATGCGTGTCTTAATTCTGCAGAGTAAGAACAAAAGGTGGCCAGGCTCAGTGGCTCAATCCTATAATCCTACCACTTTGGGAGGCCAAGGCAGGAGGATCACCTGAGGTCAAGAGTTCGAGACCAGCCTGGCCAAGATGGTAAAACCCCGTCTCTACTAAAAATACAAAATTCGCTGGGCATGGTGGCAGGCATCTGTAATCTGAGCTACTCAGGAGGCTGAAGCAGGAGAATCGCTTGAACTCAGGAGGTGGAGGTTGCAGTGAGCAGAGATCGCACCACTGCACTTCAGCCTGGGTGACAGAGCAAGACTCTGTTTCAAAAAATAACAAAAGAGAAAACTCAATTCAACTGAATAAACATGTATCGTCTACCTGATCTAAAGCATTGTTCTATGCCTGGCACAGTGGCTCATGCCTATAATCCCAACACTTTGGGAGGCCGAGCCAGGCAGATCACCTGAGGTCAGGAGTTCGAGACCACCTTGGCCAACATGTTGAAACCCCATCTCTACAAAAATATAAAAATTAGCCAGGCATAATGGCGGTTGCCTGTAATCCAAGCTACTCAGGAGACTGAGGCAGGAGAATTGCTTAAACCCAGGAGGCAGAGGTTGCGGTGAGCCGAGATCATGTGACCACACTCCAGCCTGGGCGACAGAGCAACACTCTGTCTCAAAAAAAAAAAAAAAAAAATACATTCAACACAGGACAGCAGCTGCCAGCTATATTTCCCCAGGATGAAATTGATAGCAATAAAAAGGATTTTACCTGCTTCTTTTCTTCAGCTTGGACTGTCTCAGGGTACATGTTCAGGAGCAAATTTAAATCCAGCTCAACGCTTGATCCCAACACAGAATGACTTTCACTGCCATCAAGCTTTCTGATCAGTTCTAATGAATAAAGGCAAATACAGGGGATGATTATGGTTTGGTGGTTGTTTTTATTTTGTTTCGTTTTTTGTTTTTTTGAGACAGGACCTCACTCCGTTGCACAGGCTGGAGTGCAGTGGCGCAACCTCAGCTTAGCACAAACTCTGCCTCCCAGGCTGAAACAATCCAACTCAGCCTCCCGAGTAGCTGGGACTACAGACATGTGCCATCAAGGCCAACTAATTTTTCTATTTTTTGTTGACATGGGGTTTCACCATGTTGCCCAGGTCTTGAACTCCTGAGCTCAAGCGATCCACCCGTCTTGGCCTCCCAAAGTACTAGGATTACAGGCATGAGCCACCATGCCCATCGTTGGAGATAATTATGAAAAGCAATGTTAAAATTTCTCAATGTCATGTCACAGTGATTTCTCACCAAATTGAGATACAAAAGTACTCCAAAAAGCTAATAAGAAAGCAGGTGGGCACAGTGGCTCATGCCTGTAATCCCAGCACTTGGGGAAGCCAAAATGGGAGGTGAAGACAGCAGTGAGCTGTGATCGCACCACATCACTCCAATCTGAGCAACAGAGAGATCCCATCTCTAAAAAAAAACATTTTTTAAAGCAGTTGCTAACCAGGCACGATGGCCTGCACCTGTAATCTCAACATTTTGGGAGGCTGAGGCAAGATGACTGCTTGAGGACAGGAGTTTGAACAGCCTCGACAACATAGCGAGACCCTGCCTCTACAAAAAGTTTAAAAATTATCCAGGTATGGTGGTGCACACCTGTATTCCCAGCTAATGGGGAGGCTGAGCCCAGAAGTTTGAGGCAGTAGTGAACAGTGAGCGTATCACTGCATTCTAGCCTGTGACAGCGTGAGACTTAGTCTCAAATTAAAAAAAAAAAGAAGTTCCTCACAGAGGACTCATGTTTTCTGAAGTGTTTGGTGTATTTTCACGAGTGGACACCATGGATAAAAGCAGATGAATAAAGGCCGGGTACAGTGGCTCAAGCCTGTAATCCCAGCACTTTGGGAGCCCGAGGCAGGTGGACCACGAGGTCAAGAAATTGAGACCATCCTGGTCAACATGGTGAAACTCCGTCTCTACTAAAAATACAAAAAATTAGCTGGAAATGGTGGTGCGTGCCTGTAATCCCAGCTACTCAGGAGGCTGAGGCAGGAGAATTGCCTGAACCCAGGAGGCGGAGGTTGCGGTGAGCCGGGATCGCGCCATTGCACTCCAGCCTGGGTAACAAGAGCGAAACTCCGTCTCAAAAAAAAAAAACGATGAATATTATTTCAACAGGTGAACGCTTCCTACCGGCACTGTCAGACAATCTTTGGGCAACTCCTGTAGACAGGTCCTGGCAGCTGATGAATTCAACTTCGAGATCTGAAAACCCAGCTATGTGATCATTGGAGAATGCGCCTTCGAACACACGCCCATTCTTGAAAGTTAATCGGCCCTGCAGACAGAAAAACAACTTTGTGCAGTTTAGAAAGAGTTTTTGCCGGGCGCAGTGGCTCACACCTGTAATCCCAGCACTTTGGGAGGCCGAGGCAGGTGGATCACCTGAGGCCGGGAGTTTGAGATCAGCCTGACCAACATGGAGAAACCCCATCTCTGCTAAAAATACAAAATTTGCGGGGCGTGATGGTGCATGCCTGTAATCCCACCTACTCAGAGGCTGAGGCAGGAGAATCGCTTGAACCCAGGAGGCGGAGGTTGCTGTGGGTCAATATCGAACTATTCCACTCCAGCCTTGGCAACAAGAGCAAAACTTCATCTCAAAAAAAAAAAAAAGAAAGAAAAAGTTTTCTTAGAAAAACACTGGTAAATGTACATCAATAGCTTTTTCAAGAGTTCGGAGCTTTTTGGAGCATCAGGCTCCTGGTGTAAGTCTTCTCTCTCTTCCTCCCCTTCCCATGGCTCCTCCTGCTCTTCCCCTCTCTCTCTGTATCTGCCCCACAACCTTTCTGCAATTTTAAGCACCTCTAGGCCACAGAATGTGTCTTATTAAACTAGGTTACTGACCAGCAGAATGCCCATCAAACAATAGAGACTCCTCGATTTTTTTTTTTTTTTTTTTGAGACGGAGTTTCGCTCTCGTTACCCAGGCTGGAGTGCAATGGCGCGATCTCGGCTCACCGCAACCTCCGCCTCCTGGGTTCAGGCAATTCTCCTGCCTCAGCCTCCTGAGTAGCTGGGATTACAGGCACGCGCCACCACGCCCAGCTAGTTTTTTGTATTTTTAGTAGAGACGGGGTTTCACTATGTTGACCAAGATGGTCTCGATCTCTCGACCTCATGATCCACCTGCCTTGGCCTCCCAAAGTGCTGGGATTACAGGCTTGAGCCACCGAGCCCGGCCTTTTTTTTTTTTTTTTTTAAGACAAGAGTCTTGCTCTGTCCTCCAGGCTGGAGTGCAGTGGCATGATCTTGGCTCACTACAACCTTCGCCTCCTGGGTTCAAGCGATTCTCCTTCCTCAGCCTCCTGAGTAGCTGGGATGACAGGTGCCCACCTCCATGCTTGGCTAATTTTTTATTTTTAGTAGAGAGTCTTGAGACCAAAACTCAATCTCAAGAAAAAAAAAAAGTTCCTCCTTTTCTTCTAGATAGTATGGTACATGGATGTGAAGGCTGGAACCACAGCAGCCATCCTGCAGTCATGAGAGAGGAAAACCACAAGGGTGAAAGTGACATAGTGGGAGAGATTGTAGATAGATGGAAGAGAAATCCTGACAGCACTGAGTTGTTGAGTCAAACCAACCCTGAAGCCTACATTATTCTGTATTATACATGGTAGATGACACTAGATTGTCTGTTACTTGCAAACCAAAACCACCCTTACACACACACAAGCACAGCAAAAACTAATTAAATAACCACTAAATATACAAGAAATCAAGGACCATTGAAAATATTTTGCCGGACATAGTGGCTCATGCCTGTAATCCCAGCACTTTGGGAGGCCGAGGTAGGAGGATCACTTGAGGCCAGGAGTTCGAGACCAGCTTGGCCAACATCATGAAACCTCCATTAGTACTGAAAAAAAAAAAAAAGAAAAAGAAAAGAGCCTGCGGTAGTGGTGGAAGCCTGTAATCCCAGCTACTGGAGAGGCTGAGGCACAAGAATTACTTGAACTCAGGAGGTGGAGGTTGCAGTGAACCAAGATAGTACCACTCCACTCCATCCTGGGGGACAGAGCGAAACTCTGTCTCAATGAAAAAAAAAAAAAAAAAGTCATGTAATCACCTTAGCAAAACAGTTAAGTTATCCTATGCAAAATGGATAATGCAATTTAATGGAGAATGACATGATGCCTTTGTGAAAAAGAGCTCTGGAGGTGGATGGTGGTGATGGTTGCACAGCAATGTAAACGTACTTAATGCCAATGAGTTGTGCATTTACAAATGGTTAAGATGGTAAATTGTTTTTTTTTTTCTCTTTTTTTTTTTTTTTTTTTGAGATGGAGTTTCGCTCTGTTGCCCAGGCTGGAGTGCAGTGGCGTGATCTCAGCTCACTGCAACCTCAGCCTCCCAGGTTCAAGTGATTCTCCTGCCTCAGCCTCCCCAAGCTGCTGCAACTACAGGCACCCACCAGGTCCGGCCAAAATTTTTTGTATTTTTCGTAGAGACAGGGTTTCACCATGTTGGCCAGGCTGATATGGAACTCCTAACCTCAGGGGATCTGTCCACCTCGGCCACCCAAAGTACTGGGATTATAGGAACGAGCGACTGGCCAAGATGGTAACTATTAAATGTACTTTACCACAATTAAAATTAGAAATCTAGAGTGCCTATATTTACATCAGACAAAATAGACCTCAGAGAAATGAAAATTACCAGGGTTGGCCAGGCATGGTGGCTCACACCTGTAATCCCAGCACTTTGGGAGGCCAAGGAGGGGTGGATCACCTGATTTCAGGAGTTTGAGACCAGCCTGGCCAACATGATGAAACCCCATCCCTACTAAAAATACAAAGATTATCCAGGTGTGGTGGCAGGCACCTGTAATCCCAGCTAGGGATTACAGGTGGGAGGCTGAGGCAGGAGAATCACTTGAACCCAGAAGGCGGAGGTTGCAGTGAGCTGAGATCGGATGGATGTACGCCAGCCTGTGCAACATTATGTGATGATCAAAAGAGCCCATGCACCAATACATAATATTCCTAAATGTGTATGCACTTAACAGCAAAGCTTCAAATATATGAAGCAAAAACTGATACACCTGGAAGTAGAAATAGACAAATCTGCAATTATACTTGGACTTTTCCATTGCTTTACATAATTTCAGTGGCTTTACATAATTATTTAAAATGTGATCTTCCCAGGTCTATACTCACCATGCCATGTTTCTTATTGAAAACCCATTCTCCATCATACATGGCTCCACTGGCATAATAAAATTTGCCATGTCCGTGACGATATCCGTTCACAAACTCTCCTATGTATTCGTTTCTCAAAGGATACTGGGAATTGGGGATTCTCTTTAGAAACCACGTGTGTGTTCCAAAGCCATTCTGAAAAGAAAGCAAACTGCCATCAGAAATGAACAAAGCAGGCTGGGCGCGGTGGCTCACTCCTGTAATCCCGGCATTTTGAGAAGGCAAGGTGGGTGGATCACCTGAAGTCAGGAGTTCGAGACCAGCCTAACCAACATGGTGAAACCCTGTCTCTACTAAACACAAAAATTAGCTGGGTGTGGTGGCCTGTGCCTGTAATCCCAGCTAATTTTTGTATTTAAAAAATACAAAAGGCTAAGGCAGAAGAATCGCTTGAATCCAGGAAGCAGTGGTTGCAGTGAGCCGAGACTGCGCCATTGCACTCCAGCCTGGGCAACAAGAGCAAAAATCCTTCTCAAAAAAAAAAAAAAAAAGCACAAAGCAGTTTCTCTCTTTACCCAAATCCACTGAAAATTAGGACAAATACAATGAAAACTGGAAGGGGCAAAGAACTTGGACTCTGGAGTCACACAGACTTGGGTTCAATTTCAGCTCAGCTACTTACTAATGAGACTTTTGAACTAAGGCAGATCATTTAAGCCAGGTGTCCCCAAACTATGGCCCACGGCCCCCTGAGGCCATTTATCCGGCCCCCCGCTGCACTTCAGGAAGGGGCACCTCTTTCATTGGTGGTCAGTGAGAGGAGCACAGTATGTGGCGGCCCTGCAACGGTCTGAGGGACAGTGAACTGGCCCCCTGTGTAAAAAATTTAGGGAAGCCTGATTTAAGCTGTCTAAGCTCCTCATCTGTAAAACAGAAATAACACCTACTCCTCAGGTTAGATATGAAGGAGTTCAAAACCAGCCTGGCCATCATGTTGAAACTATGTCTCTACTAAAAAGTGAAGTGAGCCGGGCACGGTGGCTCAAGCCTGTAATCCCAGCACTTTGGGAGGCCGAGGCGGGTGGATCATGAGGTCAAGAGATCGAGACCATCCTGTTCAACATGGTGAAACCCCGTCTCTACTAAAAACACAAAAAATTAGCTGGGCATGGTGGCGCGTGCCTGTAATCCCAGCTACTCAGGAGGCTAAGGCAGGAGAATTGCCTGAACCCAGGAGGCAGAGGTTGCGGTGAGCCGAGATTGCGCCATTGCACTCCAGCCTGGGTAACAACAGCGAAACTCTGTCTCAAAAAAAAAAATGTGAAGTGTATATAAAGTGCCTTGCTTAATCATGATGATTTTCATTGTTATTTTAAATATTTATTTACTTTTATATTTGTTTATTTTTTGAGAAAGTGTCTCACTCTGTCACCCAGGCTAGAGTACAGTGGCACAATCTTGGCTTACTGCAGCCTTGACCTCCAAGACTCAGGTGATCCTCCCACCTCAGTCTCCTAAGTAGCCAGGAATATAGGCACCCAGCACCACTCCTGGCTATTTTTTATATTTTTAGTAGAGATGGGGTTTCACCATATTGCCAAGGCTGGTCTCAAACTCCTGGCCTCAATCCTCAAGTGACCTCCCAAAGTGCTGGGATTACAGGTGTGAGTCACTGCACCTAGCCTATATTTTTATCTTTTAAAGATACAAATTGGGCTGGGGGCTGTGGCTGATGCCTGTAATCCTAGAGCTTTAAGAGGCGGAGGTGGGAGGATCTCATGAACACAGGAGTTCAAGACCAGCCTGAGTAGTTAGGAAAGTGAGACCTTGTCTCTACAAAAAAATAAAACTTTTTAAAAATTAGTCAGGCTCGGTGGTAGTGGGCATATGTAGTCTCGGTTACACAGGAGGCTGAGGTGGGAGGATCGCTTGAGCCAGGCAGAGCCATGATTACACCACTGCAGTCTGGCCTGGGCAACAGAGCAAGACTGTCTCTAAAAACAAACAGGCTGGGTGCGTTGGCTCATACCTGTAGTCCCAGCACTTTGGGAGACAGAGGCAGGAAGATCACGAGATCACAAGTTCAAGACCAGCCTGATCAACATGGTGAAACCTCATCTCTACTAAAAATACAACAATTAGCTGGGAGTGGTGGCAGGTACCTGTAATCCCAGCTATTCAGGAGGCTGAGACAGGAGAATCATTTGAACCTGGGGAAGTGGAGGCTGCAGTGAGCCGAGATCATGCCATTGTATTCTAGCCTGGGTGACAGAGCGAGGCAAGACTCCGTCTCAAAACAAACAAACAGGCCAGGAATGGTGGCTCACGCCTGTAATCCCAGCACTTTGGGAGGTCAAGGCAGGCAGATCACTTGAGGTCAGGAGTTTGAAACCACCCAGGCCAACATGGTGAAACCCCATCTCTACTAAAAACACAAAAAAAGATAATTAGCCAGGCGTGGTGGTAGGCACCTATAATTTCAGCTACTCCGGAGGCTGAAGCAGGAGAATTGCTTGAACCCAGGAAATGGAGGCTGCAGTGAGCCGAGATCATGCCACTACACTCCAGCCTCGGTGACAGAGAGAGGGAGACTCCGTCTCAAACAAAACTAAACAAAACAAAAATAATAATACGTGAGTTGAGAATCATTGGCACGCCTGCCTCTGGGTATAAGCTGCTAACTCACCCGGACGTACCTGGATGCCCCTCTCCCACTGCCCGGTGTACTCTTGGTTGGCAGTCAGCCACCTCATCCTACCCTCCCCGTGGCGCACGTTGTCTTCCCACTGGCCTTCGTATATATTTCCAGATTTATAACTAGGATGAATGAAACCAAAGAAAAGCAATCAGTCGCCTCCTACATGACATTCACCTTTAAGACTTTCTTTTAAACATTCCCCTTGAACTCCTTTGAAGAAATCCAACCCTTGCACCTATACAATCTTCTCAGTATTTAAATTCAGGCCAGGCATGGTGGCTCACGCCTGTAATCCCAACACTTTGGGAGGCTGAAAAGGGTGGATCTCCTGAGGTCGGGAGTTTGCGACTAGCCTGACCAACATGGAGAAACCCCATCTCTACTCAAAATACAAAATTAGCTGGGTGTTGTGGCACGTGCCTGTAATCCAAGCCACTCGGGAGGCTGAGGCAGGACAATCACTTGAACCCAGGAGGCGGAGGTTGTGGTGAGCCGATATCACGCCACTGCACTCCAGCCTGGGCAACAAGAGCAAAACTCCATCTCAAAAAAAAAAAAAAATTAAAAATACAAATAAAAATATTATCCAGGCATGGTAGCAGGCACCTGTAATCCCAGCTCCTCGGGAGGATGAGGCAGGCGAATCGCTTGAACCCAGTAGGTGGAGGTTGCAATAAGCAGAGATTGTACCACTGCACTCTAGCTCAGGCAACAGAGTAAGATTCTGTCTCACAAAAAAAAAAAAAAAAAAAAAAAAAAAAGAATTCAATGAATAGGCACATGGTCCTAAGGGAGCAGCAGAATGGATCACCTTATTAAACCTTCTGATTGGCCAGGCGCGGTGGCTCAAGCCTGTAATCCCAGCACTTTGGGAGGCTGAGGCGGGTGGATCACGACGTCAAGAGATGGAGACCATCCTGGTCAACATGGTGGAACCCCGTCTCTACTAAAAATACAAAAAGTTAGCTGGGCATGGTGGCACGTGCCTGTAATCCCAGCTACTCGGGAGGCTGAGGCAGGAGAACTGCTTGAATCCAGGAGGCAGAGGTTGCGGTGAGCCGAGATCGTGCCATTGCACTCCAGCCTGGGTAACAAGAGCGAAACTCTGTCTCAAAAAAAAAAAAAAAAAACCTTCTGATTGATTATTTAATAAGGTGACAAGGTGGGTAAGAACTGGGCTTTTAAAATCTTTTTTATCGTATCATGATTAGTTAATATTTGGCCAGTTTTGGAGATGGGATCTTACTCTGTCACCCAGGCTGGAGTGCAGTGATACAATCACGGCAGGAGAATCGCTTGAACCCAGAAGGCAGAGGTTACAGAAAGCCAAGATCCGTCACTGCACTCCAGTCTGGGTGACAGAGCAAGACGCCGTCCCCACTCCCTCAAAAAATATTCCACTCTGCTTAGAGAGAAAATGTTCTCTACAACTTTTGTACCTTACTTTTATTTATTTTATTTTTTATTTATTTATTTTTATTTTTTTTTATATTTTTTTTTTTATTTTTTTTTGAGATGGAGTTTTGCTCCTGTTACCCAGGCTGGAGTGCAATGGCGCGATCTCGGCTCACCACAACCTCTGCCTCCTGGATTCAGGCAATTCTCCTGCCTCAGCCTCCTGAGTAGCTGGGATTACAGGCACGCGCCACCATGCCCAGCTAATTTTTTGTATTTTTTTAGTAGAGACGGGGTTTCACCATGTTGACCAGGATGGTCTCGATCTCTTGACCTCGTGATCCACCCGCCTCGGCCTCCCAAAGTGCTGGGATTACAGGCTCGAGCCACCGTGCCCGGCCTATTTTTTATTTATTTTTTATTTTTTGAGACGGAGTTTCGCTCTTGTTACCCAGGCTGGAGTGCAATGGCCCGATCTCGGCTCACCACAACCTCCGCCTCCTGGGTTCAGGCAATTCTCCTGCCTCAGCCTCCGGAGTAGCTGGGATTACAGGCACGCGCCACCATGCCCAGCTAATTTTTTGCACCTTTAGTAGAGACGGGGTTTCACCATGTTGACCAGGATGGTCTCGATCTCTTGACCTCGTGATCCACCCGCCTCAGCCTCCCAAAGTGCTGGGATTACAGGCTTGAGCCACCGCGCCCGGCTGTACTTTACTTTTAAATATCCGAAGTGAACATTATTTGGGCCCACACCCCGAGCACGGCCGCAGTCACACCTACCATCTTATGCCCCAGCCTTTTTTGATGTTTTGCACCCAGTCTCCCTCGTACCAACACGTGCCCTCTTGATTGTAATAAATGGTGCCCTAAAACAAATAATATCATCTTTAAAACTATCAAGCCTCACTACACAAACGCTTTGTCAAATGAAAGAATGTCAACGCAAAAAGTAGAAACTACACAGAGGTCAACCGCACAGGTAGGCGAGACATATAACCCGTTATTTTTCTGTTTACTGTGAAGAAAATGGTGAAACTGCCGCACAAGGGGGAATGAGATAATGTCACAAAGCAATTGTTCCTTAATAAAGTGCTATATTAACTCACAGAATGACTGTATTCATCATATTCAAGTATATTCATTATATTGAGTAACTATTAGTCAATTAAGTACCTAGAGGAACCTTGGCCGCAGTGGCTCCCACCTGTAATCCCAGAACTTTGGGAGGCCGAGATGGGCAGATCACGAGGTCAAGAGATCGAGACCATCCTGGCCAACATGATGAAACCTCATCTCTACTAAAAATACAAAAATTAGCCGGGCGTGGTATAGACCCAGCTACTCTCAGGCTGAGGCAGGAGAATCGCTTGAACCCGGGAGGCGGAGATTGCAGTGAGCCGAGATCGAGCCACTGCACTGCAGCCTGGGCGACAGAGCAAGACTTCATGCCAATAAATAAAGAAGTAAGTAAAATGGTTAATTTATGTGACGTGAATTTCACCTCAATAAACAAAAAGTGGATATGCCCTGGACAGCGCCACTAGCCCATACTCCCTATTTCCCTCCATGTGGCCACCCAGCCCCCTCCCCTGCCCTCCACAGGGCCACCCAACCCCATGGCTGCCCCGCCCCCTTCCCGCCCCTCATGGCTGCCCCGCCCCTTTCCCCGCCCCTCATGGTTGCCCCGCCCACCTTCCCGTGCCGCTTGCCATTGCACCAGTGGCCTATGTAGGACACAGGCTGGGTGCTGCACTTGAACATCCCGAATCCGTTCCTCATGCCGTTGACCACTTCGCCTTCATACCTGCTGCCATCCGGCCACGTGTACACACCGTGGTTCATCGGGACGTTCTTCACAAAGTCGCCCTGAAGCAGAATGGCCATGGGGTGACAAAAGCAAGCGAGGGGCAGGGTGAAAATCCCTAGTTCTGTGGGCGGTTCCAGGCGCCGCTTGGGCTCTGATTCTGTTCCTGCCTTTCCGCCTGTGGACACACACTGAACATCTCCCTCGCATTCTCTCTCGTCCTTCCCTTTCTGCATTTCCCATCCTCTCTCATCTGACCTGACCACTGGGTAGAAGTTCAGGTAGGAGGTAACTGGGAGGTTGCAGGTCGACCGAGCTCCAAGAAGCAAGCAGGTAATATTGGAAAGTGCTGGCTCCCAATCCTAACCTGGGGAACTTCAGATTCTTAGAACCTACCTTGGCAGGGAGCAGTGGCTCAAGTCTGTAATCCAGAGTCTTGCTCTGCTCCCCAGGCTGGAGTGCAATGGTGAAATCTCTGCTCACTGCAACTTCCACCTCCCAGGTTCAAGCAATTCTCCTGCCTCAGCCTCCCAAGTAGCTGGGATTACAGGCACTTTAACCCAGGAGGCCACCAGGCCCAGCTAATTTTTTTGTGTTTTTAGTAGAGATGGGGTTTTACCATGTTGGCCAGGCTGGTCTCAAAGTCCTGACCTTGCTGGTCTCAAAGTCCTGACCTCAGGTGATCCACCCACCTCAGCCTCACAAAATGCTGGGATTACAGGTGTGAGACATTGCACCTGACTTTTTTTTTTTTTTTTTTTTTTTGGTCATAGGTCTTGCTCTGTCACCTAGGTTGGAGTACAGTAGCGCAATCATAGCTCACTGCAGCTTCGACCTCCTAGGCCCAAGTGATCCTCAAACCTCTGCCTCCCAAGTAGCTGAGACTACAGGTGTGTGTGCCACCAAGCCCTGCTAATTTTTAAATTTTCTTGAGATGGGATTTCTCTATGTTGCCCAGGCTGGTCTCAAACTCCCAGCCTCAAGTGATCCTCCCACCTTGGCCTCCCAAGAAGCTGGGACTACAGATGCATGCCACCAAGGTGCAGTTGTGCATGCCTGGAATCCCAGCACTTTGTGGGTGCTGAGGTGAGAGGATCACTTGAGCCCTGGAGGTTGAGGCTGCAGCAAACTAAGACCACAGCGGAGAGATCCAAGATGGCTGATCACTAGCAGCTCGGGATTGTAGCTCCTAGTGAAAGCACAAAGAACGAGAGGACGCCACACCTTCACATGAATTCTTGTTGCTCACGCACCAGGACATTCCCAGCAGAGGAGCCCCACGGTTCGCCAACGCGACTCTTGTGACCGGCAAGGTGGTTTTGCCAGTGCCTTGGGAGCGTCAGTTCTTGGTGCAGAGTCAGAGAAGCACCATCAATCTTAACGCCGCTGATTTAGTCAGCACAGTGGGTTGCTCAGATTTCGGCGCTGAGAATCAATAAGTTGGACGTCCACTCAGAAACCCAACTACAAAGACGGTAATTATAAAGACCACAGATGGATAAATCTACAACGAAGGGAAGAAAACAGCCAAAAAAGGCTGAGAATACCCAAGATCAGAACGCCTCTCCCTCAGCAGGGGATCCCAGTTCCTCATCAGCAAGAAAACAAGGCTTGATGGAGAACGAGTGTGTTCCAATTACAGAAGCAGGCTTCAAAATGTGGATAATAAGAAACTTCTGTGAATTAAAAGAACTTGTTCAAACCCAATCTAAAGAAACTAAGCACTTTGAAAAAAGGTTTGACGAAATGTTAACAAGAATACACAATTTAGAGAGGAATATAAGCGAATTGATGGAGCTGAAAAACACAATACAAGAACTACGTGAAGTATGCACAAGTTTTAACAGTCGAATTCATCAAGCAGAAGAAAGGATATCAGAAGTCGAAGACCAACTCAATGAAATAAAACTAGAAGACAAGATTAGAGAAAAAAGGATAAAAAAGAACGACCAAAGTCTCCAAGAAATATGGGACTATGTGAAAAGACCCAATCTACGCTTGATAGGTGTACCTGAATGTGACGAAGAGAATGAATCCAAGCTGGAAAATACGCTTCAGGATATTATTCAGGAAAATTTTCCCAACCTGGTAAGGCAGGATAATATTCAACTCCAGGTAATACAGAGAACACCACAAAGATATTCCTCAAGATGAGCAACTCCAAGGCATGTAATCGTCAGATTCACCAGGGTTGAAATGAAGGAGAAAATACTAAGGGCAGCCAGAGAGAAAGGTCAGGTTACCCACAAAGGGAAGCCTATCAGACTTACAGCAGATCTCTCAGCTGAAACCCTACAAGCCAGAAGAGAGTGGGGACCAATATTCAACATCCTTAAAGAAAAGAACTTTCAACCAAGAATTTCACATCCAGCCAAACTAAGCTTCATAAGTGAAGGATAAATAAAGTTTTTGTGAACAATCAAGCACTCAGAGATTTCATCACCACCAGGCCTGCTTTACAAGAGCTTTTGAAAGAACCACTACACATAGAAAGGAACAAACAGTATCAGCCTTTCTAAAAAATACCAAAAAGAGCATCAATATAATGAAGAATTTACATCAACTAATGTGAAAAATGCCAGCTAATATTAAATGGCAGTATTAAACTCACATATATCATTATTAATTCTAAATTTAAATTGACTAAATCACCCAATCCAAAGACAGACAGGCAATTTGAATAAAAAACTAAAACCCATCAGTATGCTGCATCCAGACCCATCGCATATTCAAGGATACACAAAGACTCAAAACAAGGGATGGAGAAAGATTTACCAACCAGAGAGCTAAAATATATAAATAAAAAGCAGAAGTTACAATTTTTGCCTCTGATAAAATAGTCGTTAAAGCAATAAAGATCCAAAGAAGCAAAGAAGGACATTATATAATGATAAAAGGATCAATGCAACAACAAGAAGAGCTAAAGATCCTAAATATATACGCACCCAATACAGGAATACCCAGACATAAAAGACTAATAAAGAGACTTAGACTCCCACACAATAATAGTGGGAGACTTTAACATTAATATTAGACAGATCAATGAGACAGAAAATGAACAACGATATCCAGGACTTGAACTCAGATCTGGAACAAGTAAACGTAATTAACATTTATAGAACTCTCCACTTTAAATACACAAAATATACACTCTTATCAGTACCACATCATATCAACTTAGAAGTTTAAACGAAATGTTGATTGCCTCCTTGTCTGTTATTCTCTTCCCTCATTTTCTTTCATGTCTCCATTATTAAGGATAATTACAGGCATACCCATGTTTAGACTGCATTCTAGCCCGGGCAATAAAGCAATACCCACATCGTCTCTCCCTCTTCCTCTTTCTTCCTCTTCTTTATTCTTTTTCTTATTATTAAAAAAAAAAAATCTAATCTCCTTTCCTTTTGCCCCACTTTTCCTCCCCATTCTCTCTTCTTATAAAATATATATATATATATATATATATATATATATATATAAGAAAATTCAAATTTAAACATCGGTCAACCAACGTAACTATAAAGTAAAACTGCCAACAAGAAAAAAAAAAAAAAAGACCACAGCATTTCAGCCAGGGTGACAGAGCAAGATCCTGTCTCTAACAGAAAAAAAAAAGCCAGAACCTGCTCAAAGGAGGTGAATTCACTGTTCCCTCCAGGCTTCGTGATGACTGGGGAAATCCCTTCCCCTCCCCGCCAAGATGGAGTTTTGCTCTTTTTGCCCAGGCTGGAGTGCAGTGGTACAATCTCAGCTCATTGCCTCCCAGGTTTAAGCAATTCTCCTCCTCCCAAGTGGCTAGCATTACAGGTGTATGCCATCACGCCCTACCAATTTTTGTATTTTTAGTAGAGATAGGGTTTTACCATGTTAGCCAGGCTCCCAAAGTGTTGGAATGACAGGTGCAAGCCACCGTTTCTGGCCAGGAAATCCCTCTTTCTGCCACGGGTCATCAGAATATTCTTTAAACGTGTCAGTCAACAGCTTGAGCTGAGGGCACCCGCTAGGGAATACGCTCTGCCAGGACATCAGAGTGGGCAGCACACACAACAGTGCACACTACCCAGCGGCATCAGATTCTCTTCCAGAAACCTCCACTCCGCGGAAGCAGCCAAGTCAGCAGAGAAAAGGGGACAGCGAAGCCTGACCTGATCACTAGCCAGGACCCATGAAGCTAGCCGGCCTTTCTCTGAGGATGCTTCTAGGAGACCCCTGAGTCCTGCCCAGAAGCCACCCTTACTGGCTGCAGCGGAGGGTCTGTGGCTGTGAAAGTGACATCTTCACCTTCCAAGAGTTTCCAGAGACAACAAGGCACAGGGGGTTTCTTGGTACATTGCCATTTAAGGGCCAGAAACCAGGCACAGTGGCTCAAGCCTGTAATCCCTGCACTTCGGGAGGCCGAGGTGGGCAGATTACCCAAGTCAGGAGTTTGAGACCATCCTGGCCAACATGGCAAAACCCCCCGTCTCTACCAAAAACACAAAAATTCGCGGAGCGTGGTTGTGCACGTCTGTAATCTCAGCTACTGTGGAGGCTGAAACACGTCTGTAATCTCAGCTACTATGGAGGATTCTACTATGGAAAATCGCTTGAACCCAGGAGGTGGAGGTTGCCATGAGCTGAGATTCCGCCACTGCACCCCAGCCTGGGCAACAGAGTGAGACTCCATCTGAAAAATAAATAAATAAAACAAGAACCAGAAACCTTGAATGTCGGTTGCAGGCTAGAAGGCAGGATGTCAAATGGGAAGGGAGCTGACATGAATCTGAGGTGGGGACCCAATCCTCAAGCTCCCTGGAACCTGGAGATCCTCCTTGCGCCGCGCCGACAGTGAGGGTCAGCCCAGCCCTCTCTCTCCCTGCTCCTCTACAGTTTGCCTCTCACTGATTAGCTGCAGTTGGATTCACGGCCCAAGCTTGACTCCATTTCCATCAGAACCTGGGTGTTATCTGAATAAGCGCATTACGTGCATGTGTTTTAAATGTCTTCATTACCATTTATAAACACCATCTGCGAGCAACTCTGCACTGGGGATTTTTAGATTAGCATTTCAGGCGCTCACTCACTTTGTGGGTGGGAATTGAAGCTGATACAATCCTTTGGAGAACAATTTGGTCCTTGCAATGGGTTTAAAAATACAGTCCCCTCAACCCAGCAAAGCAGGTTAAATAAAAGCCACATAATGGAATCCATGCAGCCAGTAAAAACAGTTAGAGCTGCATGAATGGATATGGGTTGAACTCTAAAAAAATAAAGGTACAGGCCAGGTGCAGTGGCTCACGCCTATAATCCCCAGCACTTTGGGAGGTTAAGGTGGGAGGATCGCTTGAGCCCAGGAGTTCGAGACCAGCCTGGGCAACACAGCACGACCCCGTCTCTATATAAAAGTAAAAATAAATTAGCTGGGTGCTGTGGTGCACACCTGTAGTCACAGTTACCCAGGAGGCTGAGGAGAGAGGATCGCTTGAGCCTAGGAGTTTGAGGCTGCAGTGAGTCATGATCTCACCACTACACTTCGGCCTGGGCAACAAAGCAAGACCCCACCTCAGATTAAATAAATAAATACATAAAGGTGCCAAAGAGAGTGTATAGTAAACTATGCATATCTGTAAAAAACAAGACAGGCTACAGAAGTTCAAGGCTGCAGTGAATCGTAATTGCAACACTGAACTCCAGCCTGGGCAACACAGCAAGACCCTGTCTCCAAAACAAACAAACAAACAAAAAAAACCAAAGTAAAGTGTGCCTTATATTTGCTGGCAGCTGATTAGTTTAAAAAAAAAAAAAAAAAGGACAGGCTGCATACACGTTTGTGTGCCCTGTGCTTAGAGCACATGGAGTGGAGTACTTCTAGAACACACAAATGAAACCAATAACAACAGTTACTGGTGGGTCCCATGCAGTCAGGAATTACTATATCCTTCCTTTGCTCCTGTGAATTTTTCTTCTCTTTTCTTTCTTTTTTTTTTTTTTTTTTTTTTTTTTTGACAGAGTCTCAATCTGTAGCCCAGGCTGGAGTGCAGTGATCCAATCTTGGCTCACTGCAACCTCCGCCTCCCGGGTCCCGGTTCAAGCAATTCTCCTGCCTCAGCCTCCTGAGTAGCTGAAATTACAGGCACATGCCACCATGCACAGCTTATTTTTGTATTTTTAGTAGAGATGGGGTTTCACTATGTTGGCCAGGCTCGTCTTGAACTCCTGACCTCGTGATCCACCTGCCTTGGCCTCCCAGAGGGCTGTGATTACAGGCATGAGCCACCGCACCCGACCGGTTCTGTGAATTTTTCTTAATCCTTGTGTTGAATTACTTCTATGAAAACAGTCTGTTCAACTGCGGGAAACTGATCATTCCATCCCATAATCACAGTTTAGAACTATAACTGGTTATATGCCTTACCTCATATTTTAATCCATCAGCCCAAATATAAGTCCCTTGTCCATGCATGAGTCCTTCTGAAAACATACCCTTCAAAGCAAAGCAACAACAAAACCTTAGAATGCAACTGATCAAATATATTTGAGCTAGGGTCTGGTTCTGTCACCCAGGCTGGAGTGCAGTGGTGTGATTATAGCTCACTGTAGCCTTGACCTCACAGGCTCAAGCAATCCTCCCGTTTTAGCCTCCCAACTAGCTAGGGCTACAGGCATCGGCCACCATGCCCAGCTAATTTTTGTATTTTTTGTAGAGACAGGGTTTCACCATGTTGGCCGAGCTGGTCTCAAAATCCTGAGCTCAAGCGATGCGCCCACCTCAGACTCCCAAATTGCTGGGATACAGGATGAACCACCGTGCCTGGCCTACAGCTGATGATTTTATCCCACAGTTGCCTTAGCCCAGTTTCACGTGCATGAAGATGCTTGCCTGAACACTCAGCAGCAGCTGAGTCCTATAGAGTCCTACTTCAGCTGGCTGCACGCTGGGATCCATCCTTCTCCAAAAAGGATCTAGGGGGAAGTCCTCATCTTCATCAGCTAAGGATGACCTCAGCTACAGAAACGTGTTCTCAACCAGTTGTGGGGGCTCACGCCTGCACTCCCAGCACTTTAAGAGTCTGGGGCAGGAGGATCACTTGTGCCCAGGAGTTCAAGACCAGCCCTGACAACATAGCAAGTCCTTGTCTCTACCAAAAAAAAAAAAAAATTAATTAGCCAGGCATGGTAGCACACGCCTGTAGTCCCAGCTATTCAAGAGGCTGAAGAGGAAGGATCGCTTGACTCCAGGAAGTCAAGGCTGCAATGAGTTATGATTGTGCCACTGCACTCCAGCCTGGGTGACAAAGTGAAATGATGTCTCAAAAAAAAAAAGAGAAAGAATCACGAAAAGAAATCTAAAATCACTTCTGTTATGCTGAGCATTACTTTTACCTTAAATAGGTCATCGGGGTTCAGAATAAAATCAGCATGAAGTGCTTCCAGTTTCTTTTGAAGCATCAGTGGACTTGAAGATTTGCAAATCTACGACCATCACCCCACACCTTCCTCCCCTTCCTGCAGGTTCTCAAGCGGGCAACTTACCCGATAGGTACAACCGCCTTGAAAGGCTGCAAAGCCCTCTCCCTCGTACAGCCCACGAACTTTCTCCCCTTCATAGCTACAAAGAAATAAAGGTCATTCAAGGTAATGAACAATGTGAATAAACCCAAATGACAATGGGTTAAAATATATAACTATGTAATGGAAGGAATAAAGTCAGAAATATATATATATATATATATACACATATATATATATGTACATATATATATATACATGTACATAGCTAAAAAGTAGAATAGGTTACCAGGGGTTTGAAGGAGGGGGTGAGGAATGAAGGATTTTGTTGCAGGTGGTGTTGTTTTTGAGACAGAGTCTCACTCTGTCACCCAGGCTGGAGTGCAGTGGCGCCATCTTGGCTCACTGCAACCTCTGCCTCCCAGATTCAAGTGATTCTCCTGCCTCAACCTCCTGAGTAGCTGGGACTACAGGTGCGCTTCACCACACCTAGCTAATTTTTGTGTTTTTAGTAGAGACAGGGTTTTGGCATGTTCATCAGGCTGGTCTCGAAATCCTGGCCTCAAGTGATCCTCTGCCTCAGCTTCCCAAAGTGCTGGGATTACAGGCTTGAACCACTGAACCTGGCCAGGAGTTACTATTTAATAGATAGTTGTACAACACTGTGAATGTACTTAATGCCATTGATTAAGATAGCACATTTTGTTATATATATTTTTCAGCAGTAAACTATATATATATATATATATGCCACGGGTTCTGTGTTTGCTACTTGGGTAATGAGCTTATTAGAAGCCCAAATCTGAGCATCACACAACAAGCCCGTGTAAGAAACCTGCACATGTAACCCCCTAAATCTAAAATAAAATAATTTTTTACAATAAATAAAATTACCTTCAGGCCAGGTGCAGTGACTCATGCTTGTTATCCCAGCACTTTGGGAGGCCAAGGCAGGTGGATCACCTGAGGTCAGGAGTTCGCGACCAGCCTGCCCAACATGGTGAAACCCCGTCCCTACTAAAAATACCAAAAAAATGGCCATGCACAGCGGCTCATACCTGTAATCCCAGCACCTTGGGAGGCTGTGGCGGGTGGACCACGAGGTCAGGAGTTGATGACCAGCCTGACCAAGATGGTGAAACCCTGTCTCTACTAAAAATATAAAAAATAGCCGGGCATGGTGGCCCATGCCTGTAATCTCAGCCACTCAGGAGGCTGAGGCAGGAGAATCACTTGAACCTGGGTGGCAGAGGTTGCAGTGAGCCGATATTGAGCCACTGCACTCCAGGCTGGGTGACAAAGTGAGACTCTGTCTCCAAACAACAACAACAAAAATTAGCCAGCCGTGGTGGTGTGTGCGTATAATCCCAACTACCCAGAAGGCTGAGGCGGGAGAATCGCTTGAACCTGGGAGGCGGAGGTTGCAGTGAGCTGAGATTACGCTACTGCAATCCAGCCTGGGTGACAAGAGTGAAACTCTGTCTCAAAATAAAATAAAATAGGTCGGGCTTGGTGGCTCACGCCTATAATCCCAGCACTGTGGGAGGCTGAGGTGGGCAGATCACAAGGTCAGAAGTTCGAGACCACCCTGGTCAACATAGTAAAACCCCATCTCTACTAAAAATACAATAAATCAGCTGGCTGTGGTGGCACATGCCTGTAATCCCAACTACTTGGAAGGCTGAGGCAGGAGAACTGCGTGAACCTGGCAGGTGGAGGTTGCTGTGAGCCAAGATCACACCATTGCACTCTAGCCCAGGCAACAGGAGTGAAAATCCATCTCAAAATAAAATAAAATAAAAACTGACCGGCAGTGTTACACCCTATTGCACCCCCATTAAAATCACCTTTCCACTATGAGTTTGGTCAGAATGGACTCTTCATATTGGGTGGCATCTTCATTCTGCTGAACATTCGGGGGGTCTTTTTTGGGTTTCATTTCGTTGAGCTGCGTTCCTAGCAGTGGGACACCCACTGGGGACATGTCTTGCCTAGTGGCGTTGCCATCTTGTTTGGAAAAGTCTGGGTTGTCAGAGAGGGATGAGGGGGAGCGGGCAGACTTCTCCCCTTTTTTGTCTGCTTTTTTCTTTTCTTTCACCATTGCCCTGAGACGATCCGATGTTTCCTTTTATCAATTGGTTCCTTTGGTTCAGAGCTGCTGGTTTCAAAGCACTGATGAGTTTTATCTGAAAAAAAAAAAAAAATTATGTCTCCAAACACTTGGGGTTTTCATTTGTAGTTAATGTTTTAGCTTTACAACACAATGTCCTTATCGTTATCCTCTCAAAGTCTGAAAAATTAGTTACCAGGGCCAGGTATGGTGGCTCACACCTGCAATCCCAGAACTTTGCGGGGCTGAGGTGGGAGGATCAGGTTGAGATCACCCTAGGCAACATAGTAAGACGCTCCCTCTCTAAAAAAATAAGTTGGACAGGCGTGGTGGCACATGCCTGTAGTCCCAGCTAGCAGGGAGGCTCAGGTGGGAGGATTGCTTGAGCCTGGGAGGTTGAGATGGCAGTGAGTGATCACACCACTGCACTCCAGTCTGGGTAACAGAGCAAGACTCTCAAAAATAATAGTAAGTTTCAAGTACCGTCAGTTTATAAAAATACAACCTCAACATTGCATTGGTTCCAATTTTTTTTATTTTAATTAATTAATTTATTATTTATTTATTTTGAAATAGTGTCTCACTCTGTCCCCCAGGCTGGAGTGCAATGGCAAGATAAGGCTCACTGCAACCTCAAACTCCTGGGTTCAGGTGATTCTCCTGCCTCAGCCTCTGAGTAGCTGGGATTACAGGCATGTTACCTGGGATTACCAGCACGCCCAGCTAATTTTTTATATTTTTAGTAGAGACGGAGTTTTGCCATATTGGCCAGGCTGGTCTTGAACTCCTGACCTTGTGATTTGCCCACCTCAGCCTCCCAAAGTGCTGGGATTACAGGTGTGAACCACCATGCCTGGCCTATTTTATTTTATTTTTGAGACAGAGTCTTGCTCTGCTGTCCAGGCTGGAGTGCAGTGGTGCGATCTCGGCTCACTGCAACCTCTGCCTCCCAGGTTCAAGTGATTCTCCTGCCTCAGCCTACTGAGTAGCTGGGACTGCAGGCACGTGCCACCATGCCCAAATTTGTTGTATTTTTAGTGGAGACGGGGTTTCACTGTGTTAGCCAGGGCCTCATTCAAAAAAAAAAAATTTTTTTTTTCTTTTGAGACCAGCCTGGGCAAAACGTAGCAAGACTTCCATATCAAAAAACAAGAAAACAAAAAAACAGAATTGATAATGGACAACGCAGGATCCTGAATCTGTCGCCCAGGCCGGAATGCAGTGGCTTGATCTCGGCTCACTGCAACCTCCGCCTCCCAGGTTAAAGTGATTCTCCTGACTCAGCCTCCCAGGTAGCTGGGACTAGAGGCATGTGCCACCATACCCAGCTATTTTCACCATGTTAGCCAGGATGGTCTCAATCTCTTGACCTCCCGATCTGCCTGCCGCAGCCTCCCAAAGTGCTGGGTTTACAGGCATAAGCCACAGCTTTGGGCCAAAAATTTTTTCAGTTGGAACCATTGTCTAGCATTGTTTCCTGAAAGGTAACTCTATCATGAAAAAGGATATGTAACCTCCCAGGTCTTGCATGTGGCCAGTTCACACCATAAAAGCTCCTCTCTGGCCAGGTGCGGTGGCTCACATCTGTAATCTCAGCACTTTGGGAGGCCGAGGCAGGCGTATCACGAGGTCAGGAGATGGAAACCATCCTGGCTTACAAAGTGGGTGAAACGCTGTCTCTAGTAAAAATACAAAAAATTAGCCGGACATGGTGGCATACACCTGTAATCCCAGCTACTCAGGAGGCTGAGACAGGAGAATCGCTTGAACCTGCGAGGTGGAGGTTGCAGTGCGCTGAGGTTGTGCCACTGCACTCCAGCCTAGGCAACAGAGCAAGACTCTACCTTAAAAAAAAAAAAAAAAAAAGCCTCTCTCCTTATAGGTCAGCATTATAAAGTGTTCAAGAGCTGGATTCAGGCTCCTGCGTTGTCCATTATCAATTCTGTTTTTTGGTTTTCTTGTTTTTTGATATGGAGGTCTTACTACATTTTGCCCAGGCTGGTCTTGAACTCCGGGCCTCAAGCAATCCTCCCACCTCCCTCCAAAGTGCTAGGATTGCAGGTATGTGCAGGCATGAGCCGCTGAGCCCGGCCAAGTGCTGTGTTCTAAAGCAAGTTGCTTCATCTCCTCTGCCTCACATATCAAATAGGAATAACAGTACCTTGTCTCATAAGGATGAAATAGATGACACACAGAAAAATCCTTAATTACAGGACCCAGAGCTAAGTCAATAAATGGAATGAAATGGAGTGATTATCTCATCCCCTTCTTGGGAGTTTCGCTCTTGTCGCCCAGGTTGGAGAGCAATGGTGTGATCTTGGCTCACTGCAACCTCCATCTCCCGGGTTCAAGCGATTTTCCTGCCTCAGCCTCCAGAGTATCTGGGATTACAGACATGTGCCACCATGCCCAGCTAATGTTTATATTTTTAGTAGAGACGGGGTTTCTCCATGTTGGTCAGGCTGGTCTCGAACTCTTGACTTCAGGTGATCCACCCACCTTGGCCTTCCAAAGTAGTGGGATTACAGGCAAGCCTTGTGCCTTTTTTTTTTTTTTTGAGATGGAGCCTTGCTTTGTTGCCCAGGCTGGGGTACAGTGGCACAATCTTGGCTCACCGCAATCTCTGCCTCCCAGGTTCAAGCGATTCTCCTGCCTCAGCCTCCCGAGTAACTGGGACTACAGGTGCATGCCACCAAGCCCAGCTAACTTTTCTATTTTTAGTAGACACAGGGTTTCACTATGTTGGCCAGGCTGGTCTCGAACTCCTGACCTCGTGATCTGCCTGCCTTAGCCTCCCAAAGTCCTGGGCTCTATTTTCAAACTTGAAATCATTGGTTTCCTACTCCCGCTAGCATTGCCTTTGATTGAGTGCCTCTCATATGCCAGACAAGCAAGGGATGGTGTCCTTGAGTTGTGTTTCCAGCACCTGTCTTTGCTTGTCCGGTATATGAGCTGCGGTGCAGTGTTTTCATGGCTTTCCAAAGCTGGCCCCGTGAAAGCGCCCTGGTCCCTCTAGGTGAATCCTGGGTTCAAGGCAAGGTCTGGTCCCTTTTCGTGGGCCTCGGTGCAGTGGGCACTTTTGCCCTCTTCTGCTTGGATAGCATCCTCGGACACCCCGCCCTCCAGCTCCATCCACCTCCAGCCTTTTCTCTTCCTCCATTTTTTATTTATTTATTGAGACACTTCTCACTCTGTCACCCAGGCTGGAGTGCAGTGGCATAATCCCGGCTCACTGCAACCCCTGCCTCCGGGTTCAAGTGATTCTCCTGCCTCAGACTCCTGAGTAGCTGGAATTACAGGTGTGCACCACCACACCTAGCTATGTTTTGCATTTTTAGTATTGATGGGGTTTCGCCATGTTGGCTAGGCTGGTCTCGAACTCCTGTCCTAGGTGATCTGCCCGCATCGGCTTCCCAAAGTGTTGGGATTACTTACAGGCGCGGGCCACCGTACTCGGCAAAGCCTTCTCTCTTCCTTTTTTTTTTTTTTTGAGACGGAGTTTCGCTCTTGTTACCCAGGCTGGAGTGCAATGGCGCGATCTCGGCTCACCGCAACCTCCGCCTCCTGGGCTCAGGCAATTCTCCTGCCTCAGCCTCCTGAGTAGCTGGGATTACAGGCACGTGCCACCATGCCCAGCTAATTTTTTGCACTTTTAGTAGAGACGGGGTTTCCCCATGTTGACCAGGATGGTCTCGATCTCTCGACCTCGTGATCCACCCGCCTCGGCCTCCCAATGTGCTGGGATCTTCCTTTAAACACTAACCTTACTCCTTCCCACTCCCTCGCTACCGTCTCAGCGAAGCGCCCCTGGGTCACCTAGCCCAACCTGCTTTCACCTCTACATTTAGAAGGGCCTTTACTGTGGGCTTTTTGGTCCTCTGTCAGTGAACTACAAATCAAGCCAATTTTGTTTCTCAGTGCGTGTTTCCTAATGTTTCCTCTGTTCTCCTGGGCTTAAGGAGAGGCCGTGTTATCACGCGCGGCTGTGTCTACGATCAGCCCGGAATAATGGGCTCCCTGCTACTAGTCTGCCCGACCTAGGCCCTCCTCGCCCATGACGCACGTGCTCGGGTCCTGGGAAGCCGGGAAGGAGCAGGACTCGGTCGCCACGGCTGTTCCCGCGTATGCGTGACCGCGGCCTGGGGCGCTGACCTCGCTCCAGGAACCCAGGGGCCTGCTCCAGTCGAGGTGTGGCACGGCTCTCAGCGTCCCAGACTCGGCTCGGGTCTCCAGGCAACCGTGGTCGCCAACTAGCGCACTGCGTGCTCTTAAAGGAGCCGCGCACCAGCGCCAAGCAGGCGTCCTTCCCTTTCTGGTCCTGAAGACGCTCTGCTGCTTCACCACAAAATAGGAATAACGCAGGCATTAGTTTTCCATTGCTGCCGTAAACAAATTACCATAAATTAGTGGCTTGAAGCAACACAAATTTATTATCAGTCTGTAAATTAGTCCCCAATGCTGGTTCCTTCCAGAGGCTCCGGGGGAGAATCCGTATCCTTGCCTGTTCCAGCTTTTCCAGAAGTGGTCCCCAACCTTTTTGGCCCATTTTGTGGAAGACAATTTTTCCATGGATGGGGGTAGTGAGGGATGGTTTCGGGATTCAAGCACATTACATTTATTGTGCACTTTATTTCTATTATTATTACACTGTAACATACAATTAATTACACAACTCACCATTTGGACTCAGTGGGAGCCCTGAGCTTGTTTTCCTGCAACTAGACAGTATCATCTGGGGGTGATGGGAGACAGTGACAGATCATCAGGCCTCAGATTCTCATAAGGAGCACCCAACCTAGATCTCTCGCATGCGCAGTTCACAATAGGATTTGCACTCCTATGAGAATCTAATGCTCACCACTTATCTGACAGGAGGTAGAGCTCAGGTGGTAATGCCAGCCATGGGAGCGGCTGTAAATACAGATGAAGCTTTGCTGGCTTGCCCACCGCTCACATGCTGTGCAGGCTGGTTCCTAACAGGCCATGGACCAGTACTGGTCTGTGGCTGGGGTGTTGGGACCCCTGTTCTAGAGGCTGCTTGCAATGTTGACTGGTGGTACCTCCTTCCATCTCCAAAACCTGCTGGCAGCCTCCTCTGGCCAGCAGGTAAAGGCCTCCACCTTTGAAGGACTCACCCAATGGACTGGACTCAACCAGACAATCCAGGATAATCTCTGCATTGCAAGATCCTAACTCAGCCAGGCACAATGGCTCATGCCTGTAATCCCAACACTTTGGCAGGCTGAGATGGGCGGATCACCAGAGGTCAGGAGTTCAAGACCAGCCTGGTCAACAGAGTGAAACCCTGTCTCTACTAAAAATACAAAAATTAGCCAGGTGTGATTGTGGGCAGCTGTAATCCCAGCTACTCGGGAGGCTGAAGTGGGAGAATCACTTGAACCTGGGAGGCAGAGGCTGCAGTGAGCCGAGATCACACTATTGCACTCCAGCCTGAGCAACAAAAGCAAAACTTCGTCTCAAAAAAAAAAACCAAAACAAAAAAACTTTCACTCAGTCACAACTGCAGAGTCCCTTGTGCCATGTGAGGCACCGTGGTCACAGGTTCTGGAGATTAGGACACAGCTATCTTGGGGGCTGTTATCCTGCCACAGCCCCCAATCTGCAGAGTTCTTAAATGGGATCCTGCAGACCACGCGGGCATGGTGCTGGCCGCGATGACACAGTTACCACTGTACTGCCTCCTCCATCTAAGGAATTCTAAACCAGGAATGGGAGCCCCATCTTCCTTGAAGACCACAGTCCAGGGTAGGGATGGGGCAGCAGGGGGAGCCACATTTGTCATCTCTCGGCCCCCAAGAGGTCATCTTCACTTCCATTTTTAGCCCAGTTCAAACAGGACAAGGTTCCATGAAAACTATCTGAAAAGACACACAGGGATTCCTACATTTCCAGAACTAGTTACAAGGCCAGTAACTAGAATGTTCTACAGTTCACACCCTGAGGAAACCAAATCACAGAATCAAATTGTGGGAAAATAAAACTCTTTTTGTTCCGCTACAGGGACAGTACTTTGCTACCTTGGCCGCACAGAGGCATGTTTAATAACAGTGACCCCTGTCCCATCCAGTTATTTTCTTCCAGCCGGGTAGAGAATCCCCTTGTTTAAAATGTAATGTGAATCAGGGCTGAGAATCAGGAACCCAAAAGGACATAGACTAAACTATGTCCAGCCAGAGCAGAGGCCTGAGTAACTTCCAAAGTGCTCTTGTTTTTATAACTGTTTTTGCCTGGACACACACACTTACAAGCACATGAAAACACAGACAACAATTTTTGCAAGCAATGCTCCATCTGGTTTGAAAAGGTTCTCAAGATCACTTTTAAGTGGGTCTGATGTGTATTTTTTTAAGTAGCAGATTCATTCTAAAACATAAAAGGTTAGTTAAGACCCTGTCTTTCAAAACATAAAAATCTGCAATAAAACTGATAATTCCATCCAATGACTAATGTCAGTTCTGAGAAATGACACCCAGGTTGGCTATGTGTCTCATGGTTGGCCTTCCATGGGGACAGTTCCAGGGGTGGTCCATCTCCCCCATGTGGGTGATCAGTTTCTTCATCTCGCTTGGATTAAGAGCAGTCCCAATCATCACCTGAGTACAAGACACAATGGTTCAACATTTTAACAGTTTCTTGATGTCAGAATGGCAGCTCTTCAGAAGCAGTCTTCTCTAAAATAAGACTGGACAATATTACAGCTCAAAAACCACCTTCCCTGAAAAACCTTCCCCCAGAGAAGCCTCCGTTCTAGCCCTCAGCCCTCCACCTTTCTGTGAAATCCAGGCCCTTTGTGGCTCTTTCATGGTGGCACAGCCTCTACTCCAGACGCTGACCGTATCTGTTCAGAACGCAGCCACTCTCAGGGGCCACTGTGACCTCTCACCCTGGCAAGTGCAGCAGCCTCTGGCAGGCTTCCCTACCCCACTGCAACCCCTCCCGCTGCTCTCTACTCAGCAGCCAGTGATTATTTTTAAAGGGCTATCAGGTCACGTCATTCCACACCACGGCTCTCCCCGCTCACCTGAATAAAGGCCCTTGTCTGTCCCCTGATTTGGTCCTCACTAGGCTGTGCCTGCACCCCACCTCTAAGCACAAATGCCTCCCTTCCTCACCCCAGCTGCACCAACACTCCCTTCCTCTTGCACAGGTCCATCAAGCAAACACCTGCCTCTGGACTGTGGCACTCCTGGGACCCTCTCCCCCAGTGGGTGCAGATGTTACTCCCCCTGTGTTGGGCTCTGACCCACTGCCCACAGCACCAGCCCTGGCCATGCTGGCTCCGTGCCATGGATCCTGACAGGGAGGAGAGGAGACAAGCCTGAAGCCTTCTGTCACCTTCCTTCCTTCAGTACCCTGAGGGCCCGACACCTGCCGGGCACAGTTGCAGGGCTGGGGTGACAGCAGGGCTCCACCAGGTGGGAGAAGGACAGACAAGTCAACAGAGAACCAAGATAGGCAGCACCCAGGGGAGGGGACGTGCTCAGGTGTGGGGAGCGGGTGAAGGGTGAAAGTGGTGAACCCAGGTAGAGAGGAGAGCAGGGAGAAAGGGCGTAAGGCAGGGAGAAAACTGGGGTGGGGAGGAACTAGAAGGCAGTTGTGTGGTTGGAAGCGTGGCGGGGAGGTGATGGGGCTGGAAGGGTGGGCAGGGCTCGGAGCAGGGGCCTCGTGGGCAGGGAGTGACAGCACCGGAGATGCAGGAGTTGGCCAGGGTGGGAGGGAAGGAGCAGCCTGTGGCTCCCAGGCCCCTGAGTCACACTAAAGACCCAGAACATCCAAACTGCCTGACTATGAGCTCAGCTCCACACTCTCACTCACAGACTTCAGGACTGGAAGGTCCACATTAGGTCTTTTTTTGTGGTGGGGAGAAAGAGTCTGACTGTGTCTTCCAGGCCAGAGTGCAATGGTGTAATCTCGGCTCACTGCAACCTCTGCCTCCCAGATTCAAGCAATTCTCCCGCCTCAGCCTCCTGAGTAGCTGGGATTACAGGCGCCTGCCACCATGCTCAGCTAATTTTTGTACTTTTAGTAGGGACAGGGTTTCACCATGTTGGCCAGGCTGGTTTCAAACTCCTGATCTCAGGTGATCAACCCACCTCTGCCTTCCAAAGTGCTGGGATTACAGGTGTGAGCCACCACGCCCAGCCTATATTAGGTCTTTATCAAAGAAACACTGTGGCTAGAAGTCAGATTCTGGGCCCTCTTCTAATTAAACTCTGCCCTTGAGTAATTTCATCCAATCTCATGACTGTAAATTACACCTGAAGCTCACACAGCAGGCTCCATCCCACCCACTCCCCACGTGGCACCCAGCTGCTGCTCTCCCCAGCGGCTGCACTCACGGCACCCCTTCCAGTCTATTCTCTCCCGTGGTTCCTGCCACACACAGCAGAGACCCCCAGGGTCTAGGCATGACTGGCAACACTCTACGTGGCTGTCTTCTGGACGCTGCTCTGCTCAATCCTGTCTCCTCTCCAGGCACACAATCAGCCTCTGGCTTCACTCTTGCCACTTCTTCCACTTGGAAAATTCTTACCCAAGAGGGCTCCAGTCTATGTGTATATATATATATATATTTTTTTTTTTAGAAAAGATCTTACTCTGTCACCCAGGCTGGAGTACAGTTGTGTGATCTTGGCTCATTGCAATCCTGACCTCCCTGGCTCAAGTGATCCTCCCACCTCAGCCTCCTGAGTAGCTGAGACTACAGGCACAGGCCACCACACCTGGCTAATTTTTTAACTTTTTGTAGACATGGGGGTGTGCCTGTGTTGCCCAGGCTGGTCTCCAACTCCTGGCCTCAAGCAATCCTCCCAACTTGGCCTCCCAAAATGCTGGGATTACACGCATGAGCCACCATGCCCGGCTTCCATCCCACCTTTTGAGTGGCAGCTGAGATGCCACCTGCCCAGATGCTGTTCCCTGACCACCATCTCACCTAGCCATATTTTTCTGTAGTCATTTCCTGTCCCAAAACACTGTCTGAATCTCTTGACTGTGCTTGCTGGCATCTAATGGGTGTCATTTATTTGTGGGGATGTCTATTTCTCCCTACTGTCAGCTCCACAGGGCAAGGGCTGCAGCTGCCTTGTCACCTCTGTGTCCCCGACACCTGGAACAGGGTGGGCCACACAGCAGGGACTCAAGGAGCATCCACTAAATAAATAAAGGAATGGCATCCTGGCCTTTCCCAATGGCCAGCTGATACAGTCATTTTTTTTGGCTATCAGGCTAATCCCCACTGCAGGCATAACCACTGCTACCACCTTACAACACCAACCCGAGCAGCGGCAGTGATGCCACATGCAACGACAACCACGGCACCCCTGCTGCCTCGATGACTCTGCAGTAACTTGTCTAATGTCACCGAGTCCTGGAATCAGCAAATCTTTATCTACCAATGTTGTTATTACCCAAAGGTCCACAGACGAACAGGGTGCCTCAACCGTTCACTTAACTGGGGTCAACAAAGGCTTTAAGATAGCTGGGCACGGTGGCTCACACCTATAATTCCAGCACTTTGGGAGGCTGAGACAAGGAGCAAAAGAAGACCACGTTTCTACAAAAAATTTAAAAATTAGCTGGGCATGGTGGTGCATCCCTGTAGTCACAATTACTCAGAAGGCAAGGGCAGGAGGATTGCTTGAGCCTCGAAGGTCAAGGCTGCAGTGAGCTGTGATTGTGCCACTACACCCTGGCCTGGGCAACAGATGGAGACCCTGTCTCAAAAAAAAAAAAAAAAGTACTGCTTAACAGAGGTAACAAAAGAGCAATAATTATGAGTTCAAGGTCACAGAGAATGCAGACAACGTAGATGCTCAGCTATGATGTTCTACATAGTTCTCTGTGTAAAATGACCCCTGGCAATCATAAAGGCTTTTTTTTTTTTTTTTTGAGACGGAGTCTAGCTCTGTCACCAGGCTGGAGTGCAATGGCGTGATCTTGGCTCACTGCAATCTTTGCCTCCTGGGTTCAAGCAATTCTCCTGCCTCAGCCTCCCAAGTACTCAGCCTCCTGAGTAGCTGGGACTACAGGCATGCACCACCACGCCCAGCTAATTTTTGTATTTTCAGTAGAGATGGATTTGACCATGTTGGCCAGGATGGTCTCGATCTCTTGACCTCATGATCCACCCACCTAGGCCTCCCAAAGTGCTGGGATTACAGGCATGACCCACTGCGCCCGGCCAATCATAAAGGCATTTAATAACCTTGACCAAATCAGGAGCTGAACTGAGACCTTTCTTACACTTCGAGCTTGAGCAGCTGAACTGACAGCCAGGCTTGCTTTACTTACAGATTTTCGACAGGCTCTGGAGGCAAACATCTGCTTGACCCGGGAAGGCCGGCACATGACCCCAGGGCTGTCACTGAGCATAAAGATCAGCTCATCTATGTCCTGGGGTCCAAATGTCCAGTTTTTACTAGTTGGCAAGGAAATCAGTTTAGCCCTTTGAGTGACTGGAGCTAAAAGAATACAATTTTGGAAAAAAAAAAAAAAAAAGAATACAATTTTGAAAAAAATCCATTACTTGAGGAACACATTTCACTTGAAAGCTACTGATAATGATGAGTATCTGAAAGAGAAGACAGTCACAAAATGCTTTTTCATCTTTTATAAAATAAAAACACTGGTCTATATAACCTGAAAGATTATTCCCACTCTAAAACAACAAGAATCTATAGTTTTTATTTATTTATTTATTTGAGATGGAGTTTCACACTTGTCACCCAGGCTAGAGTGCAGTGACATGATCTCAGTTTACTGCAACTGCTGCCTCCCAGTTTCAAGCAATTCTCCCACCTCAGCCTCCCAAGTAGCTGGGATTACAGGTGCCTGCCACCATGCCAGGCGCCTGCCACCAGGCCCAGCTAATTTTTATATTTTCAGTAAAGATGGGCTTCACTGTGTTGGCCAGGCTCGTCTCAAACTCCTGACCTCAGGTGATCTGCCTGCCTTGGCCTCCCAAAGTGCTGAGATTACAGGCATGAGCCACTAAAGTTTTAATTAATAACTTTTTTTTATTAATTAGTCACTATAGTTTTAATAACTTACCACTTTCATCGATAACAAAATCAAAGCCATTCTTTCTAAATATTTCCAGATTTTCTATCAGAATAGTTTCGTTAACAGCAGTTAAGTTGAGAGTCTGAGGTCTGAAAAACACAAAAGTGATTCAAACCATATCCTGAAGTCAAACATTTAGCTATAAAGCAGAAATAAAATTAAAACAATACTATATTTTGAATTCATTTCAAAATAACAACACTATTCAGCTAAGTGTCATAGAACTTCCTCAGAAGTTCCTTTTAATTTTCTTTTTTTTTTTAAGTTCTTTTTAGAAGTTAAAGTAGCAACAGGCTGGGTGTGGTGGCTCATGCCTGTAATTCCAGCACTTTAACAGGCCGAGGCAGGCAGATTTTTTGAGGCCAAGAATTTGAGACCAGCCTGGTCAACACAGCAAAACCCTGTCTATATTAAAAATACAAAAATTAGGCCAGGCGAGGTGGCAGCGCATGCCTGTAGTCCCGGGTACTTGGGAGGCTTAGGTAGGAGATTCGCTTGAATCCAGGAGGCAGAAGTTGTAGTGAACCAAGATCATGTCATTATACTCCAGCCTGAGCAACACAGCAAGTCTCTGTCTAAAAAAAAAAAAAAAAAAAAAAAGGCCGGGCGCGGTGGCTCAAGCCTGTAATCCCAGCACTTTGGGAGGCCGAGGCGGGTGGATCACGAGGTCGAGAGATCGAGACCATCCTGGTCAACATGGTGAAACCCCGTCTCTACTAAAAGTGCAAAAAAAAATTAGCTGGGCATGGTGGCATGTGCCTGTAATCCCAGCTACTCAGGAGGCTGAGGCAGGAGAATTGCCTGAGCCCAGGAGGCGGAGGTTGCGGTGAGCCGAGATCGCGCCATTGCACTCCAGCCTGGGTAACAAGGGCGAAACTCCGTCTCAAAAAAAAAAAAAAAAAAAAAATTAGCTGGATATGGTGGCTCATGGCTGTAGTCCCAGCTACTCAGGAGGCTGAGGCACTAGAATTGCTTGAACCCAGGAGGTGGAGGTTGCAGTGAGCTGAGATCCACCACTGCACTCCAGCCTGGCAACAGAGCAAGACTGTTTCAAAAAAAAAAGTTAAAGTAGCTACAAAAGTAGTTTGCTTTTTCCTCAGCTGCCACCCCAATTACTCCATCTTTTTCTGAATCCTTTCCTTAAGGATAACCGTATCACAAAAATGCTATTTTCCCTCCTTCTAATGGAGAATTTGAAGCACTGGGTTAGGTCATTCCAGCATTTATAAACAGAATGAACAGAGAGCATTTATTTTGCTATCCTTCTCCTTCCGCTGCCTGTATTATATCTCCATCTTTCTCTCCTCTTGGATTTACAAGGGTGTTTTTTGTTTTGTTTTGTTTTGTTTTAACTTTTTGCTATTTTTTCAAAAATAGCGACAGGGTCTCACTGTGTTGCCCAGGCTGGAATCCAACTCCTGGACTCAAGTGATCCTCCCACCTCGGCCTCCCAAAGTGCTGGGATTACGGGTGTGAGCCACTGCACCCGGTCCTGAGTGCTGGATAAGACAAACACTGCTCAAGGCAGGAGACAGCCGGTAAGCAAACATAGGCTTGGTCCTAGAGCTGATAGATTACTGGGGAAGAAAGACATTGAGCAAATAGTCAGGCAAGTCGATCATGATGACAAACGACAGGAAGATTAGGAAGAAAAAGCAGCCAATGTCTTAAGTGAGACTTCACCCTGGGGTCAGGAAGTGACCTGTGAGCCGAGTCTGGGGATGAGCAGGAGTTAATCGGGTAATGGGGGAGAAATGGGTACAGGGTGCAGCACAAATGAGCTAGGCGGAGATGACAATCTGTGTCAGGCCCTAGGGTGGACTGCTGATGTGTGCAGAGCCACACATAAAGGTATCCTTCATTCTGCTTAGTGGCCACATAGGGATTCCTCAGGCCACCAAGGGAAAAAGAAAGACAGCCTGAGAGGCTCGAGTACAGGAAACAAGGAGAAGAGAGATGGGAAAAGCTAAAGAGGTCAACAGGGCCACCCTACGCAGGGGCTGCCAGGGCAGGGTGGAATTGGGTCTTATCCTTTCAGCTTGAAGTGTAGTCCATCTGGAATCCAAAGTGGTCTGTGATTACCTGGGCTAACTTGAAATGTCACGGATGAGAGGTTGTCTTTGCCACATGGCTAAAAAATACAAGGCCTCAACCCGGCACAGTGGCTCACGCCTGTAATCCCAGCACTGTGGGAGGCTGAGGTGGGTGGTTCACCTTAGGTCAGGAGTTTGAGACCAGCCTGGCTAACACGGCAAAACCCTTTCTCTACTAAAAATACAAAAAAATACAAAAATGATTCAAACCATATCCTGAAGTCAAACATTTAGCTATAAAGCAGAAATAAAATTAAAACAATACTATGTTTTGAATTCATTTCAAAATAACAACATTAGTAACAACACTATCCAGCTAAGTGTCACGAAACTTCCTGAGAAGTTCCTTTTAATTTGCTTTTCCTAAAGTTCTTTTTAGCAGTTAAAGTAGCTACAGGCCGGGCACAGTGGCTCACGCCTGCAATCCCAGAAGTTTAGGAGGCCGAGGCAGGCAGATCTCTTGAGGCCAGGAGTTTAGAAAAAGCACTTAGTGTAGTAAGAGAGACTTCACCCTGGGGTAAGGAAGTGACTTTTGAGCTGAGTCTTGGGATGAGTGGGAGTTAATCAGGTAATGGTGGCAGGTGCCTGTGATCCCAGCTACTCAGGTGGCTGAGGCACAACCATCACTTGAACCCGGGAGGTGGAGGTTGCAACGAGCCAGGATTACGCCACTTAATCACTCCAGCCCGGGTAAAAGAGTGAAACTCTGTCTCAAAGGAAAGGAAAAAAAAAAAAAAAAACAAAACCAAGACCACTATTAAGATGAACAGGGAAGGGATATCTCAGGATTATAAAGTATCTTACTGTCTTTATTATTATCACTGACTCCTACTGAGAATAGAAACAATTCATGCATTCCACAGGAAAGAGAGTACTCAGTAAACTAGATAGGTTTTTTTCCAGCTGTTCAGTGGCACATTTCTACATGTGGGATATACATGTTGAGATCTGAGTTTACTTCTCTACATGGTTTAATTTGCCAGATAAAACTCCTCTTCTTATAACTTTGCTTAAGACAAGACTTTCGTTTTACATAATATACTATCACACCTGACCTTTGTAAAGTAGTCAGGGCAAAACATTCAGTTTGGCAGAGGAGAGAGAAATAAAAAATTCTGCAATGACTATCTTAAAATAATTTTTATATTTCATGTATTTATTTGTGACACAGACTCTCACTGTCTCACTCTGTCACCCAGGCTGGAGTGCTGTGCAGTGGCATAATCACGGTAGCCTCAACCTCCTGGGCTCAAAAGATCCTCCCACCTCAGCCTTCCAAATATGGGACCACAGGCATACACCATCAAGTCTGGCTAAAGATACATATATATACACATATACATATGTGTGTGTGTGTGTGTGTGTGTGTGTATATATATATATGCCTATGTATATATATATGCCTATGTATATATATATATGGCTCACTGCAACCTCCACCTCACAGGTTTAAGTGATTCTTCTGCCTCAGCCTCCTGAAGAGCTGGGATTACAGGTACATACCACTACAACTGGCTAATTTTTGTATTTTTAGTAGAGATGGGGTCTCACCACGTAGGTCACGCTGGTCTCAAACTCCTGACCTCGTGATTCATCCACCTCGGCCTCCCAAAGTGCTGGGATTACAGGCGTGAGACACCATGCCCAGCAAATTTTTTTATTTTTTGTAGAGACAAGGTTTCACCATGATGTCCAGGCTGGTCTCAAACTCCTAAACTCAGTCGATCTGCCTGCCTGAGTCTCCCAAAGCTCTGGGATTACAGGCGTGTGCCCCTGCACCCAATCTGCAGTGACTATCTAACTGCTGATTGACTCTACTGTAAATAAAGACTGGCGCACAGGCTGTGCTCTTTCTGAACACACATATTCCATACACTATCTGTACTAATACTCTATACTATAAACTGCCCTCATGAAAAGGATAGTCTGGCTAACCAGTGATCCGCATTTTCAATAGCTAAAAAGGTTTGGTACCTAGAGAACATGTTAATTGTGTGAACTTGGGCAAGTTACTCAGCCTCTCTGTGTGTGCCTCAGTTTTATCACCTTTGGAATGGCGAAGGTAACAGTAACCACCTCATATGTTTTTGAGGATTAAATGAACTAATACACACTAATACACGCATTATTTCAACCATGTCTGGCAGATACTAGGCATTCAATAAATCCTATCACTATTATTATGTAAAAAGTATAAAAATCTGCTATATGAATACTTACAGAAAAATACATATATATATATATACACATATATAGAGACACATATAAACTACTAGTTTTTTTTTTTTTTGGAGACGGAGTCTCACTCTGTCACCCAGGCTGGATGGAGTACAGCAGTGCGATCTTGGTTCACTGCAACCTCCGTCTCCCAGGTTCAAGCAATTCTCCTACCTCAGCCTCCTGAGTAGCTGGAATTACAGGCGTGTGCCACCACACCCAGCTAATTTTTCTGTATTTTTAATAGAGATGGTGTGTCACCATGTTGGCCAGGCTGGTATCGAACTCCTGACCTCTGGTGATCTGCCCGCCTTGGCCTCCCAAAGTGCTGGGATTACAGGTGTGAGCCACCATGCCCAGCCAACTATTAGATCTTTTTTATTTTTTACATCCCTCCTTCCTAGATCTCTTCTTTTTTTAAGTAGATACGAGGTCTTGCTATATTGCCCAGGCTGGTCTCAAACTCCAGGCCTCTTGTGATCCTCCGGCCTCAGCCTCTGTTAGATATGAAATTTGAGGGGGAATTTGGGAATCAATACTGAAAGGAACTCACGCTATAAGCCTCTGTCCTTGGAGCATGGTGTGCTGCTGCAGCATCTCAAAGTTGTATTTCTCATCTGTAGCATGCTGGTCCACTATGAAGATATCCTCATTCAGTTTGGTTATAATAAATCCCAGGTTAAACTGGCCAATGATTTCCATTTCTGCAAACATAGATTTACTGCAGGTAGAAAATGTTAATTATGAGATGTTTTACAAGATTATTTTTCTGATTTTGTTACGGAAAACTTTATTTAAAAAAAAAAAAAAACCATAAAATAAAGTCCCTAACCACCCCACCTTCTAAAGATAGCATTAATTATTCACTCATCCAGGCTAGGCGTGGTGGCTCACGCCTGTAATCCCAGCACTTTGGGAGGCTGAGGAGGATGTATCATGAGGTCAGGAGATCGAGACCATCCTGGCTAACACGGTGAAACCCGTCTCTACTAAAAATATAAAAAAAAATTAGCCAGGCGTTGTGGCGCGCTCCTGTAGTCCCAGCTACTTGGGAGGCTGAGGCAGGAGAATCACTTGAAGTGGGAGGCAAAGGTTGTGGTGAGTTGAGATCTCACCACTGCACTCCAGTCTGGGGAACAGAGCCAGACTCCGTCTCAAAAAAAAAAAAAAAAAAAAAAAAAAAAAATTATTCACTCATCCAACTCTCCAGAGAAGACATCAGTTGCTACTGTTAAGAAATTAAATGAAATATATTTTTCCAGACCCTTGTTTCTATATATAAATTTTTTAATTTTAAAAAACAAAAATGAAATCTTAATTCTCCATACTGTACTATCATCACTTAACACATCTGAGAGATGTTTTCAAATCTGTACACATAGATCTACTTCATTTTTTGTTTGTTTGTTTGTTTGTTTTTGTTTTTGTTTTGTGACAGAGTTTCACTCTTGTTACCCAGGCTGGAGTGCAAATGGCTCGATCTCAGCTCACACAACCTCTACCTCCTGGGTTCAGGCAATTTTCCTGCCTCAGCCTCCCGAGTAGCTGGGACTACAGGCATGCACCACCATGCCCAGCTAATTTTTGTATTTTTAGTAGAGACGGGGTTTCACCATGTTGACCAGGATGGTCTCGATCTCAACCTCGTGATCCGCCTGCCTCAGCCTCCCAAAGTGCTGGGATTACAGGCGTGAGCCACCGCGCCTGGCCTTGTTTGTTTGTTTTTTAAGACGGAGTCTCGCTCTGGTGCTCAGGCTGGACTGCAGTGGTGCAGTCTTGGCTCACTGCAACCTCCGTCTCCTGGGCTCAAGCAATTCTCCTGCTTCAGCCTCCCGAATAGCTGGAACTATTATAGGCACATGCCGCCATGCCCAGCTAACTTTTTTATTTTTAGGAGAGACAAGGTTTCACCATGTTGTCCAGGCTGGTCTCCAACTCCTGACCTCAAGTGATCTACCTGTCCCGGCCTCCCAAAGTGCTGAGATTATAGGCGTTAGCCACAGCATCCGTCCTACTTCATTCTTTGCAATGGCCATATAGGAACTCATTGCATGGATGTACCATAATTTGACAAATTCTCTAATAAAGGACATTTCAGTTATCTCCAATTTCAATAGTACACACAAAGCTGCAACAAATACTTCTGTACATAAACCAACTCACCTGTGGGTATATTTCTGTGAGACAGACCCCCCGCTAGAGGCAGGATTACATACGTACTTTCTGACGGGAAATCTGTGAAAATTCACACTCCCACCAACAGTGTCTAAGAGTACCTTTTTGCCAATGCTGAATATCAATCCTTCTACTCTCTGCCAGGCCCACCACTGGGTCCTTTGCTGAGTGGCTTCAACACCTAATGCCATTAAATACTATCTTAATCAATCTGGACAGAAGATGGACACCACCCCTAACCTTCACATGAGAAACTGACACTGTAGTTCTCAGTCCCACACAATTAAACCTGGTGAAAATGCATTTTCCTCATCACCAGCGCTGTGACTATAAGAAATGACTGTGACAGCGGCCACAGACGTTCTCTGGGTCTCACCTGGTGGTCTGAGCTGAGGATAAACGAAACTGAGATTAGGCTGGGCACAGGGGCTCATGCCTGTAATCACAGCACTTTGGGAGGCCGAGGTGGCCAGATCATTTGAGGTTGGGATTTCAAGACCAACATGGTGAAACTCCATCTCTACTTAAAATATAAAAATTAGCCAGGCGTCATGGTGGGCACCTGTACTGCCAGCTACTTGGGAGGCTAAGGCAGAACAATTGCTTGAACCCAGGAGGCAGAAGTTGGAGTGAGCTGAGATCATGCCACTGCACTCCAGTCTAGGTGAAAGAGCAAAACTCTTGTCTCAAAAAGAAAAATTAAAAAAAAAAAGAAAGGAGCTAAGTCTGTTGTTTCTTTCTATAAATGCTCCAGGAAGACCCAGTCCCATGCCACCATGCTCATGATCATCACAATCAACCACAGGTGACAGTTTAGTGAACTGTGAGACCTCTACATGCCACGGATTACTGAGTCCACATTTCCTATTGGCGAGGAGCTGAGTACAGAGCTCAAGTCCAAGTCATAACCAAACCAATCCCCAAATCCTATCTTTGAGGGTCTGTCTCCTGGTACGAATTCCATTACCAATTTTAACAGCTACAGCAACCTGAGATGCTGACACATTCTGACATGTCAGAGTACAATCAAGAGACAAAAACCACACCAGTGACTTTAACAGGTGTTTTTTTTTAAGACAGGGTCTTGCTCTGTCACCCAGGCTGCAGTGCAATGGCATGATCATAGCTCACTGCAGCCTTGAACTCCTGGGCTCAAGCGAGCCTCCTGCCTCAGTCTCCCGAGTACCTGGGACTATAGGCATGCAGCAGTGTACTTGACTAATTTTTTTTTTTTTTTTTTTTAGAGATGGGGTCTCATTATATTGCCCAGGCTGGTCTCAAATTCCTAGCCTCAAGTGATTCTCCTACCTCAGCCTCCCAAAGTGCTGGGATTACAAGGCGTGAGCCACCAGGGCAGGCCTGAGGAGGAAAAATGTATAATAAAGCATTGCAAACTAATAAAAGGTAGTTAACTACCATGCTAGGAAACACAGGAATGGAAAATGCTACTACCTCTAAGGAAGAGGGGGAGTGCTCACAAAAGAAACTCTTGTAAAAGGCCCCTACCCGCTTAGGTTGAGCTTCAGGCCTCCTTGGAGCAGGAGTGGCTGTAGCCTGCCGGATGGAGAGAAGCTGCCAGAGTGATGATGCAGGGACTCCCGCATCGCAGGAGGAAAGGAAAAGGACATCTCAGAAGCATGCCAGAAACCAGCACAAATCTCACCTCCCCTGGGGCTGACTCTAGGCTCTCCCAGGAACTGTCTGAATATGCCTTGGTTCCCAGAACATAGATCATCTTCTCAAAAGCTGGTGCTGGCCTGAAAGACCCAAGTCTTCCATGTTATTGAACTCTATGTCCTGCCACAGAGAACAGCATCTGGCTGGGCGCAGATTCTGGAATTTCAATAGGCACTACTGTGCCCAGCCAATTTTTTTGTAGGGATGGGGTCTCGCTATGTTTTCCAGGCTGATCTTGAACTCCTGGGCTCAAGTGATCCTCCCTCCTTGGCTTGGCCTCCCAAAGTTCTGTGATTACAGGTGTGAGCCACTTGCACCCAGCTTCAAAATACTCTTAAAAAACTACCTGGCCAAGAGCTGTGGCTCACACCTGTAAACCTAGCACTTTGGGAGGCAAGGGTGGGCAGATCATGAGATCAGGAGTTCGAGATCAGCCTGGCCAACATGGTGAAACCCCTTTCTATCAAAAATACAAAAATTAGCCAGGTGTGGTGGTGCATACCTGTAATTCCAGCCACTCAGGAGGTAGAGGCAGGAGAATTGCTTGAACCTGGGAGGTGGAGGTTGCAGTGAGCCAAGATCATACCAGTGTACTCCAGCCTGGGCAACAGAGCGAGACTCCATTTCAAAAAAATAAAAATAGGCCTGGCGAGGTGGCTCACGCCTATAAGCTCAGCACTTTGGGAGGCCAAGGAGGGTGGATCACGAACAAGGTCAGGAGTTCAAGACCAGCCTGACCAATATGCTGAAACCCCATCTCTACTAAAAAAAAAATACAAAAATTAGCTAGGCATGGTGGTACGAGCCTGTAGTCCCAGCTATTTGGGAGGCTGAGGCAGGAGAATTACTTGAGCCTGGGAGGCAGAGGTTGCAGTGAGCTGAGATCATGCCACTGCACTCCAGCCTGAGTGACAGAGCAAAACTCCATCTCAAAAAATAAATAAATAAAAATTAAAAATTAAAAAATTAAAACTTTACCTTATCTCTTTTCTTAGTTCATCTTCAGCTGCTTGATTTTCTCCAGGGCAAATCTTTGCCCTAAACTTCCTGTAATTCTGTTCACCTTCACTTTGCTTTGCTTTATGATGAAACTGCTTTATTCGTTTAGTTAAAGAACTCATAGAAAAGTCCAGAGGCACAACTTTCTTATCAATTTTAACAGCTATATCAACCTGAGAGGCTGACACGATCTGAGTATTTACTAACTTTAGACAAATGTCAGAATTTGAAAGAATTTCTTCTTTTTTAAAGCGCTTTGTGTTTGGGGATGCAAGATTAGGTGGCTGAGGCAAAACTCTAAATTTACATCCAGTATCTTCCTGGTTTAAACGGCAGTCCACATCTGAAAAAGGGTTGTCAGTTTCAGGCACTTTCTCACGAGAGTCCACAGACTCCTGTGAGCCCCTGTCCTCCGGGGAGCTGGCCACACACTCGCTGCTGTGGTAACTGCCTGTGTCTGGGATGCTGAACCCCTCTGAATCCACGGAAGTGCTGCCATGCCCAGAGTCTTTCTCCACCTCCGCTCTATCTGCAGGGTCACTGGGTCCCTCACTGGAACTCGCTGCCTCTTTCTGAGGTCCCAGGAAGCCTCTGTCAGAGATGGCATCTGAAGTGCTAAAAGATGGCATACCCCTTTTCTGCCCTGGAGAGCTCCTTCTTGGTTCTGGAGTCTTCAGGCTGTGAGACTTGTTCTCTGCTGTGTGGTGAAGAGAAAAAGCCTCTCGCAGTCTGGAAATGGACATGTCCCGTTTTTCTTCTCGAGTCCTTGATGAAGGGGAATTATCCTGCTGTTCTGGCAGGGGCTTTTCCAAATCCACAGCATGCATTTTCATTAAGTTACCTAAGTAAACATGAACAGAGAAGAGGGTCAGGGACTATCTTGAAATGGTTAGAGGATGTACTTATGTGAACAGACACTTCACAAAAGAGGAGAGCCACATGCTAATTAAACAGATGAACACAGTTCATTGTTCAAAATAAAACTATAATATTGGCTAGATGTGGTGGCTCATGCCTGTTATCCCAGCACTTTGGGATGCCAAGGCAGGTGGATGGCATGAGGCCAGGAGTCTGAGGCCAGTCTGGACAACATGGCAAACCCCATTTCTACTAAAAATACAAAAATTAGCCAGGTGTGGTGGGGCACATCTGTAATCCCAGCTACTTGGGAGGCTGAGGCACAAGAATCCCTTTAGCCTGGGAAGTAGAGGTTGCAGTGAGCCAAGATGGCGCCAATGCACTCCAGCCTGGGCGACAGAGCAAGATTCTGTCTCAAAAACACACACAGGCGCACACACACACACACACACACACACACACACAACGATCTGGCCATATACTCACCAGAATGGATAAAATTAAAAAAACAACAAATGCTAACAAAGTTCAGAATCAAGTGGAATGCTTAAATACCACTGGTAGTACTGAACCTGGTACAGCTGCTTTGAAAGTTCTCTGGGAGTACCTTGGAAATCTGAATGTATGCACACCTGCAACCCAGCACAGCTACTCCTATCAGCAGTGGCAATCAGCCAGGCACAGTGTCTCAATCTCACTGTAATCCCAGTGCTTTGGGAGGCTGAGGAGGGCAGATCACCTGAGGTCAGGAGTTCAAGACCAGCCTGACCAACATAGTGAAAACTCATCTCTACTAAAAACACAAAAAAATTAGCCAGGCGTAGTGGAAGGCACTACAATCCCAGCTACTAGGGAGGCTAAGGTGGGAGAACTGCTTGAGCCTGGAAGGGGGGTTGCAGTAAGCCAAGATCACGTCACTGCACTCCAGCTGGGCGCCAGCATCAAAAAAAAAAGATTCCATCTCAAAAAAAAAAAAAGTGCCTATCTATGCTCATCAAAAGACGTGGATTAGGATGTTCTTGACAGGGTTCTTCATTATAGCCCCAAACTGAAAATAACTCAAATATTCACAAATAAATTATGATATCTGACTATTATGGAATGCTGTATAGTGAATGAATCAAAGAATTTTGCCGTATGACTTGGGTGAATCTCACAAACAAAATAATGAGAGAAAGAAACAAATCAGAGAAAAGTACAGGCTGAATGACTTCAAATTAAAAACAGATTATACTGTTAGAAGTCAGGAAATCCCAGCATTTTCAGAGGCTAAGGCTGAAAGATAGCTTGAGCTCAGGAGTTTGAGATCAGCCTGGGCAACCTGGAAAAATCCCATTTCTACTGAAAATACAAATATTAGCTGGGCATGGTGGCAGGCACCTACAATCCCAGCTACTCGGGAGGCTGAGCCAGGAGAATCTCTTAAACCCAGAAGGAGGAGGTTGCAGTGAGCTGAGATCGCACCATTGCACTCCAGCCCGGGCGAACAAGAGCGAAACTCTATCAAGCAATAGATTAGTCCAATGTGATGTTAGGAGTTCAGCAGAATGAATAGAATTTGAAATAGTTAGATGTTCAGCTTGAAGGGTTTCTTTTTTTTTTTTTTGAAACAGAGTCTTGTTTTGTTGCCAAGCACCAGGCTGGAATGCAGTCACGATCTCGGCTCACTGCAACTTCTGCCTCCCGGGTTCAAGCAATTCTCCTGCCTCTGCCTCCTGAGTAGCTGGGACTACAGGCGTGTGCCACCATGCCCAGCTAATTTTTGTATTTTTTTAGTAGAGACAGGGTTTCATCATGTTAGCCAGTATGGTCTCGATCTCTTGGCCTCATGATCCGCCCACCTCAACCAAAGTGCTGGGATTATAGGTGTGAGCCACTGAGCCCGGCCACTTGAAGAGTTTCTTAATTGGTGGATGCTTTTAGGCCAACTACGATGATAATACTTTTTACTCTCTGTAGAATGGTTGTTTCCTAGGGTCTAAAGAACTGTCCCTCTTTAGACTAACAGTTAACTTACAGGGATATTAACTAATTCTGTGGTAAGTTTAAAGTTGAACTAAGATTCTGTCTGGACTACCAGCTATCATCGGGCTTGGTAGGTTTGTCCCTACTACTCATAAATGTTCGCACTATTTTGCCACATAGATGGGTATGCACTTTTCGCTAACCTTGAGTAGCTCATCTGGTTTCATGGGATTTGGCTATGGTTCTCTAGTTAATACATTATGCAGAAGGTAAAAGGGTTTGTCTTTGCTTCTTAATGCTTGATTTAGTTCTTTCATCTTTCCCTTATAGTACTATCCCTATTTCACCAGGGTGAGACTTTCTGTTGCCTATACTTTTTTTTAAGGTAAATGGTTTGGTTAAGATAATTTGATAATATTTTTAGTGAGATTTAGGGTTAGAGTTGGCTCAATGTCAGGTCATGATGAAATCCTCCAGGTGTAAGCTGGGTGCCTTAGGTTGAGCTACACTTTGATTTGTCCAAGCACACTTTCCAGTATACTTATCATGTTACAACTTATCTCCTCTATATGTGCGTATAGAATTTTTTAGTAGCAATAATTTCTAAAGAACATTTGAGGAAGGTGACAGGCAGTGTGTGCATGCTTCATGGCCTTATTCGACCAAGCACTCTGCTCTTGGTTTACTGCTAAATTCTCCTTGGGTCTTTAAATTTCATAAAGGTTATCATGAGATTTTCTAAGGGGTAGAAAATGTAGCCCACTTCCTGCCACCTCGTGAGCTACACACCTTGACCTAACATTTTTATGTATATACTTATGCTTACTTTATGACCCTTTTATGGTTTGCTGAAGATGGCGGTATATAGGCTGAGGGCAAGAGGTGGAGAGATGTATCAGGGTTTATTGATTATAGAACAGGCTCCTCCAGAGGGATATAAAGCACCACCAAGTCCTTTGAGTTTTAAGCTGTTGCTTGACTACAAGTATTATAGTATTCTGGCAAATGGCTTTACTGATATAACTATTAGAGTTCAGGGCTAAGCACAGTAGGGTATCTAATCCCAGTTTGGGTCTTAGGTATTGTGTCTTCAGGGTACTGAAGCCACTTTCGTAATAGATTTTATTTCGGCTGCAGTTTTTTACAACTTAGATGGAGGTTAGCTTTATTAAGGGCAGACCTTAAACACTCTTTATGCTGAGTTCTATTAGCTTGGGTTAATCATATGGCCGCAGTGACTGGCATGAAATCGACCAACTCTATAGATTAGTATAGTTTAGTTAAACCTTTGTTTATTGCTAAATGTTTATCACTGCTGTTTCCCGTGGGCGTATGGCTGAGCAAAGTGTTTTGAGCTGCACTTAAGGGTGTTTGATACTTGCTCCTCTTGATCTGGGTGATCTAGAGGGCATTTTCACTAGGATGGGGATGCTTGCATGTGTAATCTCACTAAAAGTTAACAAAAGGCCAGGACCAAACCTATTTGTTTATGGAGTTGTGTGTACCCATCTGGACATTTTCAGTGTCTTGCTTTGAACAGTTAAGCTATATTAACTGTATAACATATAAATGTAAAGCTAAAAAATGGGAAGAAGGAAAATATAAGTAAATAACTGTATATGGTTCTGGGGGCTTAGGATATTAAAAATTGAATTGACAGAGGTTTGGTTAACAGTGCGTTTTTTTTTTTTTTTTTTTTTGAGACAGAGTTTTGCTCTTGTTGTCCAGGCTGGAATGCAATGGCACGATCTTGTCTCACTGCAACCTCCACCTCCCGGGTTCAAGCAATTCTCCTGTCTCAGCCTCCCAAGTAGTTGGGATTACAGGCATGCACCACCAAGTCCGGCCAATTTTTTGTATTTTTAATAGAGACAGGGTTTCTCCATGTTGATCAGGCCGGTCTTGAACTCCCGACCTCAGGTGATCCCGTCCGCCTCAGCCTCCCAAAGTGCTGGGATTGCAGGCATGAGCCACCACACTTGGCCAAGAACACTATTTAAAGTTAAGGTGTGGTTAATTTAGAAATATGAGACATGGGGTAGCAATTTAAGAAGGGTATATTTAAGGTGTTATTATAGTATTGGGATAGAAATTAGTTGTTATATTTATTATACAAGATTGAGTTTTAACTCAGTAGGAGGATTTAGGATTTTTAGGAAAATAACATCAATTGAGGGGTAGCTGTTGAGACAGTTACAGCTAAAATATAATCTCTGGGTTTTGATTAGGTTGCATTTAGTCTCTTGCTTTCAGGGTTTACAAAAGTACATTAGTTTAGATTGAAGAAAAAAGTCAGAGATGGGAGTGGGGGGTTTGTGGATTTTTTTTTTTTTTTTTTTTTTTTGAGACGGAGTTTCGCTCTTGTTACCCAGACTGGAGTGCAATGGCACGATGTCGGCTCACCGCAACCTCCGCCTCCTGGGTTCAGGCAATTCTCCTGCCTCAGCCTCCTGAGTAGCTGGGATTACAGGCACGTGCCACCATGCCCAGATAATTTTTTGTATTTTTAGTAGAGACGGGGTTTCACCATGTTGACCAGGTTGGTCTCGATCTCTCGACCTCGTGATCCACCCGCCTCGGCCTCCCAAAGTGCTGGGATTACAGGCTTGAGCCACCGCGCCCGGCGGTTTGTGGATTTTTATCTGAAAGAAGTTGTTAAAAGTAGGCATACATGTGCTGGCGTATGTACCTACTGGTTAATTATTATGTCCTACAAGCATGTATTAATTAACACCTTATGGTTGTAATGCTAGCTCAGAATATGCAATATAGGAATGATTTATTAACTGGTTTGGTAGGAATTACATCCAATTTCATCTACAGCTGATTTGGAGGGGAACAGGCCTTCCACAATGTTGAGTAAGAGCATCCCCAAAAGATAAAAATACCAAATGCGTGGCAGTGCTCCTGTGACCGATTAATAGGGTGACAGTCTCTGAACCATTGAGAAGTCTTATTTAAGAGGAATGTATGGGCGATCTTAGTGTTATGGCCGTGAGGTAAGAACCAGATGCCAGGTATAGTTTCACATTAGTCACCCTAAGCATTATGGGCCTGAAGTGAGGAAGATAACACACCCAAGTGGAATGATGATTTTTTTGGAGGTTGGTAGATAAAGAGACCCAAATTTGGTAGGGGATAGTCATGTTGGCAAGAAATTCCTTGACTAGGATACGCTATGTACGGTGAACGACAATATGTACTATGTAATGTTAAGGAGGTCTAGTATGGGTCAATATCCATGTGGAGAAGGTCTAGATAATGTAGGTGGTAACAGCTGATGTGTTAATTCATGCTTACATGCATGTTGGGGAAGTTTTTATGTACTTTCATAGGTAAATGTACTATGTACGAATAAGCATATATAGTACTATGTATTATTCATGGGGACTAGCAGTAATACACAAAGTACATAAAGGCACTAATGTATTAGTGGTAACTCATTAATACTAACATAATAGTTAAAATGCATCTAGAGAAAAGTTCAGGGAATAGTTTAATTAGAATTTCAGCTTTAGGTGTTGACAGTAAAATGAGAAAGCTTTTTTCCTGAGTTGTTCTGGGGAAAGGATCTCCATTTCTGGTTTACAAGACCAGAGTACTGAATTATACTACAAGGACATTTTCACTTAAGTAACTTCTTTTTGATTAGGGTAGTAAGTGGTATGAGGGTAAGGATGGTAGAGAAATATATAATAGATGCAGTCTGTCTGATGACAATAAAAGGGTATTTGACTGGCTAACCTCCAATTCATGTAAGTGTAATTAGGTCGGCTACTAGGATTCAGAATAAGCACTGACTTAACGGCAGGAATATTGTACTTCGTTGTTTAGATATGTTAAGTACAGGAATAATTGCTAGAATAAGAATGGAGAATATGAGGGCTGGGACACCTCCTAATTTGTTGGGGATGGATCATAAAATTGTATATGCATACAAAAAATATCACTCTGGTTTAATGTGGAGTGGAGTATCGAGACAATTAGTTAAAGTGTAATTATCTGGGCCGCTCAGGAGGTCGGGTGAAAACAGTACAAGGATTAGAAGGAAGAGGAGAAAAATTAAACATAGAATGTCTTTAGTTGTGTAGTAAGGGTGAAAAGTGATTTTGTCAGGGTCTGACAAAATCCCTGAAGGTTGTTAGATCCTGTTTCACGTAGGAATAGAAGGTGAACAGTTAGAGCTGCAATGATAAAAGATCAGATGAAGCCAAGTGCGGTGGCTCACAGCTGTAATCCTAGCACTTTGGGAGGCCGAGGTAGGCGGATCATGAGGTCAAGAGATCGAGACCATCCTGACCGATATGGTGAAACTCCATCTCTACTAAAAAAATACAAAAATTAGCTGGGCGTGGTGATGTGCGCTTGTAGTCCCAGCTACTCAGGAGGCTGAGGCGGAAGAATCACTTGAACCGAAGGCGGAGGGTTCAGTGAGCTGAGATTGCACCACTGCACTCCAGCCTGGTGTCAGAGCGAGACTCCATCTCAAAAAAAAAAAAAAAGAAAAAAAGGTAAGATGAAATGGAAGGCAAAAAATCATGTGAGGGTGGCTTTGTCAACTGAGAATCCACCTCAGATTCACTGCACAAGGTCAGATCCAATGTATGGGATGGCTGATAATAGGTCTGTAATTACTGTAGTGCCTCAGAATGATATTTGGCCTCGTGGGAGTAGGTAGCCTATAAATGCTGTTGCTATGATTGTGAATAGAACAATAATATCAGTATTTCCGGTTTCTAGAAATATAAATGATTCATAATATAAGCCTCATCCAACATGTAGGAAGAGGCAAATAAAAAATAGTGAGGCGCCGTTAGCATGGAAATAGCGGACCATTCAGCCGTAGTACACATCTCAGTTGATATGAGCGATTGAAGAGAAGGTGGCTAAGGTGTCTGGTGCATAGTGCATGGCAAAAAATAGTCCTGTGATGATCTGAAGAATTAGGCAGGCACTGAGAAGTGAGCTGAAGTTTCATCATATAGAAATGTTAGATGGTGTGGCAAGATCAATAAATAAGTGGTTAATATTTTTTGCTAATGGGTGTGTTTTACAGGTATTGGTCATTAGTATCCTTACAGTTGAAATACAACAATGGTTTTTAATATCATTAGTCATGGTTATAGTCCACATGGGAATAATGACATATGCTATATTTTTATTGTGTATTCTCTTGGTTATAGGATTTTCAGGTTTTTCTTCGAAGCCTTCTCCTATTTATGGAGGTCTAGGGTTACTTATTAGTGGTGCTGTGCACTGTGGTATTGTGCTGAATTTTGGCGGGGCTTTCGTGGGGTTAATGGTCTGTTTGATTTATCTGTGTGGTATGATGATTGGTTTTGATTATACTGCAGCAATGGCTATTAAAGAATATCCTGAAACATGAGGGTCAAGTATTGACATTTGAGGGGCTTTATCATTAGGATTATTAATGGAACTAGTGTTAGCTTGGTAGATAGTTGAATACGATGGGGTAGTAATCATGATTAATAGCGTGGGGAGTTGAACGGTGGGTTGTGGCTGGATAAAAACCAGTATGTTAGAGAAGTTGAATATGTGTAATGGGTGTTTAAGTTTGAGGTTATTAGTTATAAGATTAAACTCTACTGCTAGCAAGAGGCCTAAGACGGTTACACCTAGGGCTGTGAGTTTAGGATGGAGTGGCATAGTTGTTTGAGGGGGTGAAGCAGGAATAATACTGTTGGTAATGAGAAATCCAGCAAAGATGTTACCAATTGCTAGGCGGTTAACTGAGTTAATTAGAAATGGATTATTTTAGTTAATAATAATAAGCGTTATGAATCAGGGTTGTCCTGTCTGAGAGAAGAAGATAACACGCTACACAGATAGCCATCAAGTAGGTGGCAATGAGAGTGATAGGGCTCAGGCGTTGGCATATGACATTTGTCTCAAAAAAAAGAAAAACATGACAAGGGAGTTAAAATGCAGTCACTGTAGACTCTTCTAATCATATATCTTATATTACATCATCTGTTTACAATTGACAAAAAACTGGAGGTACCATTATAGCCAAAAAAAGACATTGCTACATATTCCTCTGTATGTTCATGCCTCTTTATAAACAGATGACCTTAAATCTGCAGCTACATACCTTCTAGTATGACACAACCTCTACCTAAAATAGGAGATTTGCTAGTCATGGTGGCTCACATCTGTATTTCTAGCACTTTACAAGGCCGAGGTGGGAGGACTACTTGAGCCCAGGGGTTTGAGACCAGCCTAGGCAACAAAGCGAGACCCTGTCTCTATAAAAAATTTTAAAAATTAGCCAGGTATAGTGGCACATGCCTGTAGTCCCAGCTACTTGGGAGGCTGAGGCAGGAAGGTGGCTTGAGCCCAGGAATTTGATGCTACTGTGAACTATGATGGCGCCACTGCAGTCCAGCCTGGGCGACAGAGCAAGTCCCTATCTCAATAAAAACATTAAAAAATGACAAAATAATATAAGAGACTTTGTTTCACATCAAAAAAAGTTTACGGGTTGGGTGTGGTGGCTCATACCTGTAATCCCAGCACTGTGGGAGGCCAAGGTGGGCAGATCACCTGAGGCTGAGAGTTCGAGACCAGCCTGACTAATATGGAGAAACCCCATCTCTACTAAAAATACAAAATCAGCCAGATGTGGTGGCGCATGCCTGTAATCCCAGCTACTTGGGAGGCTGAGGCAGGAGAATCGCTTGAACCTGGGAGGTAGAAGTTGCAGTGAGCCAAGACTGTGTCATTGCACTCCAGCCTGGGCAACAAGAGTGAAATTCCATCTCAAAAAAAAAAAAAGTTTACCTTGGAAAAAATAAGGAAACACATTAGGTAAAAGCTTTAGAAGCTGGCTGTACACAGTACTTTTCTTACCTCCAATATCCAACAGTGGCTGCTGACTGACATTCAGTTTGTTGACATCACTATCAAACATTCCTACCAAAGAGGTCTTTAAAACTGCCAACAAAAGCTTTTCCTCTTGTAGTAAAATTTGCCTTTTATCTGGAGTAACATTGATATCAACACATTCTAAGGAAAAAAAGAAAACACATTTATTATGTTTACATTCACTTTCATTTATTTATTATTATTATTTTAAATAGGGTTTCACCATGTTGGTTAGGTTGGTCTTGAACTCCTGACCTCAGGTGATCCACCCACCTTGGCCTCCAAAGTACTTGGATTACAGGCATGAGCCACCACGCCCAGCCTCAATTTATTATTATTATTCATTTTTTTCAGACAGGGTCTCACTCTGTTGCCCAGGATGGAGTGCAGTGGCACAATCTCAGCTCACTGCAACCTCTGCCTCCTGGGTTCAAGTGATTCTCCTGCCTCAGCCTCCAAAGTAGCTAGGATTACAGGCACGTGCCACCATGCTGGCTAATTTTTGTATTTTTTAATAGAGACCGGGGTTTCATCATGTTGGCCAGGCTGGTGTCAAACTCTTGACCTCAAGTGATCCCCCTGCCTTAGCCTCCCAAAGTGCTAGGATTATAGGCATGAGCCACTGCGCCCAGCCAAATTAACTTTTAACTAGATATTTCCCCATCTATTATTTCATTCACTTGTATCTATCAAAAGTACTATTAAAAATATTAAAGTGTTCAGATTAAGAATCATAAGTTATAAAATCAGCTTTTTCAAATAAATGAGCAAAAGATAATTTTTCAACAGACAAAATATAGAAGGGCTTGAATAGGTAAACTGGAGAAAGAAAAGCAAACAAACACGTAAAAATAATTTTAAATATGCAAACTAAAAGAAGATATTTTATCCCCTATTGAATTTAGCTTAACAACTATATTCCTAGTACATTGTTGGTAGGCATGTAAATTGGTAAGTCTAGAATACAATATAGAAAAGTCTTGGGCCGGGCGCTGTGGTTCATGACTATAATCCCAGCACTTTGGGAGGCTGAGGCAAGCAGATCACCTGAGGTCAGGAGATTGAGACCATCCTGGCTAACAGGGTGAAACCCTGTCTCTCCTAAAAAATTCAAAAAATTAGCTGGGCGTGGTGGCACTCACCTGAAGTCACAGCTACTTGGGAGGCTGAGGCAGGAGAATCTCTTAAACCCAGGAGGCAGAGGTTGCAGTGAGCCAAGATCGTGCCACTGCACTCCAGCCTGGGCAACAGAGTGAGACTCCATCTCAAAAAAAAAAAAAAAAAAAAAAAAAGCCTTATAATTATCATATTCACTGACCCAGTAATTCTACTTCTAGCAATTTATCTTAAGTACAATTGAAAATGTGGGCCAAGGGTGCTGGCTCACGCCTGTAATCTAGCACTCAGGGAGGCTGAAGCAAACAGATCAGTTAAGGTCAGCAGTTTGAGACAAGCCTGGCCATAATGTCTAACCCCATCTCTACTAAAAATACAAAAAATTAGCTGGGCATGGAGGCAGGCACCTGTAATCCCTGCTACTCAGGAGGCTGAGATGGGAAAGTCACTTGAACCCAGGAGGTAGAGGTTGCAGTGAGCTGAGATTATACCACTGCACTCCAGCCTGGAAGACAGAGAAAGACTGTCTCAAAATTTAAAAAATTAAAAAATTAAAGAAATAAAAATGTAGATAATGATTTAATTATACGAACAGTATTTATAATTTCCAAAAACTAAAGACAACTTATATTTTGAAATTTTTTTTTTTTTTTTTTTTGAGATGGAGTTTCGCTCTTGTTACCCAGGTTGGAGTGCAATGGCGCGATCTCGGCTCACCGCTACCTCCGCCTCCTGGGTTCAGGCATTTCTCCTGCCTCAGCCTCCTGAGTAGCTGGGATTACAGGCACGCGCCACCATGCCCAGCTAATTTCTTGTATTTTTAGTAGAGACGGGGTTTCACCATGTTGACCGGGATGGTCTCGATCTCTTGACCTCGTGATCCACCCGCCTCGGCCTCCCAAAGTGCTGGGATTACAGGCTGAGCCACTGCGCCCGGCGAAAAATTTAAAAATTAAAATACCAAAGTATAACCATGCATTGGAATATAATTCACCTATTAAAATCACATTTCTCATTAATTTTTAATAACAGAAAAGAAAACATTCACATTTAAGGACAAAGAGCAGAATACAAAATTATTTCCTTATCTCAAAGAATATGAGAGTGGCGGGGAGAGAGAGGAGAGAAGATATTTCTTAGGGTATGTGCATATGTATTTCTAAGTACCTAGAAAAAATACTGAATGTCAATAAACCAGAATTTCAACAATCAGAAAATTCTTTTTTTTTTTTTTGGGACGGAGTTTCGCTCTTGTTACCCAGGCTGGAGTGCAATGGCGCGATCTCGGCTCACCGCCACCTCCGCCTCCTGGGTTCAGGCAATTCTCCTGCCTCAGCCTCCTGAGTAGCTGGGATTACAGGCACGCGCCACCATGCCCAGCTAATTTTTTGTATTTTTAGTAGAGACGGGGTTTCACCATGTTGACCAGGATGGTCTCGATCTCTCGACCTCGTGATCCACCCGCCTCGGCCTCCCAAAGTGCTGGGATTACAGGCTTGAGCCACCGCGCCCGGCCTTAACAATCAGAAAATTCTATATGAAATGAATTATTTCTGAAATAAGAACATTTAGTCTACTGTCTCCCTTGGTTGACATAAAAAAAGTTACATTGTCCCAATAATACAATTAACATAGTTTCAAGTAGAAAGAGGGAACTCTGTTTAAAAAAATAAAATTACAGCAGGGCACAGTGGCTCATGCCTGTAATCCTAGCACTTTGGGAGACTGAGGTGGACCAATCACCAGGTCAGGAGTTTCAGACCAGCATGGCCAACATGGTGAAACCCTGTCTCTACTCAAAATGCAAAAAATTAGCTGGGCATGGTGGCAAGTGCCTGAAATCCCAGCTACTCAGGAGGATAAGGCAGAGGAATCACTTGAACCTGGGAGGCAGAGGTTGCAGTGAGCTGAGATTCATGCCACTGCACTCCAGCCTGGGGGGCCATGCAAGACTCCATCTCAAAAAAAAAAAAAAAAAAAAAAAAAAAAAAAAAAAATTACATGGCCATAAATTGGTATCTCATTCCAATCATAGCAGAGCTTTACAATTTCATTTTCTTCTTTGAGGCATTAGTCACTAGTTGTACTGAAATGCCAGTGGAACTTACCTGCATCAACAGAAATGTTAAGAACAACAAATGGATACTGATTTCGATTATACATGTGGTAGACCTCATTCACAAGTCTGGAGACCTGCACAAAATACAAAGAATAGGAAAGAATAAACGAGAAATGTTCCTGGCCCCCAGCATCCTAACAACATGCTATTCTAACCAACCAGCATGTTCTTAGAAAGGGATACTTTTTTTTCTTTGGAGACAAGGTCTCGCCTTATCACAGGCTGTAGTGCAGTGGAACAATCACGGCTCACCACAGCCTCAACTTCCTAGGCTCAAGTGATCCTCCTGCCTCAGCCTCCAGAGTACCTGGGATTACAGGCACATGCCACCATGACTGGCTAATTTTTATATTTTTAGTAGAGATAGAGACAGGGTTTCACCACATTGGTCAGGCTGGTCTTGAAGTCCTGACCTCAGTTGATTCACCCACCTCAGCCTCCCAAAGTGTTAGGATTACAGGGTTGAGCCACCGTGCCTAAGGATACTTTTCTTTTTCTTTCTTTCTTTTTTTTTTTTTGAGATGGAGTTTTGCTCTTATTGCCCAGGCTGGAATGCAATGGCAAGATCTGAGCTCACTGCAACCTCTACCTCCTAGGTTCAAGCAATTCTCTTGCCTCAGCCTCCGGAGTAGCTGGGATTACAGGCACGTACCACCACACCTGGCTAATTTTGTATTTTTAGTAAAGACAGGGTTTCTCCATAGCGGTCAGGCTGTTCTCGAACTCCCAATCTCAGGTAATCCACCTGCCTCAGCCTCTCAAAGTGCTGGTATTTGATTACAGGCGTGAGCCACTACGTGTGGCTAGGATACATTTTTTAACAGCTTTTACTAAGCTATGACTGACATGGAATAAACTATACATATTTAAAGGCTGCAATTTAATAAGTTTTGACATATATACACAAACATCTGTATGTTTGTGAAACCATCCTCACAATCAAGATAATGAATACATACATCACCAAAAGTTTCCTCACCACCCTCAAAGTGATATTTCTAATCATGGATTCCTAAAACTAAATCTTTTTCCAACCTGAAGTCGCTCTACAAGAAATTTTAGTGAAATGCAGGCACAGCTTAAATGTTCATAAAACACATTCAATGTACATAGAAACATATTTATGACATATGTCGTTAGAAATAACCCAAAATATCACATTGTTATAATAATTATTAATCAATCACAATATAGGTTACAAAATTTAGAAATTGAACCACATCTGGCAGATTACAAGTGAACTCTAAACTCTCATTGAAAAACAGAAAATAGGCCGGACATGGTGGTTCACACCTGTAATCCCAGCACTTTGGGAGGCTAAGGCGAGTGGATCACGAGGTCAGGAGTTCAAGACCAGCCTGGCCAACATAGTGAAACCCTGTCTCTACTAAAAATACAAAAATTAGCTGGGCATGGTGGTTCGCACCTGTAGTACCAGCTACTCAGGAGGCTGAGACAGGAGAATCACTTGAACCTGGGAGGCAGAGGTTGCAGTGAGCCAAGATCATGCCACTACACTCCAGCCTGAGTGACAAAGTAAGACTCCATCTCAGAAAAAAGAAAACCAGAAAATATTACTGAGGTACAATGTTGTGTTGCTAAGCTGCAAACTCGAAAAACCCATGTAACTAAATCAAAATATCAGTTTAAGTTTGAGGCAGAAGTAATCCAAGCCCTTATTTCCCTAGGAAAGTAGAAAGAAGAAAGAGAAAATACAGAAACCCATAGAAAAATACAGAAACCATGTAATCAGTGTATACTGAAGGATGACACAGAATGTTATAAAATGTTTAATTTCTTCAAATAACTATAGTTTTTACAATAATAAATATACTGGTAATTAATATGTGTTTATATATTTATGTCTATATAAAAACAACACATGTATATATACACATAAGAACATACATATATGACATTTTAAAAAGTGCACACAGATAAGTGCTCCTTGACTATGATAGGGTTACGTGCTGATAAACCCATAAACTGAAAATATTTTATGTCAAAAATGCATTTGTGATAACCTAACCTACTGAACGTCCTATCTTGGCCTTGCCTCAGAATTCTTATATTAGTCTATAGGTAGGCAAAATAAAACACCTATTTTATAATAAAATGTTGAATATCTTCTGTAATTTATTGAATACTATACTAAAAAACAATGGTTACACAGGTTCTTAAAGTATGGTATCTATTGCATGAATAACTTGCACAACATGGTAAAGTGGTAGAAAAATCTTTTTTTTTCTTTTTTTTTTTGTGACAGAGTCTCGCTCTGTAACCCAGGCTGGAGTGCAATGTCGACTCACAGTAACCTCCACCTGCCAGGTACAAGCGAACCTTCTGCCTCAACCTCCCAAGTAGCTGGGATTACAGGCGTAAGCCACCACACCTGGCTATTTTTTTTTTTTTTTGTATTTTAGTAGAGACAGGATTTCGTCATGTTGGCCAGGCTAGTCTTGAGCTTCCGGCCTCAAGCAATCCACTCGCCTCAACCTCCCAAAGTGCTGGGATTACAGGCATGAGCCACTGCGTCCGGCCAGAAAAATCTTCAGTTGAAACCACCTAAGGGGCCATCTGTAGTAGACTTCTGTAAATGCCCGAAATAAGGTAATGTTATAGCCACATTTCTCAAAGTCCCAAATTCCATGTAAACTGCCTATATCAGAAAAAAAGTTGTCAATGAAAAGTCAAAGGCATAAAGAATCAAAGAATACAAAAAACTTTTAAATACCTTTGCTGGGTCACAAGGCCGCCGATTGATAAAGAAAAACTGTCGGTCTGTTGAACTCCTTCCAACTCCATGTGCGCATTGTGAAATGAAACCTGAGATGCTATTCAATGGTAATACAGTAAGGGCAGGATTCCAGAGTGAAAAGAATTAGAAATACAATCACGTGGCACATTCTTAAAGTGAAATGAAAACAAAACACCAGGTGACATGCTGATAAGTATCACTATTGCAGTTCATGGGTACCTACGCTCCAAATCTTTATGCATCATCAAAGAACCAGATGTTTTGTAATGCTCTAGAGCTCCTACAGTCAACCAATGCACCACAGGTGATGCAGTGGGTCCAAAACTGATGTGTTGCAGCTCTCTTATCACCTTCCTGATAAATCCTTGGCCTCCATACGAGGAGTGGGTCTCATTCAAATGCATTCTCAGAACCCCGATACTGCCAACCCGGTTTATCAGTGAAGTCTAATCACCTGTGCTCAGATTTTGCCCATACTCCCTCCCCTTTCAAAATCTCCTGGATAGCAATCAGCCATAAGCCAATAGCAAGTGGTGGAAGAATAAGAAATATAGATCTAAAAACAAAACAAACAAAGAAAGAGATCTTAGGCTAGGCACAGTGGTTCATTCCTGTAATCCCAGCACTTTGGGAAGCTGAGGCAGGTGGATCACCTGAGGTAAGGAGTTCAAGAATAGCCTGGGCAACATGGTAAAACCTCATCTCCACTAAAAATACAAAACAATTAGCCACATATGGTGTGCACATTTGTAATCCCAGCTACTCTGGAGGCTGAGGCAGGAGAATCGCTTGAACCCAGGAGGCGGAGGTTGCAGTGAACCAACATCACATGCCACGGCACTCTAGCCTGGGCAACAGAGTGATACACTGTCTCAAAATAAAGAAAAGAAAGAAGAAATACTGATCTTTACAGGACCAATCCTATTTATGGAAGTGTCTATTTTCTTATACTAAAAGTAATGATGCTGAACTGCCTTCACTAGATGCCAGAAAAGTCAAAATCATTTAAAATTATAAAACAATTTAAAAGCTAGTCTAACTAAACAGAGCCTTAAAGAAGACTAACTCAACAGGAAACCACCTGAAATGTACCAGTTACCCAGAACATGGTGAATTAAGTAACTGAGTCCTTTGCATAAATCATCTTTCTTAGCAATAGCACTGCTCACAGTTTTATAAAAGACATAAACAATAACTAGCCCTGGACAGGCATGATGGCTCACGTCTATAATCCCAGCACTTTGGGACACCAAGGTGAGCAGATCATCTGAGGTCAGGAGTTCGAGACCAGCCTGGCCAACATGGTGAACCCCCATCTCTACTAAAAATACAAAATTAGCCAGGTGTGGTGGTGCATGCCTGTAATCCCAGCTACTCAGGGACTGAGGCAGGAGAAATGTTTGAACTGGGGAGGCAGAGGTTGCAGTGAGCCAAGACTGTGCCATTGCACTCCAGCCTGGGCAACAGAGCAAGTCTCCATCTCTTAAAAAAAAAAAAAAAGAACCCAGAACCTAAAGTACAATTTAAAAAAAAGAAAAAGAAAAAGAAACAATTACCCCTAAAATCACTATCTTAAAAAAAAAACTCTCAAGATGAAACGTTCAATTGTAGTTCTCTTGCCAGCAATCTACTTACTAAAACAGATTATGCAGAGAATCCGAACAGCTCAAACCGTACTCTTCACACACAGAGTCACTAGGGGGCAGCTGAACAAAAGGAATGAGGCTTTGCAACTAAAAAGAAAAAAAAAAATCAGTTACTTCCTATAAAGACAGACTGAACTTACTTGTTTTCCTTCCTAGTCAAGCTACCCACCTTGTAAGCGCAAAAAAATTCAAGGAATCTTTTTTTTGTTTTGATTTTTGAGACAGGATCTCTCTCTCTTGCCCAGGCTGGAGTGCAGTGGCTCAATCACAGCTCACTGTAGTGTCAAACTCCTGGGTTCAAGCAATCCTCCTGCCTCAGCCTCCCGTGAGTAGCTGGGACTACAGGTGCATGCCACCATACCTAGCTAATGTTTTTAATTTTTATTTTTGTAGAGATGGGGTCTTGCCTTGTTACACAGGCTGGTCTTAAATTCCTGGGCTCAAGCAATTCTCCCACCTCAAAATTGTTGGCCCAGTGGTTCAAACACATAATCCCAGCAGCGTCTTCTCCCAAAGTACTGGGATTACATGCGTGAGCCATCAGGACACCACTTTTGATTTATGACATGAGATAGATGAAACAAGTACCTACTTATTCATAACCCACACATTGCCCACAATAATTTATATTTTTTTCAGAGAGAGAGTGAAAAGATGCAGTATATGAGCGTCTCTGGAAGAATGAAAAACTTTCAGTTTCGAACATTAATTTTTGTGATAGGTACTTTAAAAACTGATTCTTAGTCTAGATGCAATGGGTCAACGCCTATAATCCCAGCATTTTGGGAAGCTGAGGCAAGTGGATCACTTAAGGTGAGGAGTTTGAGACCAGCCTGGCCAACATGGTAAAACCCCGCCTCTACTAAAAATAAAAAAAATTAGGTGGGCCTGGTGGTACATGCCTGTAATCCCAGCTACTCAGGAGGCTGAGGCAGCAGAATCACTTCAAACTGGGAGGCAGAGTTTGCAGTGAGCCAAGATGGTGCCATTACACTCCAGCCTCGTCAACAGAGCAAGACTCCATCTCAAAAAAAAAAAAAAAATCAATTCTTAGATTTTATTCTTCATTCTACTGGAAAGGACAATGGAAACCCACCCTAATCACTAGAGCACTAAGAGGTGTTTAAGTAACCGGCCATCACTACCTGCTTCTGCCCAAACACAGAGCCGATATTTTCCTTTATGCTGGGGCTTCCACCTGTGCATACCACAGGCTGTCGTTTTCCTTGTCCAAGCTGATTTGTGCAACTGATACGGATGCCTGCTGAAATTATACAGTAGGCATGTAAGACCTGGACCATTTTGGCATACTCCTGTTTAAAAAACACAAACACAATATTCTACATTACTTTGGTATTACAGGAATTACACAGCTCAAGTTATAACATCCAAAGCGAGATTCTCACATCATCTCACAAATGAAGGGAAGTACTATTGACAGAATGATCTGCAAAGAGGTATCTTCCTACATTCTATGGAAAGCAATGCAGAGCTTTTGCCTCCTGGTCTCAATCCTCTAACTTGCCAACGTGCTATGCGTCCTGGTAAAACAACTGAAAAATACAGCCTGTAATCCCAGCCACTCAGGAGGCTGAGGGCAGGAGAACTGCTTGAGACCAGGGTTCAAGACCAGCCCGGGCAACACAGCAAGACCCTGTCTCTACAAAAAAATTTTTAAAAAACTAGCCAGGCGTGGCGGTGCCTGCCTGTAGTCACGGCTACTCAAGAGGCTGCGGTAGGAGGATCGCTTGAGCCCAGGAGTTTGAGGCTGCAGTGAGCCATGATCACACCACTGTGCTCCAGCTTGGGTAACAGAGCAAGGCCCTATCTTTAAAAATGAAAATTTAAAAACTGCAACATACATTCTGTTTGATTTTATAATCTCTCCTTTTGAATTGTGTCTTTGTATAATAGAAAGACTGGCACAAGCATTTTGGTGTACAGAGATACAAAAATGTTCACTGAATCAATCTCCTTGAAAAATCAGGAACAACCTAAACAAGCATCATCAAGGAGTTAATTAACTATGGTAGACCCATATCACAGTAGAATGACAAAAAATAAGGCAGTGTGCACTGACTGAAAAAGACAATCACAATATGCTAAGTAGAAGTCAGTTACAGGACCAGGCACGATGGTTCACGGCTATAATCCCAGCACTTTGAGAAGCTGAAGTGGGAGGGTGGCTTGAGCCTGGGAGTTTGAGACCAGCCTAGGGAACACAGAAGGACCCATTTCTACAAAAAAATACAAAAATTGGCTGGGCACAGTAGCACGGGCTTGGAGTCTTGGCTACTTGGGAGGCTGAGGTGCGAGGATCTACCGAGCCTGGGAGAGCAAGCCTGCAGTAAGCTGAGATTGTGCCAGTACATTCCAGCCTGGGTGAAAAAGCAAGACCCTATCTCAATTAAAACAAAACAAAACAAAAAACAGCTGGGCGCAGTGGCTCATGCCTGTAATCTCAGCACTTTGGAAGGCTGAGGTGAGCATATCACCTGAGGTTGGGAGTTCGAGACCAGCCTGACTATCATGGAGAAACCCTGTCTCTACTAAAAATACAAAATTAGCCGGGCATGGTGGCGCATGCCTGTAATCCCAGCTACTCAGGAGGCTGAGGCAGAAGAATCACTTGAACCCGGGAAGCAGAGGTTGCAGCCTGGGCAACAAGAGCGAAACTCTGACTCAAAAAAAATAAAAATTTAAATTAAAAAAAAATTTTTTTTCAACCACATACAATCCTGTATTACTTGCATGCTGTACATTTTATATTACTTGCTTTCATTATATTAATTTATGAATTTATCTTGAAAATTATTCCAACAGTTATAAACACATGAATTTAAAAAGAGTCTGAACAGATACATAAACTGTAAATGATGGTTATCTCTGACAAAAAGAAGTTCTACATTCCTATATTTTGCTAAGGCACTAATTTTTTTTGACCATAAGGTGCAAAAAAAGGTAAGTTCTATTTCAAAAATTAAAATTTTTGAAAAAATATAATAAAGTTAAAATTAGCAGCCAGGAACAGTGGCTCACACCTGTAATCCCACCACTTTGGGAGGCTGAGGCAGGCAGATCACTTAAGGTCAGGGGTTTAAGACCAGCCAGGCCAACAAGAGGAAACTCCCGTCTCTACTAAAAATACAAAATTAGCTGGGTGTGGTGGCAGGCACCTGCAATCCCAGCTACTTGGGGGCTGAGGCAGGAGAATCACTTGAACCTGGGAGGCATAGATTCCAGTGAGCCAAGATTGCACCACTGCACTCCAGCCTGAAGGACAGAGTGAGAAGTCTCTGTCTAAAAAAAAAAAAATTTAATTAGCACCAATTGCTTTACAAGTAAAAATAGTTTTAAGCGGCATGTGTTTAGGTAACTTTTTAGACTATAAAAAAATACACGCATAAAATGAAAAAGCAAAAAGAAGACAGCAAAAAGTGCATGAGATCTCACATCCAAGGATAACCGCTGAGAACATGAAAGTGTTGACTCTTCCAGCCTTCATACGACACACATTTAGGCCTGCTGTTTTGTTTTTATAAAACTGTAATCATATAATATAGTTTTTCTTTTTTTATAATACAGTTTTTAATCTGCTTTTTAAAGATAACAATTATACATTTAGCTGTTTCATTTGCATTCAAATTCATAAGGGTTACAATAACTCATTTCTCAGAAAATCAAGATAAATATTCTTATTAAAATAGAAGTATGTAAGGCCAGGCACAGTGGCTCACACCTGTAATTCTAGCACTTTGGGAGGCTGAGGTGGGCAGATCACCTGAGGTCAGCAGTTCAAGACCAGCCTGGCCAGCCTGGACAACATGGGGAAACCTCATCTCTACTAAAAATACAAAAATTAGCCAGGTGTGGTAGCGCATGCCTGTAATCCCAGCTACTTGGGAAGCTGAGGCAGGAGGATCGCCTGAACCTGGGAGGCAGTGAAATCATGCCACTGCACTCCATCCTGGGGGACAAAGAGAGATTCCGTCTCTAAAAAATATAAAATAAATAAATAAATATATATGTGTATATATTTATTTTTCCAGACAGGGTACCACTCTGTCTCCCAGTCTGGAATGCAGAGGTAGCATCATAGTTCACTGCAGCCTTGAGTTCCTGGGTTCAAGTGATCCTCCCGCTTCAGCTTCCCAAGTAGCTAGAACTACAGATACATGCCACCATGCCCAGTAAAATTTTTAATTTTTTTTGTTTTTTTGAGACAAAGCCTTGCTCTGTCCCCAGGCTGGAGTATGGTGACATGATCTCTGCTCACTGCAACCTCTCCCTCCTGGGTTCAAGCAATTCCCTGTCTCAGCGTCCCGAGTAGCTGGGACTACAGGCACAGGGCACCAAGCCTGGCTAATTTTTTTATATTTTTGTAGAGACAGGCTTTTACAACATTGGCCAGGATGGTCTCAAACTCCTGACCTTATGATCCACCTGCCTCGGCCTTCCAAAGTGCTGGGATTAAAGGTGTGAGACACCGCGCCAGGCCTTTTTAAAATTTTTCCTAGAGACAGGGACTCACTGTGTTGTCCAGGCTTAATCAACACTATGTGATGAAAAGGAAAAAAGTAAGTCATCCTAAAGTTAAGTCTTTAATGGAAAGATGAAAATAAAGCATTTTTCAATAAATTACGAGAAGACAATCAACTGAAGAATAAACATCTTTTTCTTTTGCTCATGTATAGTAACCAATACTCTTGAAAATCAGGATTCATTTACTGTACCTTCTTTATATTCCTTTGAAATTCCTTATGGCGCACAGGTAATGTATAAAATAACTGCTGCACGCTGACTGTGGTCCCTCTGGGGCGGGGATAGGGGGTTTTCTGGATGATTTTCCCGTTGTGATCAAACACCAGTCGAGTCCCAACCTTCACCGATACATGGCAGGTAGAAATGGTGACATCGCTGTGAGAGAATACCAGGGACGGTGGGTTCAGTTAGAGACCCATGATGCTGGACACTGACTACTCTTTTCTTCACTTGCTTTTCTCTCAAAACTTTCTTAAAAAGCTGATGATCCTCGAGGTGGGTGGATTACCTGAGGTCAGGAGTTCGAGACCAGCCTGGCCAACATGGTAAAACCCCATCTCTACTAAAAATACAAAAATTAGCCTGGCGTGGTGGCGCACACCTATAGTCTCAGCTCCTCAGGAGGCTGAGGCACAAGAACCACTTGAACCTGGGAAGCAGAGACTGCAGTGAGCTGAGACTGTGCCACTGCACTCCAGCCTGGGCGACAGAGTGAGACTCTGTCAAAAAAAGAAAAATATATATGTGTAATTATTTACAAAAATTAGAATCTATGATATAATTATATAGTGCTTTGGTGAAATGTTTCCCTAAAAGTTGATAATGAAAACCAATGTAACTATCATTTATTATCTGTATGTTATGCTAAAATTAAGAAGTTACTGTTTTAATAAGGGGAAAAATTTTTTTTACAATACTATGTGCTTCATTTCATTCATTTATTGCTGACATTTCAGAAGTATTATGACTAGATTGGCAGTGAGCCAAAACAGAATTCAGAAGTTAGAAGCTGAGACACTGAGACACAGAACTATAAACAGTAATGATTTGAATTACTTTTCAGAGAGGTTTAAAGGGTCAAGTGAATGGATAAAAATATTGCATCACCTCAGTGCACAAAGTGAGCTCAGAGCTTCCCCCCGAAAGCCAAAAGTTTCAACCTGAGTTAGGTCAGCAAAGTCCTGAATCTTCGATGTGTAATGTTTCAGAGCTGAAAGAGAGTATAAAGTAAGGACCACGATATCTCAAGTGCTATAGCAACAAATATACATGCTATCTACCACAGTAACTGGCTTTAAAAAACTGTTTTTGTATTTCCCAAGACGGTGCTACTAAAAATGCTGAAACATCTGGCCCAATTATTTTATAATAGGATTAGAAAAAGTCAACTTACTTAAGCCTTCAAAGTTTTCTTCTTCTACCCCACATCCATTGTCTGAAACTTCAATGAGATCCACTCCATAGTCCTTAAGCTTTAGATCTAAAAAATTTAAAATATTTACACCTCCAATGTTCAAGCAATTCCCATGCCCCAGCCTCCCGAGCAGCTGGGACTACAGGCACGCACCTCCACGCACACACTAATTTTTTTTTTTTTTTTTTTAAGTAGAGACGGGATTTCAGCATGTTGGCCAAGATGTTCTCAATCTCCTGACCTCATGATCCACCCGCCTCAGCCTCCCAAAGTGCTGGGATTACAAGCGTGAGCCACTGCGCCTGGCTCAAGTAATGCAAATTTAAGAGTTGTAACGATAGCTGTAGTTAAACGTACTAGTGTCATTTTGTATATTTCATTTTTTTAAAAGTCATTTCTGGTTATTTCCTAGCCCAGACTAAATAGTTCAGCTTTTTCTTTCTTTCCTCTTTTTTCTCCCCCCGGGGCTAGTCAAGTGAAGCAGTTGCAGTGGAGAAGGAACAAAAAAAATCTGTAACTGGTTGTGATCAATTAGTTGTAAACACCATCACATTTGGACCAGAATTTTCTTTTGAAAGAAATAATGTTAATATAGCCATTAAAAAGAACGGGTTCTAGAATCAGATTTTCTGGATCCTATTTGATTAGCTTTATCATCTCAAAAAAAAAAAAGAAGAAAAAGAAAAAAAGAAAATTTCCTATCCCTTGATTTCCTCATTTGTAAAATAGAGATAATGATCATCTCTAGCTCATAGTTATTCTGCTTAACGATTTTTTGTTTTTTATTTTATTATTTTCTTTTTACTTATTTATTTTTGAAATGTAGTCTCACTCTGTCAACCAGGCTGGAGTGCAGTGGCATGATCTTGGCTCACTGCAATCTCCAACTCCCAGGTTCAAGCGATTCTCCTGCCTCAGCCTCCTGAATAGTTGAGATTACAGGTATGTGCCACCACGCCTGGCTAATTTTTGTATTTTTCGTAGAGACATGGTTTCACCATGTTAGTTAGGCCAGTCTCAAACTTCTGACTCAAATGGTCAGCCCACCTCGGCCTCCCAATGTGCTGGGATTCCAGACATGAGCCACCACTCCAGGCCTATTTTATTTTTTATTTTATTTTTATTGTCTTTTTTTTTTTTAATTGAAGGTCCCTTAGTGGTCCTGCTTCCATGAGTAGCAGTGACCAGGGGAAAAGGGAGAGAAACCAGCTGGCATAGGGAGGGGTCATCTCCACAACATTCCATTTAAATACAGGACTAAACAGACAAGCACAGACTCACTATTTGAAGTTGGCAGCATGGGAAGGCGGAGAAACAAGTGGGGATTGGGGATGTTGTTAAAAAAAATACAGGCTCCCCCTACAACTGGGGGACCTGAGGGGAACTTGGTCTGCTTCAACCCAAGAAGAATCAGAAGATCAAAAGCAGTTTGGGAAGGCTAGAACCATCAGAGATGGAGGGAGGAGGAAAATCCAGGGGGTAGGGGGTCTGTTTGGCAACTGGGGTGAAGGGATTGCCCTCCCCCTGCTGGGATCCCCCCAGCCCCTCCAGTCTGGCAGGAAGGGGGCAGCTTGCAACCCCCAAGGGCAGGTGTGGGGCTGCCAGATGCTCCAGGCAGAGGGCCAGAAGAGGCTCACAAAGGCTTGCCCTCCAGGGAGATGACGGCACCGCCCCCCAGCTTCTCTGCCCGGGCACAGCAGTCCTTGACCTCCTCGTAGCAGTTTGCTTGCAATTCATGCTTGATCCTTGTCAGCTTCTTCTTGATGGCGTCTTTGGAGCTGGCATAGATCATTTGCTCTTAAGGGGCACAGACTCAGGAGCCCAGAAGATAAAACACCAGGTCCTCCTTCTTGCTCTCCTTGGTCTCGTAAGTTGCATCATAAAGGGCGCAGCAGCAGTCCTTATCTGGCAGCATCTTGACAAAGGTGGCGTAGCGGTTGTCGACAGTTTGGCCCACATCACCCACCAGGATCTCCTTGCCCTCCTCCAGGATGACGTTCTTTTTGTCCTCACTCAGCCAGAAGAGCACAGCCTTCTTGCGCTTCTTCACCTCTTCCGGCATTGAAGACTTAAGCACCTTCATGTCATTGAACACCTTGATGACACCATCAGAGACAGCCATACCAGAAGCCATGTTTCCGGAAGCGAAAAGGAGAGGGCACAGAAAGCCGCAGAAGAAGACAGCACTGCAGTCGCTGCAGGGACCCGACTCTTTATTTTTTAGTAGCGACGAGGTCTCACTATGTTGGCCAGGTTGATCTTGAACTCTTGGCCTCAAGCAATCCTCCCACCTTGGCCTCTCAAAGGGCAAGGATTACAGGTGTGAGACACCATGCCCAGCTATTCTGCAGCTTGGATGAGATATTTCTGCACAATTCTTAGCAAAATACCTGCCTGGCATACCATAAGAACACAATAAAAGCTGTTATTATTACCACTTAGCTAAGTACTAGGCACATAATGGGTGCTAACTTTAACTTAAATATAATAATTTATTACTACATCAATACTTGATTGTCTTCTTTCAATAACAAATGTTTCTTGAATACAGTAACATATGCTGATTATTTCTTGTGGCTGAAAACTCTCCCAAACTTACCAATATTAGTGGCACCAGCATCCAGACTGTTTTCTACTAACTCCTTCACTGCAGTGCTTAGACTCAGTACCACCTGTCCAGAGCAAATCTGGTGGACTGACTTCCGATCGATAGGTCTGATGGCTTTAGCAGGTTCTGTACTAAAGAAATCAGTTACAAGAAACAAAGCAAGTATTCAGCTATATATTTTCATCCCGATTTTAACTGTGGGAACTGACACAACACTGTAAATAGTTTATGGGTCAAATCTATTCATTTATTATATTAACAAATGCATTTATTTATTTATTATTTATTTATTTTGAGACAGAGTCTCACTCTGTCACCCAGGCTGCAGCACAGTGGTGTCATGGCTCACCACAATCTCCCTCACCTGGGTTCAAGCAATTCTCCTGCCTCAGCCTCCTGATTATCTAGGATTACAGGCACATGCCACCTCACCCAGCTAATTTTTGTAGTTTTTAGTAGAAATGAGGTTTCACCGTCTTGGCCAGGCTGGTCTTGAACTCCTGACCTTGTGATCCACCCACCTCAGCCTCGCAGAGTGCTCGTATTACAGGCATGAACCACCAGGCCTGACCAACAAATACATTTATTATATCCAGAAATAGAAACATTGTTTTATAATCCTTAAACATGTACCCAAAATAATTCTGGAGAGACACTTCAAATTCAACAGATACTTACTATCTAATTATACCAGGATCCACAAGGAGAAAATACACATTGTATCCCTCAAATTATCAAAATCTTTGGCAACAATGCTATCTTCTTTCTTGAAAAGTGAAAGCATGACCAGGTGTGGTGTCACATGCCTGTAATCCCAGCACTTTGGGAGGCTGAGGCAGGTGGATCATTTGAGGTCAGAAGTTTGAGACCAGCCTTGCCAATATGGGTAAACACCATCTCTACTAAAAATACAAAAAATTAGCCAGGCATGGCAGATGCCTGTAATCCCAGCTACTCCGGAGGCTGAGGCAGGAGAATCGGTTGAACCTGGGAGGCCGAGATTACAGTGAGCCAAAATTGCACCTTGCATGCCAGCCTGGACGATGAGCGAAACTCCACCAAAAAAAAAAAAAAAAAAAAAAAAAAGTGAAAGCAACATTTCCACATAATTCGAAAAACCAAGAGTATGCTGAGAGTGTGCTGGGAAATACACAATGTCTGAGTCAAAATCATCTCAGAAATTGCATACCAGTTATGTAACTATTCCTATACATATTCCTGTGTAGTTGTCTTTGATATCCCACTCCAAATTCAAGCTGCCAGCTGCTGTTTTAGCAAAGACTCTCAAAGTTCTTGCCGTACAGCTTTAAGAGTTTTACAACGGTTTTATCTCCCCTTACTCCCTGCTCCAATCCATCCTCTTACCACCAGAGCTATTTTTGAAATCACAAATCTGGTTAAATAAATTTTCTGCTTCAAAATTTATACTAGTGTCCCAATTCCTACTATATGAAATTTAAAATTTACTCATCACTGGGCCTAAAACTAATCTCTCTAATCCTTTCCCTTCATCAAGTCCCCTACATTATTTTTTTATTACTTTTTTTCTGAGACAGAGTTTCACTCTTGTTGCCTAGGCCAGAGTGCAGTGGCACGATCTCTGCTCACTGTAACCTCCGCCTCCCAGGTTCAAGGGATTCTCCTGCCTCAGCCTCCCAAGTAGCTGGGATTACAGATGCCCACCATGACACACAGATAATTTTTGTATTTTTAGTAGAGATGGGGTTTCACCATGTTGAACAGGCTGGTCTCGAACTCCTGACCTCAGGTGATCCGCCCACCTCAGCCTCCCAAAGTGGTGGGATTATAGGCATGTGCCACCACACCTGGTCATGCTTTCACTTTTCAAGAAAGAAAACACCATTGTTGCCAAAGGTTTTGGTAATTTGTAATTTGAGGGATACAATAAAAAACGTAGGGGCCATCCCTTACATTTTTAGCACAGTGACTGTTTCTTGAACATCATAAGTGCTTTTAGACACCACAGTCTGTAAGCAGGTCTCTCTAAACTGCTCTCCTCTTCCTCCTCTGCCCAACCAACGCCTGCTCATCCAAAGAATGTATACCGTGTGTTCATTAACTTAGCAATTTCCAGTAAACAGTTTAATTGATAACTTGGTAAGAGAAGGCAGGAAACCTCCATGAAGGAAAATCACTGGGTACTTCCTCCAGCATCTAACACATCGTAGACCTTCAATAAACCCTTGTGAAATAAACAAACCTCTTTATTCTTCATTCTACCTTTCTAAGAATCTCACCTAAGTTTGTCTACCATGTGAAACTGCAGATGACCTCACAGAAAATGGAAAGCATCTCTAAAAATAAGTTTATTTGGCAACACACCACAGGCTACAGGTCTGCTTCTGATATTTATTCTGAGGAGGGAATGCATTTAGATACAGACCACACATTTATTTAAATGTCTCAAAACATTTAAACGTAGTCACATAAATATATCTAATATATATAAACACAGAAAGCAAATTCGTGTTTACAAATCTGACATGGAACCCAACTGTGCTAGCCAAGATTTGGTGCAGCTCACCAGCCAGAAATCGCATACCCTAACAGGCACTGCATTTTTTAAAAACTGCGCGGCTATGTAAATTAGGATGTGTAGGGACGCTGCACCTCCCCCAAAATAACCTCAATTAAAAAAAAAAAAAAAGGCCAGGCATGGTGCATCACGCCTGTAATTCCAAAACTTTGATAGGCCGAGGCGGGCGGATCACTTGAGCTCAGGAGCTGGAGACCAGCCTGGGCAACACTGCGAGATCTCCGTCTCTACAAATAGTAATAATAATAATAATAAAATTATATTAAATAATATAAAAATAGAAGGGGAGAGAAAACAGGGAGAAAGGAAATGCAGTCTATGGGGATTTCACTATCCAGCTCCAAGTCCACGGCCCTCTGATGAGAAGTGGGCGGGGCCTGCCTGGGACAGGCCGAATCCAACTCCTCACAGGGCAGAATCCTTTGCCCGCAGCCCAGAACCCGGAGGAGTTCGCCGGGCCTCAAGGCGCACCTAAAGGGCGCCAGGTGGCGGGAGCGCTAAGGACGTCGCCCCGGGGCCTCCACACGGCAGCCTCGCCACGCGCCTCGGCCATATTCCCCCTATTTTTAGGGAGGCTGGAACGCCGTGGGTCTCAAAGAGGGCGCGCGCGAGGGGAGACCGCGAGCCCCGCTCACCTCGAGCCCTCAGCTCGCTCCATGGATGCAACAACCGATCCGCCTCGGGGACTGGGAAAGTTCCCTTCAAGGCTCCCACAGGCGCCCCACCTCCTGGCCTCCCATTGGCTGCTTTCGACGTTGTGCTCCACCCTTTCCGGGCGGGGCAGCAAACTACTTCCCGTCTCTCCTTCTCGTCTATAGGCTCTGTTAAAGGTCGAGTACGTGGCGTCAAGGAACCTAGGCCAATCAGAGCACCCCGGACTGCGTTTTTCCCGAACGCCCGCAGCAGGGTCAGAAAGGAGGTGGCCACCCTCAGTCGTGGCCGTTTCTGAACGTTGGTGTCTGGCAGCGCCACCCCCTCTTCCTTTGGTTCCGCGATGCCTATGTACCAGGTAAAGCCCTATCACGGGGGCGGCGCGCCTCTCCGTGTGGAGCTTCCCACCTGCATGTACCGGCTCCCCAACTTGCACAGCAGGAGCGAGCCGCCGGGCGCAGGCCACGTGCAGGTAGGAGCGCGGGGTGGGGCTGCCCAGTGCGCATGCGCAGCGGCCGACTGCTCGCCGGAGTTTCCCCAGTCTTGAGCGAGTGCGTCCCATCCGGTTCCCGGTCCCACCTGGCCTCTGTGCCGGACGGCCTGGGACTCACTCAAACTTTTGTCCTTTGAAGATCTATCCAGGCCGGGCTCCGTGGCTCACGCCTGTAATCTCAGCACTTTGGGAGGCAGAGGCGGGTGGATCACCGGAGGTCAAGAGTTCGAGACCAGCGTGACCAACATGGTGAAACCTCATGTCTACTAGAAATACAAAAATTAGTCCGGCGTGGTGGCGGGCGCCTCTAATCCCAGCTACTCCGGAGGCTGAGGAAGGAGAATCCCTTGAACCTGGGAAGGCGGGGTTTGCAGTGAGCCGCGATCGCGCCACTGCACTCCATCCTGGGCAACGACGAGAACGAAACCCCATTTCAAAAAAAAAGATCTATGCAGGCCGGGCGCGTGATTCATGCCTGGAATCCCAGCACTTTCGGAGACTGCGGTGGGAGGATCGCTTGACCCCCGAGAGTTTGAGATCTGCCTGAGCAGCATAGCAAGACCCCTGTCTCTAGTTTAAAAATGTTTTAATTAAAATAAAAATCTATCTATATTTTTTCTTTTTTTCACATGTGGCTGCTTAAACTTTTTAGTTGAGAAATTTTACCCTCTGAAAAGTGAATAGCACATAAATGCTTATTTTGAGGAATTATAAAGCGAACCCCAGGGTCACCACGGCCCAGGTTGACACACATGTCACTGCTCCATTCTTTCCACTTAAACCTTTGCCCTGGAGGTCTTGATTTTTATGGTAATTATGCCCTGCTTGTCTCTCTTATTTTGTCAACTAAGTATGTGTCTCTAAACAATACAGTCTTTTTTGTTTTGTTTTGTTTTGTTTTGTTTATATGGAGTCTCAGTCTGTCACCCAGGCTGGAGTACAGGGGCATGATCTCCATTCACTGCAACCTCCACCTCCCAAGTCCAAGCAGTTCTCCTGCTTCAGCCTCCTGAGTAGCCAAGATTACAGGTGGCGTCCATTGTACCCAGCTAATTTTTGTATTTTTAATAGAGATGGGTTTCAGGCTGACCTTAAGCGATCCACCCACCTTGACCGCCCAAGGTGGGATACAGATGTGATCCACTGCACCCAGCCCCTAAACAATATAGTCTTAATATAGGTAAGCATGCAGTATATATTCTGATGTGTCTGGCTTTTTTTTTTGTTTGTTTAATGTTGAGGTGGGGGGGGTCTCACTACATCTCTAAATAAAAGGTGGTTATGGAGATCCAAGGTGATCTCAATCTCCTGGCCTCAAGCGATCCTCTAACCCCAGCCTCCCAAAGTCCTGCAGTTACAAACAGGAGCCACCGGTGCCCAGCCCTGGCTTCTATTTTGTAAACATGATTTTAAGAGTCATTTTATTGTAACAATGGAAATATTCATCTCTATAGTATACCGTTCTGTTGCATGACTCTGCACCATATACTTATCCATTCTGCTTGCTCAGGGACACTGGATTGTTTTCCATTTTAACCTGCTATAAATGATTCTGTAGTGAATACTCTTACACAGAGGAGCAGGCATAGGCTATGTACTAATGAATGAGACTTCTGGCTCAGTAGCCAGTCTGGCTTCCACTTTGCTAAATTGTTTTCCAAAGTAGTTATACTGGTTTATGCTCTTACTGGCAGAGTAGAAGACTCTGTGATGTTTGCACCCTTCTCATAGCTGGTGGGTGTGGTGTGGTATTCTAAGGTAGTTTTAGTTTGGGTTTCTCCAGACTTCTGTAAGTTGAGGACCTTTTTTCATGTTCACTGGCCGCTGTGATTTCTCTTTTGTAATGTACCTGCTCAAATCTTTCACTTTTTTCTGATGGCAAACATACATCCCATGTTTCCAGCGGGAGAAATGGGTCTGTCTATTCTGACACAAGATGGGTGAATCAGTAACTTTTCTGGTCTGTTTTCCCACTGCTTTTTTTTTTTTTTTTTTGGAGACGGAGTCTCACTCTTGCCCAGGCTGGAGTACAATGGCACAGTCTCGGCTCTCGGCCTCCTCGGTTCAAGTGATTCTCCTGCTTCAGCTTCCCGAGTAGCTGGGATTACAGGCATGCGCCACCACGTCCTGCTAATTTTGCATATTTTATATTGTTAATAGAGACAGGGTTTCTCCATATTGGCCAGGCTGGGCTTGAACTCCCTACCTCAGGTGATCCGCCCGCCTCAGCCTCCCAAAGTGCTGGGTTTACAGGTGTGAGCTGCCTTGCCTGGCCTCCCGCTGCTTGTTTTCCTTCTGTTTTCTTTAATGGCTTTCTGCCTAGATCAGGAGGAAGGGACTTTCTTTTGAAACCCAGTAACACAACTGTTATTTCAGTACAGAACTAAGACGAAATAGCGGACATGGTTCAATGGTCCCTGCCTTGGAAACAAGCCCAGTACTCCTTCAACTACACAGTCCCATGAGATCAGAAAGACAACCCAGGTTGGAGAATGTCACCTCTCATTGAAGACCAAGATTTGCAGGGGTTTTTTGCTCGGTTTGTTTTGTCGTCTGCTGCCTAACTTCCTTTGGGCTCTTACTTGTGAACTTAGAAGACATGTAATCTCACTTTTCCAGCAATTTCTCTAGGAGGTGATAACAATGTGGACAGACAAATAATTAGCAGTAAAACATCTTTGCCAGGTGCGGTGGCTCACGCCTGTAATCCCAGGACTTTGGGAGACCAAGGCAGGAGGATCACTTGAATCTAGGATTTAAAAGCCAAATTGGGCAACACGGTGAAACCCCATCTTTACAAAAAGTACAAAAATTAGCCAGGTGTGGTGGCATGAGATGATAGTCCCAGCTACTCAGGAGACTGAGGGGGGAGGATCACTTGAGCCCAGGAGGTCAGGGCTGCATTGAGCTGTGATCGTGCCACTGCACCCAGAATGGGCAACAGAGTGAAACCCTCTCTCAAAAAAAAAAAAAAAAAAAAGGCCAGGTTCAGTGGCTCATGGCTGTAATGCTAGCACTTTGGGAGGCTGAGGGGGGCAGATCACCTGAGGTCAGGAGTTCAAGACCAGCCTGACCAATATGGAGAAACCCCATCTCTACTAAAAATAAAAAAATTTAGCTGGGCATGGTGACGCATGCCTATAATCCCAGATACTTGGGAGGCTGAGGCAGGAGAATCACTTGCACCTGGGAGGCAGAGGTTTCGGTGAGCTGAGGCCACGTCATTGCACTCCAGCCTGGGCAACAAGAGCAAAACTCCGTCTCAAAAAAAAAAGGAAGCAAGCAATCAAGTATCTCCAGGGTAAATGAGAGCAACATGAAGAATAAGCAGCTTATAAATACATATAAATTAAAACAAATTGATAAAAACAATATACCACATCACAATCCAGTCCCAACAAGGAAAACAGGCCAACATTAGAAGGCACCAATGACATAAAACAGATCTTGAACATTTTATTTTTCAGATCACAAAGGACTAGATCAGGCTGCACTCAGAGATTCTAAATCACTAGCCACGTTACTCAAACAGTGCTTCAAACAGTGCTTCAGTCGTTACTCATTCCTGACCGAGTTTTTTGTTTTTGTTTTTGAGGTAGAGTCTCTGTCACTCAGGCTGTAGTGCAGTGGCACGATCTCGACTCACTGCAACCTCCGCCTCCTGGGTTCAAGCGATTATCCTGTCTCAGCCTCTCGAGTAGCTGGGATTACAGGTGCTCATTGCCACGCCCAGCTAATTTTTGTATTTTTAGTAGAGTTGGGGTTTCACCATGTTGGCTAGGCTGGTCTCGAACCCCTGACCTCGAGTGATCTGCCCCTCTCGGCCTCCCTAAGTGCTGGGATTACAGGCGTGAGCCACTGCCCCTGGCCCTGACTGAGCTTTGAATCCAGCTGATGCATTTTTGGCCCTATTGGAGCAGATATCCTACTGTCATTTGTAGAAATTAGCAAGCTTATACACAAACGAGATTGGAAATATGACTCAAAACTTACCATTAAGTAACAGAATATTACACAGGTAGTAGCCATCCATGTCACACGTCTTGCTTTCAAACTTATTTTCAGTCAGCACCTGATAATTTTTTTTCTTTTTTTGAAGCGGAGTCTTGCTCTGTCACCTGGCTGGAGTGCAGTGGTGCAATCTTGGCCCACTGTAACTTCTGCCTCCTGGGCTCAAACGATTCCTCTGCCTCAGCCTCCCGAGTAGCTGGGACTATAGGCTTGTGACATCTAGCCTGGCTAATTTTTACTGTATTTTAGTAGAAACGGGATTTCACCACGTTGGCCAGGAGGGTCTCCATTCCTGACCTCGTGATCCGCCTGCCTCAGCCTCCCAAACTGCTAGGATTACAGGCTTGTACGACGGCACCCAGCCCATAATGTTTCTTTTAAAGGGTGGGAGGCTTGGTGAGTGCATGGCAAATGATCAAATTTAAACAACACTGGTCTGATGGGAGAGGAAATGAACATTCGGCTGTTGGTTTGTTTAGGAAGAGCCTAACCCGTCTCTGCAAGCTCTTGAGTCCCGCCAAGATGATATTTTAAAACGTTTGTATGAGTTGAAAGCTGCAGTTGATGGTCTCTCCAAGATGATTCAGACACCAGATGCAGACTTGGATGTAACCAACATAATCCAAGCTGATGAGCCCACAACTTTAACCACCAATGCGCTGGACTTGAATTCAATGCTTGGGAAGGTAAGTTCGTTTTGAAAGCTGAAACGTCAGTGTGTGCTGGGTGGTTAGTGTAGGGAAATAGTGCTACTGTGATTAATGCCTTGTCTTTCTAGTTTCCAAAGGCAGAGCAAAAAGCATGTTCATGTTTTTTCTTCTCTAATTGAGTGTTCCCTTGCACAGAACAGATTCCCAAGGCAGGAGTGAAGTCAGAACAAGCTCTAAAGCCTCTTGACTTCTCAGGTGGACTAGAGGACAGGGAGGATCTGTAGGCAGAGGAGTCATCAAAAGAGTTACAGCCTCTGCCAGTCCAGGCATGGGTCCAGCAGCCTCCGAGCCCTGGAGGAACAGATCTCAGCTTGTTTGCTCAGTGTCCCCCAGAGGTTGAGCAGGGCAACCCAGATTCTCTTTGATAGTAGGCAGACTTTCAGAACTGTGGCTGCTCAAGCACAAAAATCCTAGCAATCTTTTTGAAATGCATGGCTTAGGCCAGTCACAGTCTCATATTTCAAATGCATTTTGCTTGAATTCAGTTTGCTGTATTACAAGTAAGTTGCATCAGCCAGCTGTCATGATTGACGTTTACAGGCTCCAGCTAATTTATGGAAGAATCTGACATGCAAAGAAAGACCATCTCAATTGTTACAACAAAGTGGTATTTATTTGAGGGTGCAAAAGGGTTTGTCCCAAGCATCCCTACCAATAGCGTCCTCTAGAATTGGTGATAGAATAGCACTTAAAGACCTAAAAAATGCAAGCATTGTTGTGGGGTCTTTCCCAGGGCTGGGGTGTTTTGGTAACCTCAGTACCTTCTGTATTCATGTATTCCTTCCTCTGCTCCTTCATTCAGCCAATACTTGGCATGCACTGAGGACTCAGATGAGACGAACCAGGCCCTCAGGGAGCCCAAGCCTAGCAGATGAGTTGTCAAGTACAAGCGGCTGTGACAGTGGATTCTTGGGGTACTGGGAGGCTTCTCAGAGCGCATGGTGCTCCGGATAAATTCTGATACCTCAGATGACCCAGCATCAAGTAATACAATATGTTCAGGGACCTGCAAGGCATTCCGTGTAGCCTGACATGTGGGACATTGGTCAGGAATGGCAGGCAGTGGACAGAAAGCCAAGGAGTTTGGCCACGAGTGTTCACATCAGTGCATTCATTATTAAGAGTGAAAGCATAGAAGAAATAAAGTCTTTATCTAAAAAGGCTGTCATACATGGGTTTGGATTTATGACAAGCCCACCCCACTGGCCCTCTCATAGTGCCCCATGCCAGAGCAAACTGTGGCCTCGAACCATTGCCTGGCCTCTGTACCCATGGACCACTGGCACTGAAGTGGGTTGCAGAGAGGGAGAAAACAAGGCTTATCAGTCCCGGCACTTCAGTTAATCCCTAGCATTTTAGAATCTCCCCAACATTCACCACCAATGAGATCTTGAGCCAAGACCCCTTCTTTTTTTTTGAGACGGAGTCTCTTCTTTCACCCAGGCTGGAGTGCAGTGGTGCAATCTTGGCTCACTGCAACCTCTGCCTCCTAGTTCAAGCAATTCCCTGCCTCAGCCGCCCGAGTAGCTGGGATTATAGGTGCCTGCCACCACACCCGGCTAATTTTTGTATTTCAGTAGAGACAGGGTTTCAATCATGTTAGCCAGGATGGTCTCAATCTCCTGACCTTGTGATCTGCCTGCCTCAACCTCCCAAAGTGCTGGAATTACAGGTGTGAGTCACCTCACCCATCCAGCCAAGACCCCTTCTCTTAAGGGGTTCTTCATGGAAACATTTTAATGAACACAAATTGTCCGTGCTCAGGTGTTGGAAAGATTCAGTAGCTGGAATAATTGCAGGTAAAAGGGACAAACAGAACTATCATTCCTAGACCAGGTGCCATGGCTCCCATCTGTAATCCCAGCACTTTTGGAGGCCAAGATGGACGGATTACTTGAGGCCAGGAGTTCGAGGACAGCCTGGGCAACAAAGCAAAACCCCATCTCTACTAAAAATTAAAAAAAATAAAAATTAGCCAGGCATGGTGGCAGGCACCTGAACCCAGCCACTCAGGAAGATGAAGCAGGAGCACTGCTTGAACCTGGGAGGCAGAGGTGGCAGTGAGCAGAGATCATGCCACTGCACTCCAGCCTGGGCAACAGAGCGAGACTCCATCTCAAAAAGAAAAAAAAGTTTCATTCCTGTTAACATTGTTTTATTTGACAGTGAAGTCAACTTTTTATTTGTTGGGGGTAAGGGAGTGGAGTCAGTTCATATCCCAGCTTCACTCTATCCTGAGCGAGTGACCTGGGATAAGTTACTGGCCGTAACGTGGAGGTGATGCTAGTGCCTTCTTCATGGAAGTGGAGGAGTCAGAGAACCCTGGTTAGACTCCTAGACTTACACCCGGCGCAGTGGCGCACACTCCGATTACTGTTACTAGCTATACTGTCTCGGTCTTTCCCCAGGATTATGGGGCACTGAAAGACATCGTGATCAACGCAAACCCGGCCTCCCCTCCCCTCTCCTTGCTGGTGCTGCACAGGTTGCTCTGTGAGCACTTCAGGGTCCTGGCCACAGTGCACACGCACTCATCAGTCAAGAGTGTGCCCGAAAACCTGCTCAGGTGCTTTGGAGAACAGAATCCAAAACAGCCCCGCCAGGACTATCAGCTGGGATTCACTTTAATTTGGAAGAATGGTAAGTGGATGGGACTGAGTTAAACTTAAACACAGCCGACCCTTGAACACCACGAGTTTGACCTCCATGGGTCCACTAAAATCTGGATTTTTTTTTTTTTTTTTTTTTTTTAATGAGACAAAGTGTCACTCTGGCCCACGCTGGAGTACAGTGGTGTGATCTCAGCTCTCACTACAACCTCTGCCTCCCAGGTTCAAGTGATTCTTCTACCTCAGCTTCCCAAGTAGCTGAGATTATAGGCATGCACCACCATGCCCAGCTAACTTTTGTATTTTTTTGGTCAGGCTGGTCTCGAACTCCATCTGACCTCATGAGCCACCACCCCTGGCCTTGTGGATATTTTTCAGTAAATACATTGGAAAATTTTTTGGAGATCTGCAACAATTTGGAAAAACTGGCAGATAAACCAGGTAGCCCAGAAATATCAAAACAAGTAAGAAGAAGCGATGATGCATAAAATATTTACATACTAGTCTATTTTATCATTTGCTACCACAAAATGTACACAAATCTATGACAAAAGTTAAAATGCATCAAAACTTACACACTTACTATACATGGCACAACTTGCAGTTGAGAGAAATGTAAACAAACGTGAAGATGAGCATGGAATCCCAACTGCATAAAATTCACTGTAGAACATACTGTACTGCTGTAATAATTTCACAGCCGCCTCAAGTGTGGGGTGTATCTGCTTCAAACACCATGCGACACTAATCATCTCTGTGTGAGCAGTTCATTCATCTCTCCAGGAAATTGTATGTTGCAGTAAAAAGTGATCTCTTTAGGTTCTTGGGTATTTTTCATCATGTTTTGGGTATTTTTCATCATGCATTGCCATTAACCTTGACTAACACTGTGGGGCATTTACAAAGTGTCTCTCGTGTTATGAAGAGTGCTCCCAAGAAGCAGAGAAAAGTCATGATATTACATGAAAAAGTTGAATTGCTTGGTATGTACCGGAGATCTGCAAGTGCCACTTCAAGATAAATGAATTCAGTATAAGAACTATTGTTTAAAACAAGGCAAATTCAGCCAGCTGTGGTGGCTCACACCTGTAATCCCAGCACTTTGGGAGGCCGAGGCAGATGGATCACGAGGTCAAGAGTTTGAGACCATCCTGGCCAAGATGGTGAAACCCCATCTCTACTAAAATAGAAAAATTAGCTGGGCATGGTGCCACATGCCCCTAGACCCAGCTGCTTAGGAGGCTGAGGCAGGAGAATCGCTTGAACCCGGGAGGCAGAGGTTGCCGTGAGCTGAGATGATGACACCGCACTCTAGCATGGCGACAGAGCAAGACTGTCTCAAAAAAAAAAAAAACTGGGGGAGGGAATTCACGAAGGCATCACTGCAGCTACACCAACAGGTACACAAACCTTGCACTTTCTGCAAAATACCTATTCACCTCGTATTGAAAATGCAGCTTTTGGCTGGGCGCAGTGGCTCACCCCTGTATTCCCAGCACTGGGAGGCTGAGGCAGGTGGATCACCTGAGGTCAGGAGTTCAAAACCAGCCTGACCAATATATTGAAACCCTGTCTCAACACAAAAATTAGCCAGGCGTGGTGACCTTCTCCTCTAGTACCAGCTACTTGGGAGGCTAAGACAGGAGAATTGCTTGAACCCAGGAGGCAGAGGTTGCAGTGAACCAAGATTGTGCCAATGCACCCCAGCCTGGGCTACAGAATGAGACTCCATCTCAAAAAAAAAAAAAAAAAGACAAGAAAATGCAACTTTTCTGTGGGGTGCAGGATTACTGTTAGGAAGGCATACCTATAGACTCTTATATGATTTGGGAAAAAGCAAAGTCATTACATGACAACTTGAAGCCAAAGGAAGGTGAAAGATCTAAAGCTGGAGAGTTTAATGCCTGCAAAAGATGGTTTGATAATTTTAGGTAGAGGTTTGGCTTTTAAAAATGTCAAGATAACAGGAGAAGCAGCTTCCACCAACCAAGAGGTAGCCCACAAGTTCCCAGATGCCATTAAGGAAATCATGGGGGAAAAGGATCTGTGTTGACAGGTTTTTAATACAGACAAAACTGCCCTCATCTGGGGTGGGGGGAAAAAACACAAAGGGCATTTATTAGTAAAGAAGAGTGAGCCCCAGGATTGAAGGCAGAGAAGGCTAGGCTAATCCTCCTGTTTTGTGCAGGGAGCACTCTTACCTATAAAGCTGCTAACACCCAAGACTTAACGGGAAAAGATAAACACAGCTGCTAGTCTTTTGATTGTACAATGTCTGGACAAGAACCCTTTTTGTGGATTAATTCCACTGATGCCAGTAAGGGACACCTTTTAACATTCTTCAGTGCTCAGCTACTCAGAACCCTGAGTTAACACCAACGGTGTCAAAGTGGTCTACTTGTTCATAGCACAACGTCACTATTTTAGCCTCTAGATCAAAAAGTCTTAAGAACCTTTGACGCTCATTACACACAGTACTCTATGGAATAACTGTCAGTGCTATGAAAGAGAACCCTGGCTGGGCGTGTTAGCACACGCCTGTAACTCCAGCTACTCGGGAGTCTGAAGCAGAATTGCTTGAACCCAGGAGGCAGAGGTTGCAGTGAGCCTCGATCACGCAACTGAACTCCAGCCTGGGTGACAGAGTGAGACTACGTCTCAAAAAAAAGAGAACCCTGATAGAACATGATGAACAGTCTGAAAGGATTACATCATTTAAGAGGCCATCATTGTATAAAAAGCTGTAAAGCCATCACAGTGAAACGGTAAATTCGTGCCAGAGAAGCCTATGTCCAGATGTGTATGACTTCATAGGATTTACAACAATAGGCCAGGTGTGGTGGCTCACGCCTGTAATCCCAGCACTTTGGGAGGCCGAGGTGGGTGGATACCTGAGGTCAGGAGTCCGAAACCACCCTGAACAACAAGGTGAAACCCCATCTGTATTATTTAAAAATTAAAAAAATCAATCAAGGAAACCATGAAACATCATAGATAGGGCAAAAGTGGGTGGTAAAGAGTTTCAGGATCCAGATCTTGGAGAAATTCAAGGGCTAACAGACATTGCACAGAGGAACTGACAGAAGACAACTTAATGGAGAGCAGTGCTTCCAAACCAGTGCCAGACAGTGAAGCAGAAGCGCTAGAAAACAGATTTCCATTAGACTGAGAGAGGAGTTCTGATCACTCAGGGTTGCTTTTGACTTCTTTTATGACCTGAAGTCTTCTATGATACAAACACTGAAACTAAAGGAAACAGTGGAAGGATTCATACTGCATAGAACTATTTTTAGAGATATTAAAAGGTAAAAGGTTTCTCCTCCTTTCCTGCCTCCCCTTCCACCTCTTCCACCTCTGCCACCCAAGACAGCAAGACCAACCCCTCTTCCTCAGCAGCATGAGGACCATGGGATGAAGACCTTTGTGATGATCCACTTCAACATAATGAATAGTAAATTCATTATCTTTTCCCTTTTAAGAGTCAGGATATTGCTCTGTCACCCAGGCTGGAGTGCAGTGGTATGATCATAGCTCACCACAGCCTCAACCTTCTGGGCTCAGGTGATCCTCCCACCTCAGCCCCCCAAGCAGCATTGACTACAGGTGTGATCCACCATGCCCAGCATCCTTACTGTTTTCTTAACATTTTCTCAAGTTCATCTTAAGACTATAGCTTATTATATATAGACTATACAAAACGTGTGTTAATCAACTGTCATGGGTAAGGCTTCCCATCAGTAGTAAGCTATTAGTAGTTAAGTTTTGAAGGAGTCAAAAGTTTTAGGTGGATTTTCACCTGCATGGTAGTGGGGCGCAGTGGCCTAACCCCCACATTGTTCAAGGGTCAACTGTACCATATGATGTGCAACATGGTTTTGATAAGAGGCAGCAAGGGGTTAGGACATTCTGTAGCATACAGGCCATACAGCAATTTGCATCAGGTCAAATCTTCTAAGTCTAGAAAGCCTGTGGGGTTGTTGGAGAGGAAGTGCAGAGATGAAGCAACACAAAGATGCCTTTGTTCCTCTGCAAAATGTAGGGTTTCTGAGTGAGACACAGCTCAAGGGGGAATTGTGAGCCATCCGAGGAAGGGGGTTGTCCAAGCAGGCAAAGCAGGGAAGTCATAACTGTCCATCATCTTGCCCTCACATTCTAGAACTTACCATCATAGGGACACCAAAGTTATCTTCTCATATGGCCATGTAAAGATGGATGTCATATATTCACTATCCCATGGATGTATGCCTCTTCTGGTGGTTTTTATGGAGGGAAGTGAGTTCATGTCATTCATCCAGTGGTACCTTAACTGCCCTCAGCCTCACATAAGGGGAGCAATTATGAGGACTGAGAGCCTGGGAGATGCAACTCTTGAGTTTCCAGTACTCAGCCCCCAGATCCTTAGGCAACAGGGATTGGAGCAGGTGGTCTGCGGTGCCTTCTAGCTTCAGAATTGTCATCAAATACCAGGAATGGCTCTTTGGTTACTTTTTAACAACATAGTTTGCATTTAAACCCTTTTCAGTATTAAGCATCTTGGAGACAGACAAAACGTGATGTCCCTGAAAACACCCTTTCCCGTGTCAACAGTTGTGGTTTTCGTGACTGTCCCCTTCCACACTGAGGAAATACCTACTTCCCTCAGGCCTACTCCTGTGATGCTACCTGGTGTGTGTGTTTTCTTTTCAGTGCCGAAGACTCAGATGAAATTCAGCGTCCAGACGATGTGCCCCATCGAAGGAGAAGGGAACATTGCGCGTTTCTTGTTCTCTCTGTTTGGCCAGAAGCATAATGCTGTCAACGCAACTCTCATAGATAGCTGGGTAGATATTGCCATTTTTCAGTTAAAAGAGGGAAGCAGTAAAGAAAAAGCTGCTGTTTTCCGCTCCATGAACTCTGCTCTTGGGAAGAGCCCTTGGCTCGCTGGGAATGAACTCACCGTAGCAGATGTGGTGCTGTGGTCTGTACTCCAGCAGACCGGAGGCTGCAGTGTGACAGTGCCAGCCAACGTGCAGAGGTGGATGAGGTCTTGTGAAAACTTGGCTCCTTTTAACACAGCCCTCAAGCTCCTTAAGTGAATTTCCGTAACTGATTTTAAAGGGTTTAGATCTTAAGAATGGTGCTGTTTCATGCCTATTACCAGTTAAGGGACTTGTATTAAGATTCAAGGTCTTTTTATTTAGGTCAGTTTTAAGTGTCAATAAAAGCATCATGTAATTTGTGGTTCTCATTTTATTTAAAATTCAGCAAAATCATGTACCATCTACCATGATGACTGCCAACTCCATGACAGACCCTTTCAAAAACCAGTTCAGCTTGCTGCCCCTGAGAGATGTAATTGGCTGGGGAGTTGAGTGCTGTAATGAAGGAGGAAATACTGGGGACAGGGCAGGGCAAAGGTGGGAAAGACATCTGAGCTGCCTTGAGATCATCTGGCGTGAGAAGTACAAAGTTTTGCAAGGGTGTGGTTTTGGGATGACAGTAAGTTAAAGGTGGAGAGAACAGATAAAAAGGTTGAAAGTTGCACACTGTATACTGTTAAGAAGTTGAGTTTTATCTTAGAGGCAGCAGCAGATTTGGAGCCAAGGAATGAAATGGTCAGGCGTCCTTCTGGTAATTAACATACGCGGCAGTGTGAAGGGGGTAGGAAGACTGGCAGCTGTCAAAACTGGAGCAGTCCAGTGAGTATGTGCAGGCCTGGGCTTGGGCAGTGACAGAGGCGGGGAGCACAGGTCAATTTCCGCAGTAGAACCTTCTAAAGGAAGACCGGGGTGGGGGGCGGTCAACAGAGTTGAAAAGAGAGTAATTGAGGATGAGGTCAAAGTTTTTGGTTTGAGAGACTAGGCATATGGTAATATTTAGGTAGGAAATTGAGGAAAAGGCGCTTGTGGGGCAGAAAGGGAAGGAGCCGGAGCTTGGGGCACTCTTGCATCTTTAATAAATCTTGTAAAGGCTTACTAAATACAACTAAGAATTATATCAACTATACCCTAACAAAGATGAAAAATTTACATTCCAGTTAACTACCTTAAAGGTTTAAGTCCACGTTCATCCTACAGATGCAGCCTGAGGAAGGTTAGACAGGTATGCCCCCATCCTTTCCACCATCCCTCACCCCTTTGTCTTGAGAAAGGAGGTTTAGCTGCTTCTTTAGTTCTGCAATTTCTTTTTCTTGCTCTATTATCTTCATCTGAAGGGTGAGGTTAACCTGTAAGGAGAAAATTTTAAACTCTATTAAAATAACTTACTACTTTTTTTTTTTTTTTGAGCACTCTTGCTGTTGCCCAGGCTGGAGCGCAGTGGCACGATCTGGACTCATTGCAACCTCTGCCTCCCAGCTTCAGGCTACTCTCATGCCTCAGCCACCCGAGTAGCTGGGACTATAGATGCTCTTCACCAAGCCCAGCTAATTTTTTATTTTTAGTAGAGATGCGGTTTTGCCATGTTGGCCAGGCTGGTCTCGAATTCATAACCTCAAGTGATGCACCCACCTCGACCTCCCTAAGTGCTAGGATTACAGGTATGAGCCACCACACCCCGCCAAGGTTTCATTTTATAGAAAAAACTTTTGCAAGATAGTAGAAATCCTTACCACAAATACATCTCCAATAGCTATCTTAACTGGGCATTAGAAAATCCCCTTCATATGTGAAGATAAATGTTTGTTTGTTTGTTTGTTTTTGTTTTTTTAGAGATGGGGTTTCACTGTGTTGGCCAGGCTGGTCTTGAACTGACTTTGTGATCCGCCTGCCTTGGCCTCCCAAAGTGCTGGGATTACAAGCATTTGCCACCGTGCCCAGCTATGAAGATAAATGTTTACACTTGATTTTTAAGAACCACATCTGTAGCCAGGCCTGGTGGCTCACTCCTGTATTTCCAGCACTTTGGGAGGCTGAGGTGAGCAGATACTGAGGTCAGGAGCTCAAGAATAGCCTGGCCAACATGGCAAAACCCTGTCTCTACTAAAGGTACCAAAAGTAGCCAGGCACGGTGGCTCATACCTATAATCCCAGCACTTTGGGAGGACGAGGCGGGCAGATCACAAGGTCAAGAGATCGAGACCATCCTGGCCAACATGATGAAACCCCGTCTCTACTAAAAAAAATAACAAAAATTAGCTGGGCGTGGTGGTGCATGCCTGTAGTCCCAGCTACTCAGGAGGCTGAGGCAGGAGAATTGCTTGAACCCAGGAGGTGGAGGTTGCAGTAAGCCGATTGCACCACTGCACTCCAGCCTGGTGCCTGGAGACAGCAAGACTCTGTCTCAAAAAAAAAAAAAAAGTAGCCAGGTGTTGTGGCAAGCACCTGGAATCCCAGCTACTAGAGATGCTGAGGCAGGAGAATCACCTGAACACAGGAGGTGGAGGTTGCAGTGAGCCAAGATTATGCCACTGTACTCCAGCCCAGGTGACACAGCAAGACTCCATTTCCAAAAAAAAAAAAAAAAGAAAAACCACATCTGTTATTTTCAAACACTTTCAAAAAGAGCAAAGTACCACACCTACCTGTTTTTACCATTTAACGAAATTCAGTCTTGCTTGACAATAAGCAAGCCTTAAATAGAAGATAAATCAACTATCTGATTATTTTAAACAGTCACTACAAGTGGTTCCCCAACTAGTATACATCAGAATCACTTTAAAGTTTCATTACAGGATGCAGCCCCATCTCCTCCCTAAATTTCTCTTTTTTAATAGGTCAGGGGACTGACGGGTCTGGGAATTCTATGATGTTCCCAGGTGATTTTATGCTGCTGTTTTGAACACTTGGAGAACCACTGCGTTCATGCAATGCTGCTCAAACACCGAATGTCAGTCACTTGGGAAATCTTGTGGAAATAACAGATTCTGCTCACTGTGTCGGGGGCAGAGCTCCCAGGTCATGCCAATGTAGCACGTCTGAGGACGGTACTTTGAGTAGCAAAGCACTAAAGAATCGGAGTGTATCTTGAATTAGGCTTCTATTAAATCTTAGAAAGTTTCTAGAGGAACAGAATGAATGAATCACCTGTGGTTTCCAGTATGTGTTGAGAGACTACATGGCACTCTAAGGACACGTCAGGAAGGAGAAAGGGAACAGGGCAGCTCTGGGGCAATACCACATTGCAGGACTGAAAGCCAGAACCATGCTGTTGAAAGCTGAAAGGCCTTACATTGGCTAAGGCAGTCTTTGCTATCATGGTTACATCTCCAACTCACCATTAGAATTATGCTGCCTTTTACCCTTCGGTATGCAGCTTTTTACTATTAAGTACTTTCCTTTTTTTTTTTTTTTTTGAGATGGAGTCTTTCGCTGTGTCACCTAGGCTGTAGTGCAATGGCACGATCTCAGCTCACTGCAACCTCTACCTCCCAGGTTAGAACGATTCTCCTGCCTCAGCCTCCCGAGTAGCTGGCACGTGCCACTGCGCCTGGCTAATTTTTTGTATTTTTAGTAGAGACGGGGTTTCACCATGTTGACCAGGATCATCTCAATCTCCTGACCTCGTGTCCAGCCACCTTGGCCTCCCGAAGTGTTGGGATTACAGATGTGAGCCACTGCACCCAGACACTTGCAAGTACATTCACAATAAGAGGTTATACATCATAGTTAGAAGAAACAGCAAAACAAAACCCTTTCACTGACTTAGCAAGATGAGGCTAGAAACTGAAGCTGATAACTTTTAGAGTAGATAGGTAGTAGGGAGTCAACCTGCTTACGTGGACAATGAGTATGAGCATGCTACTGATACTCAACCTAGTGCTTGATACAGTCAGGGAACTCTGAGACTGGGTTTAAATATTTTGTTTACACCATTAGGAGTCTAAGCTCATCTATTCACTGAAACAGGAATTACTATTTATTTAGAGTCGGAGTCTCATTGTCACCAGTGGAGTGCAGTGGTGTGATCTCAGCTCACTGCAACCTCCACCTCCTGGGTTCAAGCAATTCTCCTGCCTCAGCCGCCCCAGGAGCTGGGATTACAGGTATGCACCACTACACCCGGCTAATTTTTGTACTTTTAGTAGACATGGGGTTTCACCATATTAGCCAGACTGGCCTCGAACTCCTTACCTCAAGTGATCCTCCCACGTCAGCCTCCCAAAGTGCTGGAATTACAGGCCCAAGCCACCCCGCCTGGCCAGGATTCACAATTTAAACAAATTCTATTTTAAGCTTCATATTTTCCTCAGCATTAAAAACAAACAACAACAAAAAATCATGGATAGAGACCATGTCCAGGGCAGCAGCTGCAGCCAGACCCCCAAGCCAGGCCAGCCCCACCTCTCCCAGGTGGTCCGCAGTGGCTGTGTACTCTGCAGGGACTATAGCAGCCCCCCTGGGGCATGCTCTTGAGCACTACCCAGGGAGGTGCCAGGATCATCTACAATCTGAAATTCCTGAAAAAGAGTGCTAAACTCACCAGTGACCAAAACACCCTTGAGGGACCAGCCCACCACTTCCGGGGTCACCAGCCCTGCCAGTGATGAGCCCACGACAGACACCCAAATAGCCCAGGACAGCAGGCAGGTGGTTAAGAGTCAGTTTGACATGGACATTTAAAGGCCCAGCCATCAGAAGGAGCATTCCCTATGGGCCCCTCAGGCCTTTCTGGGAAGCAGTCACACCCACCCAACCTCAGGAAGCTTTCCTACCCTGCTGTTGGCCCCCAGCCCTCTGCTCCTCTTTGTGAACACAAGAAGGTCCCTCCTGTGCCTGCTGAGGCCAGAGCTGCTACCCCAAGGGGAGTGAGTCCTATAAGCATCATCTGCAGCTGAGTGCCAGGAAGTGGACGAGAACAAACAGGCCCCCGACACACAACTCCAGAACCATCATCTGGCTCTTCCAGCCCCATCCTCCGGGAGCACCACCCACCCCTTCCTTCCCCAAGAGAGGAAATAAAAACCACCTTCACTCCAGGACCAAGAAAAAAACAGCACATACATTTCCAGAATTTTGGAAAAGTTCGCTCTGCAGCAGCTGAATAGCAGATGGTCTCTGTGATGAGTTCCTTCTTGTTAAGTGCTGGATATACTTGGCTTGCACTGGACACCTTTTACTGAGGGATTCCGGCAACTGACCAGTTCTTAAACCTGTTAGAACTTCTGCTCGCTCCATTTCTGTTCCAAATGGCTGAAAGAGCTCTAGCAGGATTACACCCAAGCTGTACATATCTGACTAGAAAAAGAAAAAAAGGGGCAGCTCAGTAGTGAAATCAAGTTAAAAGAACATTTCCATTTCTGTGTTCCACCCTCCCAGACAGGAGAGGGTTTCTCAGAATGAGGATATATAGTCACCCACAAGAAGGAGCAGAGCAGAGCAGGATGGCTCATTAGTGACAGGGACTTTCACAACCCCAAAAAGGGGCATCCGTGGGTACGCAGAATGGTCAGGTGGAGGCCAGGAATAATCCCCCCACCCACAGCAGTCACAACCATACAACTCTCTTCAGCACCCCTTAACAATCCAGGCCTGACCCAAGCAGAGTGACCTGAGCTCACTCCTGTTAGTGCCAGCTGTGGAGGAGCCAAAGAGGGTCGCAGGTTCTCCTCTGGTCTCACCTCTGCCTCCAGTCGTACTTACCAAGTGTTCTTGGTGACACTTAACTGTATAAAATCTGCGCTACTACTCCTAAAAACAGATTTTTTTATGAAGGTCTTCACTAGACAAGATTTTAGGGGCAGTCATCATTTTTTCTGACAGCTCTTTCTCAATCACTAAAAAGCTCAATGAGCCATCAAAAGGAAGAAAATCCATTTGAAAAATGGATTTTAGTCTAGGCGCGGTGGCTCACATCTGTAATCCCAGCACTTTGGGAGCCTGAGGTGAGTGGATCACTTGAGGTCAGGAGTTCAAGTCCAGCCTGGCCAACATGGTGAAACCCTGTCTCTACTAAAAATACAAAAATTAGCTGGATGTGGTGGTGCATGCCTGTAATCCCAGCTGCTCGGGAGGCTGAGGCAGGAGAACTGCATGAACCCAGGAGGTGGAGGCTGCAGTGAGCTGAGATCGCGCCACCACGCTCCAGCCTGGGTGACAAAGCAAAACTCCATTTCAAATAAGAAAGAAAAGAAAAATGGATTTTAGCATTTCTTCAAGGAACAATGGTGATTCAAACTTTACAGCATCTTCATTCTATTTCAAGGGGAGTCAAGGGGCAGGCTTCCCTGTGGCATTTATTTGCCAGAGCTTGAAAAAAAAAATAATTAGAAGAAAAGGCTGAAAATAGGCTTCCATGAATTCTAGCTTCCTGAGGTGAACAGTGGTGTTTTAAAGGGAAAGCTCATTTCAAAAACAATTTAGGCCAAGCGCAGTGGTTCATGCCTGTAATCCCAGCACTTTGGGAGGTCAAGGGAGGAGAATCACTTGAGCCGAGACGTTTGAGACCAACCTGGACAAAGCAAGACCCCATCTCTACAAATAAACAATTTTTTTTTAATTAGCTGGGTGTGGTGGCACAACTCTTGTAGTTCCAGCTACATGGGAGGCTAAAGCGGGAGGATCATTTGAGCCCAGGAGTTGGAGGCTACCATGAGCTATGATGACACCACTGCAATCCGGCCTGGGCAACAGAGCAAGACCTTGTCTCAAAAACAACAAATGAACAAACAAATTAATTTGTGACACCCGTGGATTTTGCAATGGTAAAGTAGGCAACACAGATTCCACAGAAAAGTGAGGCGGCTTCTTAGGGCAGTTTGATCCAGTTAATAATCTACAGTACTCAGTTATCTCTAAAAACATCTCTATGATAGAACTTCTATATTTCATTGTACTGGGTTTTTTGAGATGGAGTTTTGCTCTTATCATACAGGCTCTTATCATACAGGCTCAAGTGAAATGGTACAATTTCGGCTCATTGCAACCTCCACCTCCTAGATTCAAACGATTCTCGTGCCCCAGTCTCCAGAGTAGCTGGGACTACAGCTAATTTTTGTATTAGGTGTGTGCCACCATGCCCAGCTAATTTTTGTATTTTTAGTAGAGATAGGCTTTACCATGTTGGCCAGGCTGGTCTTGAACACCTGACCTCAGGTGATCCACCCACCTCGGCCTCCCAAAGTACTGGAATTACAGGCATGAGCCACCGCCCCTAGCCTTGTACTGTTTGTTATTTACCACTGAAGAGTAAGTTGAATGAAAGGGCAGAAAGCAACAAATACTACCTTGGCATCATACTCAGATCCTTCCAACTGTTCGGGTGAAGCGTACAGACAAGTACCCACTCTGGACGTATGTGTTGGTGTTCCTATCATTTCAAAAGCCACATATTAAACATTGCAGTGTTAGCACTGTCAACATTAAAGAACATTTACTATGAGCAAGCAGTGCAGCTCCTCGGGGAACAAGGTTGCTTTTTATCTTTATCTTACCTTCGCTATTAAATCTTTATGATTCTCTTTAAATACTAACATGTGCAACCAGGTATTTTGCTTAAGCAAACAAAACAAAACAAAACAAAATCTTACTCTTCCCGTTCCTACTGGTCCAGTCTGTGTTCTTCTGTAGGATGTCTGTGCAGGCCAGACCAAAGTCTCCTATTTTTACTTGCTGATCAGGGCCATGAAGAAAAATATTTCTTGGCTATCAACAAAAAAAAACAAGTCAACTCTTTGGCTTTCTTAAAACAAATAGTAAAAACCTGCAAATGTTAAGTGTTTTGAACTCAGGAGCAAGCAGCCCCCTCAAAAATATTTGAGGAATAGTTCCCAAATTCACCTGCATGTTAGAATCATCCAGTTTTAAAAATCTCAACATCCAGCCGGGTGCAGTGGCTCACACCTGTAATCCCAGCACTTTGGGAGGCTGGGGCAGGCAGATCACCTGAGGTCAGAAGTTTGAGACAAGCATGACCAACATGGTGAAACCCCAACTCTATTAAAAATACACAATTAGGCGGGTATAGTGGCACAGGCCTGTAACCCCAGCTACTAGGGAGGCTAAGGCAGGAGAATCACTTGAATCCGGGAGGCAGAGGTTGCAGTGGGCCGAAATTGCACCACTGCACTCCAGCCTAGTGACAAAGCAAGACTCCATCTTAAAAAGAAAAAAAACCTTAGGCAACTTCAGGGAAGATTTTAACCCCATAGTACCGACCAGTGAGGAACTAGAGGAGGGACTTGCATGCTAGAAGATAAATTACCTATTGTAACTGCCCTTTTTGTACCTGCCTACCAGACACCTGATCTTGCTAGACTGCTATTAAAGTCTCACTTTCACTGTTCTTTGTGCCTCTAAGTCCATTCTTTGAGTTTGGATGGATGAGCATGTTTCTCACACTATGAAAAAACTTTTTGATATTTTTTAGAAGCTCCCAGATAACTCATATATATTAGCCAGGGTTGGGAACTAATAGATCACACTAAATGGCTTTATTTAAGCAATGTGTGCAGACCCAAAACATCTCCCAAACTATTCCTATGCCAGTGAAAAACTGAACCGGTAATGGGGAAAGAGAAGATTCTATTATAGTAAAAAACCAAAAAATAACTTAGGTTAAAAGTTTTCTTACTTTAAACATTATAATTTTAGCTTTTTATTTTAATGTAGAAATTCCTGTTTTAGCTTTGATCACTATTTGAACTATGCTTGAATTGGAGAGAAATCAGAAATAAAGGTGTAAGATGATAGCTTGGATATGTTTTTATGATTGAGTAGAAAACCCTAAAAACTGCTAACATTTGACATTATATATGATCAAGGAACAAAGTCTGGACATTTGGTTACAAACTTTGATGGACTATGTTCACAGATACAATTCTCAATAAATTCTAGAACAGTTCTAGAACTGAACTGAAAGAAGCATCATAAAGAGACTGAAACTGACCAATTCCATAACAACATTTTCCCCTAAGTCTTAAGTTTTTCCCATGGGGAATATAACCAGGAAAAGAAGCAGAGACCTGGTGGTTGACAGTCCCAAGTCCCTGGAAGATGGCCCATCTGTAGCCCTTCACTTGAAACTCTATGAAGCCATCATGGGCGAAGACTGCACTACCATTGAGGCACTGTTGAGAAATCACCCCGTCAACCAGCCCATCACCATTCTGCCCGACTCCACCAGCAACAGATTATTTCTGAGCCAGGTATCCCTCTTTTCTGCTCAGTCACTTCTGGGAAAAAGTCAGGCTGCTTAGAAAGGAGCATGATCTAATGCTGGTGAATCCACTAAGCTCACAGCCCTTACGAGGCATGACTCCAGCTCACTCCACACACACAGCAATGCTCTCCAAAGCCTGCTAAGCCTCCCCTATACGTGTCATACACAAACAACAGGAGAACACACCAGATCTTGTGTGGCTGGAAGACCATTCATGTCATCTCTCAAACATACCCACAGTGATAACCTCCATGTGGTCAAATTAGTTTTTCCCTTTTGTAGCCAAGGCATGGTGGCTCGCGTCTGTAATCCCAGCATTTTGGGAGGCTGAGGTGGCGGATCACCTGAGGTCAGGAGTTCAAAACCAGCCTGGCCAACATGGCGAAATCTCATCTCTACTAAAAATACACAAGTTAGCTGGGCATGGTGACAGGAGCCTATAATCCCAGCTATTTAGGAGGCTGAGGCAGGAGAATCGCTTGAACCCAGGAGGCGGAGGTTGCAGTAAGCCAAGATCGCACCACTGTACTCCAGCTGAAGGACAGAGCAAGACTCTGTCTCAAACAAACAAAAATTAGTTTTTCCCTTTTTAATATATACATTTTCATTTTCTAAATTTTTATACAATAATTATTACCTTTACAATTAAAATTTTTTTTTCAAAAAGGAAATCACCCTCTCTTGTACCTTACTGTCTTATCTTGCAGCAATGGTGTAAAACCACTACTTGTGTGTATTTTAAGCGCTGGCACAAACAGCTCTGCTAATCATAGACAGAACATATGCTGCCTTATATCTGAAAACCCTGAAGATTCAGGTTTTACAGCTGACAACGCAATGCCGCACCTACTTGTCCATCACCCTGTGGGTTACTTTAAGGACTAAATGACATAGCAAGTGCCATTAATATCAGACCATAGGCTCCTCAGAAGAATCAACTTTTAAAAATTTCCAAAGCTTCTGAGTATTATTTCTGGTGCCTCAGTAAATGCACATTTCTGTAAAATACAGATTTTTATAACATGGAATTAACTGAGTTTTGACCATTTAAAACAGGCAGTAGAAAAGGAAATTTTCAATGCACATACCAGAAAAATAGTGAGCCAGTAAGACACTAAATAAATGTATTGCCTTTGAAATGGCAAGCTAACACAAACATGGCAAGCTGACACAAGTGTTATTTTTAACTACAAGGGCCACTTGTAACATGTTTTGTTTTCTCTCCGAAGCATGCAGAGTCTATCATCCCCATCCATCTGGCTGCCGAGCACCACAAGGCCCAGAGTTTGCGCTGCCTCTTATGGCATGGCGCTGACACGGAAGTCAGGTAAGTCAGTCCACCGGCACCCGCAATCATTTCTTTCTTTCTTTCCTTTCTTCTTTTCCTTCCTTTCTTTCTTTCCTTCTTTCCTTTCCTTCCTTCTTTCTCTTTCTCTTTTTTTTTTTTTTTTTTGAGGCAGGGTCTCACTCTGTCACTGGAATGCAGTGGCACAATCTCAGCTCACTGTAACCTCCACTTCCCAGGTTCAAGAGACTCTCCCACCTCAGCCTCTGAAGTAGCTAGGATTGCAGGTGTGCACCACCACACCTGGCTAATTTTTGTATTTCTACTAGAGACAGGGTTTCGCCATGTTGGCCAGGCTGGTCTCGAACTCCTGGCCTCAAGTGATCCACTGTCTCAGCCTCCCAAGTGCTGGGATTACAGGCTTGAGCCACCGCACCCGGCCTCACCAGCAATCATTTCTAAGTGAGGATATACGTGATATAGACTTTTTTCAGTTCATACACTTTCTCCATTTATGGACTTGTTTTCAAGGTGACAGACTACCCATTATCATGTTATGAATGAATCAATGTCTTTACTGAGTAGATAAGATACTCTGAAAAACTGGGAATAGGCTGGGCGCATTACCACACCTGTAATCCCAGCACTTTGGGAGGCTGAGGCGGGCAGATCACAAGGTCAGGAGTTTGAGACCAACCTGACCAACATGGTGAAACCCCAGCTCTACTAAAAATACAAAAAATTAGCCAGGCGTGGTGGTGTGTGCCTATAATCCCAGCTACTCAGGAAGCTGAGGGAAGAGAATCGCTTGAAACTGGGAGTCAGAGGTTGCAGTGAGCCGAGACTATGCCATTGCACTCCTGCCTGGGCAACAGAGTGAGACTCCGTCTCAAAAAAAAAAAAAAAAAAAAAAAAGTACTGGGAATAATGCAACATCACAAACAGTTTGCCAAATTAATGCATATTCTGAGGATTAAGTGCTCAATGGTGGCAATGTGGGGAATGCATTAAGTCCTTGTCATGGCCCTGAGTAAGTTTAACCACCAAAGTTAGGTGTGAAAAATAAAATACAAATAGACAATGGATTTTCTTGTTTATTACACTCTACTAGAAGGTAAACAGCATGAAAGGGAAGTTCATCTTGTGCACCACTGTATCTCCACCACCTCAACCACATGAATGCCTGACACTTAGTAAGTGCCCAGTAATACTATCTGAATGAATTAAAGAATTAAGTAGTATAAAAATAATAGAACTTCGGCCAGGAGTGGTGGCTCACACCTGTAATCCCAGCACTTTGGGAGGCCGAGGTGGCCAGATCACAAGACCATCCTGGTCAACATGGTGAAACCCTGTCTCTACTAAAAACATAAAAATTAGCTGGGTGTGGTGGCATGCGCCTGTAATCCCAGCTACTCGGGAAGCTGAGGCAGGAGAATTGCTTGAACCCAGGAGGTGGAGGTTGTGGTGAGCCGAGATCGCACCATTGCACTCCAGCCTAGGCAACGAGAGCAAAACTCCGTCTCAAAAAATAATAATAATAATAGGACTTCTTGCCCCAAATCCTTACCTTACTCCAGAAGAACCCACCTGACCTGTCTTGCTCTCAGCTTGTCCCTGAGCACCCCACCTAGCTCTGCAAGTCCTCTTGAAGTCCCTTCCACATCTGGACCATCACAGACTCACCCCGTTCTCTTCAGGGGACCTTTTCCTACCCTGCATATCACATGTGCCGTGTGAAGCTCCCACACCTCTCTAGAACTCAGCCTGCTTCCAGTATTTACTGAGCTGTTTTATTGTTTCTTGTCTATCTTCCCTACTAGAGTAGACTGTAAGCCCCACAGAGGTAGGGGCCACATGCTATTTCACCACATTCCCAGCCTAGCGCCTCATGCTAAACAAATATACGTGCACTAAAATCACTTTCTAATTTCAGTGAAGCAGTTAGATTTACATAATAAACCTTCCCTTTTCTCTGCTAAAACAAAGGAATTCTTGGGGCCAGGCTCAGTTGCTCACGCCTGAATCCCAGCACTTTGGGAGGCTGAGGTGGGTGGATCATCTGAGGTCAGCAGTCAAGACCAGCCTGACCAATATGGTGAAAACCTGTCTCTACTAAAAATACAAAAATTAGCCGGGCATGGTGGCTATAGTCCCTGTAGTGCCTGTAGTCCCAGCTACTCAGGAGGCTGAGAGAGAATTGCTTGAATCTGGTAGGTGGAGGTTGCAGTGAGCAGAGATTGTGCCACTGCACTCCAGCCTGGATGACAGAGCGAGACTCTGTCTCAAAAAAAAAAAAAAAAAAAAAAAAAAGGAATTCTCGGAAGCACTTCTGAGATGAGGGCCAAGTTGTAAAATGCTGATTCCACCTGGCTTGGAGCAAGGAGTCAACTTCAGCATCCACAGCATGTTCAGATTCAACCCTCATCACCTCTTCTGCTCCCTACACATTCATGCATAAAAATGTTGGGTAGGAGAGCAGAAACAGAACCAGTAAGAATGGAGTCAACGGGAGTTCGGGCCTTTACGGCTCACTTCTATGGCAATAACAGATCCCACTCAAGTCCACACAATGTCACTGGAAGCCTACCAACCCAGACCAGCAGTGTGCCAGGTGCCGGGATACAGAAATCACTAAGATATAGCTTTGAAGGGACTGTAGCACCGTTAAAATAGGCTGCTCCAAGAAGTTGGGCCTCCTTCATGTCATTGTCAAAAAGTGAAAAAAAAGTTTCAAAAAAATATAAAATGTTATATATAAAAAAACAGAAGCTAGGCCCTATCATGTAGTGATGCATCCCACCACATCCCCCCAAAAACCCTGGGATAGCCTGAGAAACTACCCAGCAATACACATTTTGAAACGCATCCTTAAGGTAATTAAAGGGTATTACTTTAAATACTGGCTTGATAAGCATTAACTGTTCACATAGAGCCATTCCCACCATGAATTCAGTGTAACGTGTAATCAATACCCATTCTAGGGACAACAGGGGCCTCACCACACTCAACTTACTGCTACTGCACTGGCCAGTCACTTCCACCTCGTGGGCAAAACCAGGCAACAGAATGCAAAAGTTTCTGACAGACATTCAGAATAACGCCGTCACATGTCTCCGCACCTTGTGTGAGCATGGAGCTCAAGTTAACGCTAGGGTGGAAATCAGCAACAATCAATCACCACTCCACCTGGCCATCACATACGGTTACGATCAAGTTCTCTCCATTTTGGCCCAAAATGGTGCCGATGTCAATGCTATTAATGAAGTCAGCATGACACCCCTTCACATGGCTGCAGACATGCTGAATAAGGAGATGATGGAAACACTCATTGCCTATGGAGCAAATGTCAACTGTGCTGTCTCTTCCACGGGGAACACAGCTCTGAAGCTGGCAGTGCGCACTGCGTCAAGCAAAGCAGGCCGACTACTCGGGGCGGGGGTCAGCTGCATCCGTCTGCTGCTCACTCATGGAGCCAAAGTCAATGCCCAAGACTACAAAGGCCAAACAGCCATCCACGAGGCATGCTTTGGAGGCAGAGAGCCAATAATTGATCTTTTGCTTGAATTTGAAGCAAATATTAATATTTTAACAAAAAACGGGGAATCTCCAATTTACATGTACCTTCAGCGCAGTTTCAATATAAGACACACAGCACTTCTGTCCAGGCTTCTTAATCGCACTTATCCTCTGAGAATGACCAATAACCAAGGAATTCTACCTGCAGGAATCATGCTACCAGAATTTCGCTTCTTAAGGGACACCCTAATAAAGCAATCACAAAAACCTTTATCCCTACAGGATATCTGCAAAAGAAACATCCGGAATATTTATGGTGAGAAATACAAACAACACTTGAAGCAACTTCTCCCAGTGAAGATATGGAATTCTGTCTATTGTTGGTACGACTCAGTGTACCTCTTGAAATAAGACCTCCAATTTCACAGCAGCAGGGAATGTCAGTCACTCAAACTTCATTTTCTGGCTAGACAGGTAGCAGAAAATGCTTAACCTATCACCCTTTACATCCCAAATGTACACACTACTGGTCCCTAAACATTTTCCAAAAAATAAAGTGATCTGCCTATTAACATTTTTGTTCCTAGGTGTTTTTTTTTTCCCTTCTAGCCTGTGTCAAAGGAGTTCCTAGGTTTTTTTTCATGCCCATGACTTAACTTCTGGCTGGACAGTAAGCAAATTAATTTAAATCTCTTCAGCCAAAGAAACAAATATATTTTCTCTCTTTCTTGATAGTCTTTTGTGGATAAAAATCAAACAGTCATTATATACTTTTTTTAAACAGCAAAACCAAAAATCCCATTTTGTTAAACTTTAACATGAACAATTAAAGAAATACAGTTTATCTCTAAGACTGAAAAAACAAATGAGCGTTTCTGCTAACACTAAGTACCTTTAGCACCACTGATTATATGAGTACTCAGAGCACACTTAGTACCTGAAAAACGTACTCAACAGAGGATTTTCAAATGTCCAAAATCTACTGCTTTAAATTCAACTTACAGCCAAGTGCAGTGGCTCACACCTGTAACCCCAGCACTTTGGGAGGTTGGGACGGGAGGATCACTTGAGACCAGGAACTCAAGACCAGCCTGGGCAACATAGCCAAACTCCATCTTAACAAAAAAAAATTAAAAATTAGCTGGGCATGGTAGCACATGCCTGTAGTCTCAGCTACTAGGGAGGCTGAGGTAGGAAGACTGCTTGAGCTTGGGAGTTCAAGGCTGTAGTGAGCTGTGATCATGCCACTGCACTCCGGCATGGGTGACAGAGTGAGACCCTATCTCAAACAAACAAACAAAATATTCAACCTAATGTTTTTATACTCTGAATCTACGGAACAATGATTTATCTAACAGGAATCATAATCTCCTAAGTAAATGACATAGGACATGCCATCTTATTTAATTCAGTGAACCAACATCAAGTCTTCCCTGTTACAAAGCTACCACTGCTTATTTATTTTATTTATTTTTATTTTTTAATTTTTGAGATGGAGTCTTACTTTTGTTGCCCAGGCTGGAGTGCAGTCGTGCAATCTCAGCTCACCGCAGCCTCCGCCACCCAGGTTCAAGCGATTCTCCTGCCTCAGCCTCCTGAGTAGCTGGGATTACAGGCATGCGCTACCACGCCTGGCTGTTTTTTTGTATTTTTAGTAGAGACAGGGTTTCTCCATGTTGGTCATGCTAGTCGTGATCTCCCGACCTCGGGTGATCCACCTCAGCCTCCCAAAGTCCTGGGATTACAGGCCTGAACCACCTCACATGGTCAGCTACCACTGCTTTCCATGATTTCATCATCCCCACTTACCTTCAGATCTCTGTGCACAATTCCCATGTTATGGATGTAAAACACACCTTCTACCAATTCTTGAAAAATTTTTGTTGCAACACTGGCCATAACGTAAGGACCTTGAAGTAAAAAAAAAAAAAAAAAAAAAAAAAGTTTTATTTCTCTTATTTTTTTACTCATTACATTAGCATCTAAATATTAATGTCGTTCTAAATACATTAACATCTGACACTTAAGAACATTCAGATTTTCAACAAGGTCAATGCTGCAGAATGGTCTAAAACCTAGAAATAAGCAAGAAGGCCTCCTCAGCTAGCCAAGAAACCATCACAAAACAGCACTCAACAGTTGATGGACTTTGTCAACCAGAAAGAAAGTACCTCTAACTTCACTCAGAGCCCTCCCTTGTATTATAATCAGGTATCAGGCAACTAGATTCAATAGTTTAAGTCCTCTTCAACCCCTGACATTTTGGAATTTAATACTAATAAATCTGGTATCCTATCCCACAGCAGATTAAAGACATTATTACAAATAATGGAATAAGAAAAAAGATAAAATATGTTAGCTCCAGGAGCAAGATTCAATCATCTGGAAAGCATCACTTTCCAAAAATGACACAGCATATCACCCCCAAAAATGTAAATAAATTAATTCATCTCTTAATATGACATTAAATATATATATATATATATATATGATGACATAAGTGAATTTAGAGGATGCAGAGGTTTTATAGGACTAACACAAAAATTGATAAAAAGTCTGGAGGCCAGGCGCGGTGGCTGACGCCTGTAATCCCAGCACTTTGGGAGGCAAAGGCGGGCAGATCACCTGAGGTCAGGAGTTCGAGAGCAGCCTGCCCAACATGGAGAAACCCTGTCTCTACTAAAAATACAAAAAATTAGCTGAGTGTGGTGGTGCATGCCTGTAATCCCAGCTACTCAGGAGGCTAAGGCAGGAGAATCGCTTGAATCCTGGAGGCAGAGGTTGTGGTGAGCCGAGTTCACACCACTGCACTCCAGCCTGGGCAAGAAGAGCTATACTCCATATCAAACAAAAAAAGAAAAAGGAAAAAGTCTGGCCAGATGCAGAGGTTCTGCCTATAATCTCAGGACTTTGGGAGGTGAGAACAGGAGGATTGCTTGAGATCACGAGTTGGAGACCAGCCTGGGCAGGATAATGAAACCTCGTCTCTACAATTTTTTTTTTTAATCAGCCAGACATGGTGGCATGCACCTATAGTCCCAGCTACTCAGGAGGCTGAGGTTGGAGGATCACTTGAGCCAGAGAGGCCAAGGCTACATTAAGCAGTGAGCATACCACTGCACTCCCGCCTGAGTGACAAACAGAGTGAGGCTGTCTCAAAAAAATAAAATAAAGTGAATAAAAAATACAAATGAAAATAAAGCACCGGAGGCAACTTCTATATGAGATGGGGAGGAGGTGACTTGGTCTATTTCCTGGCTCAGCACGTGCAGCCCCAGATGGTACTCACAGGCAGACTCGTCCACACACTCCCGGCCCCGCTTGTTTCTCTCAGTTATCCAATCCCACAGCGAGAGCTCGCACAGCTGCATCTGGATGTGCAGCATCAGGTGGTACTGCGCCTAGGAGAGGATGTAGTGCTGGCTCCCATCTTTGCACAGTTCACTCACAGTATTCATTTAACCAACAAATATTTTTCTGCCTAATCTAGGCCAAGACAATGGGCCTCAAGGGAAGTCATTTAACCTGCGTGAACTTCCCTTTGCAAGATGGAACTGCTGAGGACACAGGCCCACCCAAGAAGCCCAGAGTCTAACGAAAGCAACAGATAAGCAGAGCAATAATTAAAATGAGGTTGTAAGCAGGGCAAGGTGGCTCATACCTGTAATTCCAACACTTTGGGAGGCTGAGGCAGGAGGATCACAAGGTCAAGAGTTCAAGATCAGCCTGACTAACATCATGAAACCCCGTCTCTAATAAAAATACAAAAATTAGCCAGGTGTGGTGGCGTGTGCCTGTAATCCCAGCTACTTAGGGAGGCTGAGGCAGGAGAATCACTTGAACCCGGGAGGTGAAGGTTGCAGTGAGCTGAGACTGCACCACTGCACTCCAGCCTGGGTGACAGAGCAATGCTCTGTCTCAAAAAAATTAAAAAGAAGAAAAAAGCGGGTGTTGTAATACCAGCAGAAGCAGGGTCAGGCTGAAGTCAAGCAGGGGTCAGTGGCAGAAACTCTCAACTTTGACCCTGAGGAACTGGTCCTGAAACTAATCTGCTCACTATATAAATGGTTTTTTTAAAATTTTTGAGACCGAGTCTCACTCTGTCACCAGGATAGAGTACAGTGGCGAGATCTCGTGGAGCGCAGTGGTGAGATCTCGGCTCATTGCAACCTCCAACTCCCTGGTTCAAGCAATTCTCCTGCCTCAGCCTCCCGAGTAGCTGGGATTATAGACACACACCACCACACCAGGTACTTTTTGTATTTTTAGTAAAGCCTGGGTTTTACCATGTTGGCCAGGATGGTCTCCATCTCCTGACCTTGTGATCCGCCCACCTTGGCCTTCCAAAGTGCTGGGATTACAGGTGTGAGCCACACCCAGCCCTACATAAACAGTTTTTAAAGCTAAGAGAAAGCATCAAAGAATGGCTGTATGATATTCTACTACTCTATATACTTTACTACAAAGTATATATACTTTTTCTGGCTTCACGTCGTAATTAACTAATAACTTATTCAATAAAAAGTTAAGCAAGCATTAAGCTTACTGTAGCACACTGTGTATACCATCTGATTTAGGCATTTAGAAAATTTTCTAAATAAAATGCAGAGAAATGAAACTATTCTGATTAAAAGTCCCCCAAACTGAAGTCCTCCAGATTCAAGTGAAAGTGTTCAAAGTTTTATGTTTCATAAAAAATCACAGGCTCCGTTGGGTGCATTGGCTCATGCCTGTAATCCCAGCACTTTGGGAGGCCAAAGAGGGTGCATCACCTGAGGTTGGGAGTTCAAGACCAGCCTGGCCAACATGGTAAAACCTCATCGCTACTAAAAATACAAAAAAATTAGCCAGGTGTAGTGGTGGGCGCCTGTAATCCCAGCTACTTGGGAGGCTGAGGCAGGAGAATCACTTGAACCCAGGAGGCAGAGGTTGCACTGAGCCAAAATCATGCCACTGCACTCCAGCCTAGGTGACAAGGGTGAGATCTTGTCTCAAAAAAAAAAAAAAAAAAAAAAAACGAAAAAAAGCACAGGCTCAGAAACATATATTCCTTGACAAAAATTAATTCTGTACTGTGTCTATGTAGATGGTATATACAGTTTTATAATCCTAACAAGACAGATTACGTGTAGACCCTGTTAATTTTCATGCTTTTTTTTTTTGAGACTCGTGTTGCCCAGGCTAAAGTGCAGTGGCATGATCTTGGCTCACTACAACCTCCAACTGCCAGGTTCAAGTAATTCTCCTGCCTCAGGCTCCTGAGTAGCTGTATGGAGGTGCACACCACCACTCCCAGCTGTTTTGTATTTTTAGTAGAGATGGGGGTTTCACCATGTTGCCCAGGCTGGTCTTGAACTCCTGACCTCAGGTGACCCACCCTCCTCAGCCTCCCAAAGTGCTGAGATTACAGGCGTGAGCCACTACACCTGGCCTAATGTTCATGATTTTTTGTTGTTGTTGTTTTTAGATGGAGTCTCACTCTGTTGCCAGGCTGGAGTGTAGTGGCACAATCTCAGCTCACTGCAACCTCCGCCTCCTGGATTCAAGCGATTCTCCTGCCTCAGCCTCCTGA